CTGCACTGCAAAAATGAAGAATTAAAAAAAATAAAAATAAAGAATTGTTGACTTGCATAAAGCATGGTAAGACAAATTGTCTATAAATGGAGAAAGTTCAGCACTGCTGCTACTCTCCCTAGCAGTAGCCGTCCTGTAAAGATGACTGCAAGAGCACAGCGCAGACTGCTCTATGAGGTGAAGAAGAATCCTAGAGTGTCAGCTAAAAACTTACAAAAGTCACTGGCAAATGCTAACATCCCTGTTAGCGAATCTACAATACGTAAAACACTAAACAAGAATGGATTTCATGGGAGGATACCACAGAGGAAGCCACTGCTGTCAAAACAAAACATTGCTGCACGTTTACAGTTTGCACAAGAGCACCTGGATGTTCCACAGCAGTACTGGCAAAATATTCTGTGGACAGATGAAACCAAAGTTGAGTTGTTTGGAAGAAACACAACACTATGTGTGGCGAAAAAAAGGCACAGCACACCAACATCAAAACCTCATCCCAACTGTGAAGTATGGTGGTGGGGGCATCATGGTTTGGGGCTGCTTTGCTGCGTCAGGGCCTGGACGGATTGCTATCATCGAAGGAAAAATGAATTCCCAAGTTTATCAAGACATTTTGCAGGAGAACTTAAAGGACCACTATAGGCACCCAGACCACTTCAGCTTAATGAGGTGGTCTGGGTGCCTGGTCCATCTAGGGTTAACCCTTTTTTTATAAACATTAGCAGTTTCAGAGAAACTGCTAATGTTTATGTTAGGGTTAATCCAGCTTCTAGTGGCTGTCTCATTGACAGCTGCTAGAAGGCTTCCGCGTTTCTCACTGTGAAAATCACAGTGAGAAGACGCCGGCGTCCATAGGAAAGCATTGTAAATTGTAAAGCTGGAGAGGAGGCGGAGAGCTCCCCCCCGGCGCTGGAGAAAGAGGTAAGTTTAACCCCTTTCTCTCCATCCAGCCCGGCGGGAGGGGGAGCCTGAGGGTGGGGGCATCCTCAGGGCACTATAGTGCCAGGAAAACGAGTATGTTTTCCTGGCACTATAGTGGTCCTTTAAGACCATCTGTCTACCAGCTGAAGCTCAACAAAAGATGGGTGTTGCAACAGGACAATGACCCAAAGCATAGAAGTAAATCAACAACAGAATGGCTTAAACAGAAGAAAATACGCCTTCTGAAGTGGCCCAGTCAGTCCTGACCTCAACCCGATTGAGATGCTGTGGCATGACCTCAAGAAAGCGATTCACACCAGACATCCCAAGAATATTGTTGAACTGAAACAGTTCTGTAAAGAGTAACGGTCAAGAATTACTCCTGACCGTTGTGCACGTCTGATCTTCAACTACAGAAAACGTTTGGTTGAAGTTATTGCTGCCAAAGGAGGTTCAACCAGTTAGTAAATCCAAGGGTTCACATACTTTTTCCACCTGCACTGTGAATGTTTACATGGTGTGTTCAATAAAAACATGGCAACATTTCATTCTTTGTGTGTTATTAGTTTAAGCAGACTGTGATTGTCTATTGTTGTGAGTCAGATGATGATCAGATCACATTTTATGACCAATTTGTGCAGAAATCCATATCATTTCAAAGGGTTCACATACTTTTTCTTGCAACTGTAAATGGGGCACAGTTTGATGCTGATTGTCTGTACTTTTCCAACGTCTGCATCCATTTGCAAAACATGGACTCATCTAAATTTTTTCAGGAGAAAACGAGTAAAGATTTAGCAAATCAACTTTACAGTACTCTGACCCAAATAGGCATTAACAGATGTTTCAATATTTATAGATGCTGACTCTTACAATGAATCGTATTACGCTTACCTATGGCAGCTGTCTCATAGATTAAGGACCATCAAAAGACTGGCTTGAATTTGTAAAAGAAAGCCTTTTTTACAAGCATTTGGTTCTGTCCTGAATTGCAAATTGGTCTGGAGAGAGAGCATCAATACTTTGTGATAAGAAAGGAAATTGGATATATAAATGTCATTAATATGTACACATGAGACACACAGGGGGGATGGGGAGACGCATGGAGGGCTGGGGGGGGAATGAGACACATGGAGAAGCTGGGGGAGGTTGAGACACATGGAGAAGCTGGAGGGAATAGACACATGAAGGGGCTGGGGAGAGAATGAGATGCACGGAGTGCTGCAGGGCAGGCCCAAGACATTGTACTGTCTGGGTCCGAGGATGAAATGCTGCACCCTCCAACATATATGCATGTGCAATGGTACTGTCCCTATGTGTGTGTGCTGGGAGTGAGGTGTTTGCCTGTGTGTGCTGTAGGTGAAGTGTGTGTCTGTGTGTGCTGGTGATAAAGTGTGTGATTGTGTGTGCTGGGGATAAAGTGTGTGACTGTGTATGCTGGGGATAAAGTGTGTGGCAGTGTGTGCTGGGTATGCAGTGTGTGTCTATGTGTGCTAGGGATGTAGTGTGTGTCTGTGTGTTCTGAGGATATAGTGTATGTCTGTGTGTGCTGGGGATGTAGCGTACATGTGTGTGTGTGCTGCGGATGTAGCATGTCTGTATGGGGAGGTAGCGTTTGTCTGTGTGTGCACAGCAGGCAATACACTTACCTATACACTGTGTCTGTGTATCTGCATGTGTGTGTGTTTCTATCTGTGTGACTGTACATCTGTCAGTGTCTATATCTGTATATCTGCATGTGTATTTACACACACTAATACACTTATTACACACATACAGATACACACATTCAGGGATGGACTGACAGCCTTCTGGGCCCCTGGACAAAATTAGATCCAGGGCCCTTCGGAGACAAAATATTAAAGGAGCACTATAGTGCCAGGAAAACAAACTAGTTTTCCTGGCACTATAGGGTCATTAGGTCCCCACCACCCTCAGGGGCCCCCTCCCACTGGGCTGAAGGGGTAAAACCCCTTCAGCCACTTACCTTTCTCCTGCGTCGGGCAGAGGCTGGTTTAACCTTCAGTGAAACATAAGGCTGGTTTAACCTTCAGTGAAATATAGCAGTTTCTCTGAAACTTCTATGTTCTCAGCTGCAGGGTTAAAACTAGAAGGACCTGGCACCCAGACCACTTCATTGAGCTGAAGTTGTCTGGGTGTCTATAATGGTCCTTTTAGGACTAAGTAAATGTTAAAAATAATTTTAAAGTAAGTAGTCAAACCGTTTAAGAACAGTTTGACAACTTACCTGGGGTCTGCTGGGATATGAGGCTGCAGTAGGGCATAGGAGCAGTGGTGTGTGTAAGTGGTGCAGTGTGTGTGAAAGGTTCAGTGTGTGTGTTTGGGGGGGTGTAGTGAGTGAATGTGTAGGGTGTGTGGGGCAATGTGTGTATGGGCGGCTGTGTGTGTGTGTGTGTTGTCAGTGTGTGTGTGTGTGGGGCAATGTGTGTATGGGGGATAGTGTGTGAATGTGTATGGTGTGTGTAGGGGCAGTGTATGTGTGTGTGGGGCAATGTGTGTATGGGGAGGGCAGTGTGTGAATGTGTATGGTGTGTGTGGGGGCAATGTGTGTATGTGTATGGTGTATGTGTGTGAGGCAATGTGTGTATGTGTATGGTGTGTGTGGGTGCAGTGTGTGTATGGTGGGGCAGTTTATGTGTGTGGGGCAATGTGTGTATGGGGGGCTGTGTGTGGGGTGGGCAGTGTATGTGTGTGTGTGGGGGCAGTGTATATATGGGTGACCAGTGTGTGTGTGTATATGGGTGGGCAGTGTGTGTGTGTGTATATATGGGTGGGCAGTGTGTGTGTGTATATATGGGTGGGCAGTGTGTGTATATATGGATGGGCAGCGTATGCAGTGTGTGTGTGTATAAATGGATGGGCAGTATAAATGATTGGGCAGTGTATGCAGTATGGGTGGGTAAATATGGGTGTGGAGTTTGTGCAGTTTATATATGGGTGGGTAGTGTATGCAGTATGTGTGTGGATATATGGGTGGACAGTGTATGCAGTGTGTGTGTGTATATATGGGTGGGCAGTGTGTGCAGTGTATGTGTGTGGGGGGGCAGTGTGTGCAGTGTGTGTGTATTTATGGATGGGCAGTGTGTGTATATATGGGTGGGCAGTGTATGCAGTGTGTGTGTATATGGGTGGGCAGTGTGTGTGTATATATGGGTGGGCCGTGTGTGTGTATATATGGGTGGGCAGTGTATGCAGTGTGTGTGTATATATGGGCGGGCAGTGTGTGCAGTGTGTGTATATATGGGTGAGCAGTGTGTGCAGTGTGTGTATATATGGGTGAGCAGTGTGTGCAATGTATGTGTGTGGGAGGGCAGTGTGTGTATATATGGGCTGGCAGTGTATGCAGTGTGTGTATATATGGGTGGGCAGTGTGTGTGTATATATGGGTGGGCAGTGTATGCAATGTATGTGTGTGGTGGGGCACTGTGTGTATATATGGGCTGGCAGTGTATGCAGTGTGTGTATATATGGGCTGGCAGTGTATGCAGTGTGAGTGTGTATATGGGTGGGCAGTGTGTGTGTGTATATGGATGGGCAGTGTATGCAGTGTGTGTGTATATATGGGCTGGCAGTGTATGTGTATATATGGGTGGGCAGTGTGTGCAATGTATGTGTGTGGGGGGGCAGTGTGTGTGTATATGGGCTGGCAGTGTATGCAGTGTGTGTGTATATGGGTGGGCAGTGTGTGTGTGTATATATGGGTGGGCAGTGTGTGCAATGTATGTGTATGGGGGGGCAGTGTGTGTGTATATGGGCTGGCAGTGTATGCAGTGTGTGTGTGTATATGGGTGGGCAGTGTGTTTGTATATATGGGTGAGCAGTGTGTGTATATATATATATGTGTGATGTTTTGTACAAATCAGCCAATAATTCCTGTATAACGAAGTACTCACTTTATTAAAACATATATAGCAGGATCTTCATATTACAGCCTTGTTATACAGGGTTTCTGCAGCCGCCATTTCAAATCCCTGGAACATTCCACCAACTGCCAACAGGAACAGGAAGTAAAGAACCAAAAGACAGGAAGTGCATCATTCACAGCCAACAACAGCCCAACTGCCCAACCGCCCATACATCACAATACATACACTCATACACAGCCCAACTGCCCATAAATCACAATACATACACTCACACACTCATACACAGCCCAACTGCCCATACATCACAATACATACACTCACACACTCATACACAGCCCAACTGCCCATAAATCACAATACATACACTCACACACTCATACACAGCCCAACTGCCCGTACATCACATCTCCTTCCTTTCTCAACAAAAGAAAAAAAAAGAAAATAGTAAAAAGTCAACAATAATAAAAGAACAATTTAAAAATGTGTCCTTAATCTGCATCATTCTGTCCATCATCTTCCAGATCTACAATCTTTGTTTCTGGACAGCTTATTCTATTCCTACTAGGATACCATTTCTGCCTTCTCACGGTGGAGTTTCTCCGACTATAGTCCCAGTGTGCCCAGGCTGACATTAACATGGTGATAAAGCAGTGCCAGCAGTGTGCCCAGGCTGACATTAACATGGTGATAAAGCAGTGCCAGCAGTGTGCTCAGGCTGACATTAACATGGTGATAAAGCAGTGCCAGCAGTGTGCCCAGGCTGACATTAACATGGTGATAAAGCAGTGCCAGCAGGGTGCCCAGGCTGATATTAACATGGTAATAAAGCAATGCCAGCAGTGTGCCCAGGCTGACATTGACATGGTGATAAGGCAGTGCCAGCTGTGTGCCCAGGCTGACATTAACATGGTGATAAGGCAATGCCAGCAGTGTGCCCAGGCTGACATTAACATGGTAATAAAGCAATGCCAGCAGTGTGCCCAGGCTGACATTAACATGGTGATAAGGCAGTGCCAGCAGTGTGCCCAGGCTGACATTAACATGGTGATAAAGCAATGCCATCAGTGTGCCCAGGCTGACATTAACATGGTGATAAGGCACTGCCAGCAGTGTGCCCAGGCTATTAACATGGTGATAAAGCAATGCCAGCAGTGTGCCCAGGCTGACATTAACATGGTAATAAAGCAGTGCCAGCAGTGTGCCCAGGCTGACATTAACATGGTGATAAGGCAGTGCCAGCAGTGTGCCCAGACTGACATTAACATGGTAATAAAGCAGTGCCAGCAGTGTGCCCAGGCTGACATTAACATGGTAATAAAGCAGTGCCAGCAGTGTGCCCAGGCTGACATTAACATGGTGATAAGGCAGTGCCAGCAGTGTGCCCAGGCTGACATTAACATGGTGATAAGGCAGTGCCAGCAGTGTGCCCAGACTGACATTAACATGGTGATAAAGCAATGCCAGCAGTGTGCCCAGGCTGACATTAACATGGTAATAAAGCAGTGCCAGCAGTGTGCTCAGGCTGACATTAACATGGTGATAAAGCAGTGCCAGCAGTGTGCCCAGGCTGACATTAACATGGTAATAAAGCAGTGCCAGCAGTGTGCTCAGGCTGACATTAACATGGTGATAAGGCAGTGCCAGCAGTGTGCCCAGGCTGATATTAACATGGTAATAAAGCAGTGCCAGCAGTGTGCTCAGGCTGACATTAACATGGTGATAAAGCAGTGCCAGCAGTGTGCCCAGGCTGACATTAACATGGTAATAAAGCAGTGCCAGCAGTGTGCTCAGGCTGACATTAACATGGTGATAAGGCAGTGCCAGCAGTGTGCCCAGGCTGATATTAACATGGTAATAAAGCAGTGCCAGCAGTGTGCTCAGGCTGACATTAACATGGTGATAAGGCAGTGCCAGCAGTGTGCCCAGGCTGACATTAACATGGTAATAAAGCAGTGCCAGCAGTGTGCTCAGGCTGACATTAACATGGTAATAAAGCAATGCCAGCAGTGTGCTCAGGCTGACATTAACATGGTAATAAAGCAGTGCCAGCAGTGTGCTCAGGCTGCACTCAGTGACCTCCCCCACCCGCCCATGGTGAGTTAGGACTGTACAGACACACACAGAACACATTGCTGACAGCGGGAGCACTGATCCCGTGCACTGAGCCTAGGGGGCGCTCTTATTCCCAAACATTCACCGGACTCACCACTGCGCGTGCCCAGCGCGCGCTCCCGCCGTTGCATAGCAACCGGACCCAACATTGCGGAGTGCGGGATCGGGCAGAGTGCGGCAGGTGAGCGGGGGGGGGGAGGAATTAGTAAGGAGGGTCTCTGAAATACATGTCTGGCATCGAGCCGAGCTATGTAACGCAATGTGTGCTTCCTTCTACCTTTATATATAGCACGAACTGTGTTATATCGCCATACTGTGTGTCCATACAGTGTATATCGCCATACTGTGTGTCCATACAGTGTATATCGCTATATCGTGTGTTCATACAGTGTATATCGCCATACTGTGTGTCCATACAGTGTATATCGCCATACTGTGTGTTCATACAGTGTATATCGCTATATCGTGTGTTCATACAGTGTATATCGCTATACTGTGCGTTCATACAGTGTATATCGCTATATCGTGTGTTCATACAGTGTATATCGCCATACTGTGTGTCCATACAGTGTATATCGCTATATCGTGTGTTCATACAGTGTATATCGCCATACTGTGTGTTCATACAGTGTATATCGCCATACTGTGTGTCCATACAGTGTATATCGCTATATCGTGTGTTCATACAGTGTATATCGCCATACTGTGTGTTCATACAGTGTATATCGCCATACTGTGTGTTCATACAGTGTATATCGCTATACTGTGCGTTCATACAGTGTATATCGCTATATCGTGTGTTCATACAGTGTATATCGCCATACTGTGTGTCCATACAGTGTATATCGCTATATCGTGTGTTCATACAGTGTATATCGCCATACTGTGTGTTCATACAGTGTATATCGCCATACTGTGTGTCCATACAGTGTATATCGCTATATCGTGTGTTCATACAGTGTATATCGCCATACTGTGTGTTCATACAGTGTATATCGCCATACTGTGTGTTCATACAGTGTATATCGCTATACTGTGCGTTCATACAGTGTGTATCGCCATACTGTGTGTTCATACAGTGTATATCGCTATATCGTGTGTTCATACAGTGTATATCGCCATACTGTGTGTTCATACAGTGTATATCGCTATACTGTGTGTTCATACAGTGTATATCGCCATACTGTGTGTTCATACAGTGTATATCGCTATACTGTGTGTTCATACAGTGTATATCGCCATACTGTGCGTTCATACAGTGTGTATCGCTATACTGTGTGTTCATACAGTGTATATCGCCATACTGTGCGTTCATACAGTGTGTATCGCTATACTGTGTGTTCATACAGTGTATATCGCCATACTGTGCGTTCATACAGTGTATATCGCTATACTGTGTGTTCATACAGTGTATATCGCCATACTGTGCGTTCATACAGTGTGTATCGCTATACTGTGTGTTCATACAGTGTATATCGCCATACTGTGTGTTCATACAGTGTGTATCGCTATACTGTGTGTTCATACAGTGTATATCGCCATACTGTGCGTTCATACAGTGTGTATCGCTATACTGTGTGTTCATACAGTGTATATCTCTATACTGTGCGTTCATACAGTGTATATCGCTATACTGTGCGTTCATACAGTGTATATCTCTATACTGTGCGTTCATACAGTTTATATCGCTATACTGTGCGCTCATACAGTGTATATCTCTATACTGTGCGTTCATACAGTGTATATCGCTATACTGTGTGTTCATACAGTGTATATGACTTTAATATGTGTTCATACAGTGTATATCACTATAATATGTGTTCATACAGTGTATATCACTATAATGTGTGTTCATACAGTGTATATCACTATAATTTGTGTTCATACAGTGTATATCACTATAAAATGTGTTCATACAGTGTATATCACTTTAATATGTGTTCATACAGTGCATATCACTATAATATGTGTTCATACAGTGTATATCACTATAATATGTGTTCATACAGTGTATATCACTATGTGTTCATACAGTGTATATCACTATGTGTTCATACAGTGTATATCACTTTAATGTGTGTTCATACAGTGTATATCACTATAATATGTGTTCATACAGTGTATATCACTTTAATGTGTGTTCATACAGTGTATATCACTTTAATGAGTGTTCATACAGTGTATATGTCTTTAAAGTGTATATCACTTTAATGTGTGTTCATACAGTGGATATCACTTTAATGAGTGTTCATACAATGTATATCACTTTAATGTGTGTTCATACAATGTATATCACTTTAATTTGTGTTCATATAGTGTATATCACTTTAATGAGTGTTCATATAGTGTATATCATTTTAATGTGTGTTCATTAGTGTATATCATTTTAATGTGTTCATAAGTGTATATCACTTTAATGAGTGTTCATACAGTCACTTTCCCTGCACAGATAACTTACACACAGTACAGCAAGTGTAAAAAGACTGTCTGTCTACCTGTCCATCTTTCTGTCATTCCCTGCCTACGTTAAAGGAACAGTATAGTGTCAGGAACACAAACATGTATTCCTGACACTATAGTTTTTAACTATTTGGGTGTTTGCCCCTACCCTAGAGATGTCACAAGGCAGCAATGTAAACATTGCCTGTTCTCTGAAAAGGCAATATTTACATTCAAATGCTTTCAGGGACATGCTATAGACACTAGAACCACTGCATTAAGCTATGGTGATTCTGGTGACTATAGCGTCCCTTTAACTGTGTGTCTCGCTGTCTGTCTCACTGTTCTGTTTGTACAACTATCTATATTTATTTTCTCTTGTGGAAAAGGCAATGATCCATGAATTTGACACATTTTGCCTATGTTTCTACCATAAGTGAGTGCAGCCGAAATCCGGATCCAAATTATTCAAATCTGGGCTCGGATTTAAAAAAATCTGAACTAGCAGCCAGCAGGCAAATAGATAAAATCCCTCAGCGCTGCTAGAGTTAATTATGTGGTGACTGGTCAGTGCTTGCTAGCCAGCCGTCACCAGTTGCGGACTTAGCAGGCGGGCACTTCGGACATTGTCCGAGGGCCCTGCTGAGGAAGGGGGCACGCCCCTCCAGTCACTGTGTGTGTGGCATTATCACACACACAACTAAATTTACGCCAGCTGTTCGTGTCCGACACGCTATAACTGCGGCGTCCTTGGGCCTGGTCCGCCCCTGGTTACCTGGTAGCAAAAGTGGGACACAGGGAGCTGATGATGAGTTTGGCCCAGCGAGTGGAGGTGTGTGACGTTAATGTGCACCGCCTGCACAGGTCGCAACAAAGCGAAACAAAAAATATAATATTTCAATAATTAGGGGCCCAGTTAGACGGAGCAGCACTTTATCACCATGAATGGGCCCCTGCTCTGTGCAATGTTGCGGTGCTGCTTACCAACAAGCCGAGAAAGGAGGAAGCCAGGATCTGAGGTGTTTGAGCCTGGACCAGACTCCCATCACACTCAGCCAGATGTCTCTGCACCCCAGGGAAACCACCCTCCTGCACAAAAAATGTATGGAAGCAGGGAGAGATCTGCGTGTTAGTCTGTGTCTGTGTATCTGTTTGTCTCTGTATTTGTGTGTGTGTATTTCTATGTATGTTAGTATGTATCTGTTTATCTGTATTTGAATTAGTGTGTATCTGTATGTGTGATAGTGTGTGCCTGTGTATCTGTTTATCTGTATGTGTGTGTCTATGTATTTCTATGTATGTTAGTGTGTATCTGTATATGTGTTATTGTGTGTCTGTGTAATAGTGTGTGCCTGTGTATCTGTATGTGTGTTAGTGTGTGTCTGTTTATCTGTATGTATGTGTCTATGTATCTGTGTATTAGTGTGTGTCTGTTTGTCTGTGTATCTGTATGTGTTTTAGTGTGTGTCTGTGTACATCTGTTTTTAAAAATTTATTACTGGCATTTATAAAGTGCCAACATATTCCGCAGCCCTGTACAATTGGGAAAGACAACACAATAAGCACAGACCGACACAACAGATAGAGGGCTCTGCCCGTGAGCTTATAATCTAAAGGTTAAATGGATACTCCAGGCACCCAGGCATCTCAGCAGCCAAACTCCAACACTTCACACAAATACACCCCTGCATTCAAACAACAACACAACATACAGATACACTCCTACATTCAAAGGTAAACACTATACACTGCTTTCAAATGTCAATAGTACATAAAAACACATAATACTGCACACAAATAGACTCCTATGTTCACACACACATACTCTGTTCAAAAACATGCTTACATGCAAACATACAGTGCTCAGTGCTAATTATAATGCTGCAAGGATGGGCAAATGGTAGATACCCAGCTGGCAAAGCATTGTCGGGGTTGTAAGACAAGTGGGGATCTACCTTTTTTTTTCCATCCTTAAAGTGGGGGGCTCAACAAAAATTCTTGCACCAAGGCCCTCTCTACTTAAGTTCCACCATTGAGGGCCATGTAGATTATCAACCTAAAAAATGCTACAGATTGAAAACATTCATAAAGCAACCAGGGGCATAGATATTAAGGGCAAACTTAAAGGCACTCTACAGTTCTCAGAACAACTATGGCTTAATGTAGTTGTTCTGACCTGTCAGGGCCGTCTTTAACGCGGGGCAAACGGGGCAGCTGCCCCGGGCCCTGTCCCTGCTGGGGGGCCCGAGGTAACTGCCCTGTTTGCCCTCTGCCCGCAAACTATGGGGGCCCATCGGGTGGCCCATGCACTTAGGGCCACCCGGTGGGCCTGTGTCAGCAGGGGCCCGGTCGGGCGCTGTGGCGCTTTAACAGCGCGACCGGGCCCTTGCTTTTCGGCAGCAGTGGGAGGAAGTGACAGCCGTGCGTCACTTCCTCCCACAGAAACTGGAGCCGCGCGGGAGGAAGGCGGACCAGCTGTTCCGGAGGGGGCCAGGCCGGGAGAGCTTAACTCCCAGCCACCCCAGCCAGCCCACTGGACCCCAGGGAAGCCACCCTCCAGGACAAGGTAAGAAACTGGAGGGTGGTTATCAAAGTCTGTCAGTGTATCTGTATGTCTGGATGTGTGTTTGTCTGTCAGTGTCTGTGTGGTTCAGTATGTCTGTATGTGTGTATGTCTGTCAGTGTGTCAGTATGTCTGTGTGTGAGTCTGTCAGTGTCTGTGGTTCAGTGTGTATGTGTGTTTCAGTATGGCTGTCTGTGTATGTCAAAATGTCTGGATGTGTGTTTGTCAGTGTGGTTCAGTATGTCTGTATGTGTGTATGTCTGTCAGTGTGTCAGTATGTCTGTGTGTGAGTCTGTCAGTGTCTGTGGTTCAGTGTGTATGTGTGTTTCAGTATGGCTGTCTGTGTATGTCAAAATGTCTGGATGTGTTTGTCTGTCAGTGTCTGTGGGTATGTGTGTTTCAGCATGTCTGTCTGTCTGTATGTGTGTTTCAGCATGTCTGTCTGTCTGTCTGTGTGCCAGAATGTCTGTCTGTGCCAGTATGTCTGTCAGTATGTCTGTGTGTGAGTCTGTCAGTGTCTGTGGTTCAGTGTGTATGTGTGTTTCAGTATGGCTGTCTGTGTATGTCAAAATGTCTGGATGTGTGTTTGTCAGTGTGGTTCAGTATGTCTGTATGTGTGTATGTCTGTCAGTGTGTCAGTATGTCTGTGTGTGAGTCTATCAGTGTCTGTGGTTCAGTGTGTATGTGTGTTTCAGTATGGCTGTCTGTGTATGTCAAAATGTCTGGATGTGTGTTTGTCTGTCAGTGTCTGTGTGTATGTGTGTTTCAGCATGTCTGTCTGTCTGTATGTGTGTTTCAGCATGTCTGTCTGTCTGTGTGCCAGTATGTCTGTCGTGTGTCAGTATGTCTGTGTGAGTCTGTCAGTGTCTGTGTGTTTCAGTATGGCTGTCTGTGAGTTTCAAAATGTCTGTATGTGTGTATATCTGTCAGTGTCTGTGTGTTTCAGTCTGTCTGTGTGTGTGCCAGAATGTGTGTATGTCTGTCAGTATGTCTATGTGTGAGTCTGTCAGTGTGGTTCTGTATGTCTGTGTTTGTCAATATGTCTGTCAGTGTCTGTGTGTATGTGTGTTTCAGTATGTCCGTCTGTCTGTGTGCCAGTACGTCTGTCAGTGTATCTGTATGTCTGTGTGTGTGAGAGTCCATCAGTGTCTGTGTGGTTCAGTATGTCTTTGTGTATGTGTGTTTCAGTATGGTTTTCTGTGTGTGAGTCTGTGTCAGTACGTCTGTCAGAATGTGTCTCTGTATCTGTATGTTGTCCATTTGTATTTGTGTGTGTATCTGTATGTGTTAGTGTTTGTATCTGTATATCTGCATGTGTGTCAGGTTGTGTATCTGTGTGTCTGTCTGTCTGTGTGTGTGTCGGTGTATCTATAAGTAGTCAGTGTGTGTACCTTTGTATCTGCATGTATGTCAGTGTTTGTATCTGTGTGTGTGTCAGTGTATCTATATGTAGTCTGTGTGTATCTGTATGTTCTTGTGTGTTTCTATATGTGGTCAGTGTGTATCTGCATGTGTGTCAGGTAGTGTATTTGTGTGTATCTAGACGTAGTCAGGGGGCCCAAGTAAATGCTCGCCCAGGGTCCAATCTAAATTAAAGACGGCCCTGTGACCTGTATAGCATGTCTCTGTAAACTTTTTCATTTTTACGCTGCCTTTTCAGAGAAAACTAACAGTCACTCAGATTTCCTCTAGAGATGCTTCGTGGATTAGTGCTGCAAACATTTTGCATTTAGATGCTGGAAGCTCCACATAGAGATGCATTGATTTAGTTCATGTCTATGAGGAGATGCTAACTGTCGCAGCACAGCGTTTTGTCGCATATGTGCAATAGCCTCCCAATGCTTTCCTATGGAGAGATTGTTACATTTGATAATCTTAGCCATGGAGGCAGAGCCAGCTGTAAAAGTAAAATTACTTTTTAATTGGAGTTAAGGGGGGGATGGGGACCTTAAATGTGTTCTTACAACTATAGTGTCAGGAATAAGGTTGTATTCCTGACACTATAGTGTTCATTTAACATCTTACACACCATATGCTTATGCAACAAATATAGTATTTCATTTGCACTAAAGCTTTACTGTTATAACAGCCCCTATCCCCTATGAAACCACTAACCACCCAACCCCCTCACTGCATTCTCTATCCCCCAATTACATCCCGTATACTCACTACAGCCTTTCATCCCTCACTACAACTTCTATACCACCAGTACCGCCCCTACCACTCACTACAGCTAATGTTCCCCTATTAGAGCCCCTGTTCCCCACTACAGTCCCTAACCGCCACACTACAGTCTCTATCCCCAATTACAACCCCTATACCACACAACCACTTTTCTCCACCCACTACAACCACTACATCCTATTAAAGCCCCTGTCGCCCATTAGAGCCCTTTTCTCACCACTACAGTCCCAGTCTCTCACGCTACGGCTCCTGGTCCCCACTGCAGATCCCACCACCCCACATAACCTTTTCTGTAACTCAAGGATGTAAATGTGGGCATGATGTATATTTGTGTAGCTTGCAAGTTGGTGGGTGCAAAGGGGGCCCCATGATCTCCTACAGTCCAAGGTCCCCATGAGTTGTCAGTCCACCACTGGCCATCACATTAAATTTTTTTAAATAAATACATTTTTAAAAACCATATGGTGTTCAATAAGACCATGATAGGGTTTAAACCTCCCTATAACTTCATCTGCTATGTAGCAGGTGGGGCTTTTCTGCGACATAAAGTAAATACTTTTGCCTGACTAAACCAGGCTTTTGTATTTAAAGGTGCATTATAGCTATGGTAGTCTGTGCGTATGCCCTTTGGATATTGCTTAGGAGCACTATACATACTGTTTAGTTTAGGTCGCTGGACAGTGCAAAAGGGTTGACTTCCTTTACTGTCCCTCTGCATAACTCAGAGGGCCTGAGTGTTTGGAGTTCAGACTGAGAAATTTGACCACTAGAGTGGAGGTTATCACAAAGAAGTAAGGCTGCACATCTGGGCAATTCTAATAATTGAAGATTTCAATTACCTGGGTATTTACTGGGCCAGAGGGACTAGTGGATGAATTAGGGGACACTTTCATGAAGCACCAACTAAAACAGATGCTTGTCTAGACCTTGTAATACTAATCGTAGTTTCTCCCTGTAATGGCACAAGTGAGCAAAAGCTTTTTGAGACCTGAACTGGGACTAACTGAAGGGCAAGCTGAGCCTTCTTTGAGCATTTGGCCATTCTCGAGGTTCTACTGTTCTCTGTTTGTGTTGCATTGCATTTACTTAGGGTCTCCCTAAGTCGAAAGGGTAATCCAGACCTGGACGCCGTGCTGACTATGTTTAGAGGGGTTTCAGATACACCTCACTGATAAGGCCCCAAAGAATACCGAAACAGTTGTGTGAGGTTGCTGTATCTCTGTGCAAAGTGAACTTGCTGGCATTTTGGATCTAAACTGCTGTTATGAGCAGGATCAGTCTGATATGCAAATGGTAAAGGTTTTTTTCTGAAATGGCACAAGAGATCAAAAAATAGGGCAAGCTATTGAGGTTTCTCTGAATGGTTACCCATTCTCAGAGTTCTCATATTCTCTGTTTTTGCTGCACCAAATAATATTGACCTATTTTCAAACATTCAGGTTAGCAAGCACTTAGAAAATAGCAACCATAATATGATATTTGAGATCAACTCAGAAAAACAAATCTATATAGGCTTTACAAAAACACTTAATATTAAAAAGGCTAATTTCAATAGAATTAGAGCATCGTTGCAACTAGCTGACTGGCAGGAACTATTCACTCAGAAACGCACAGAGGATTAATGGAAAGCCTTTAAGCAAATTCGACGAAAGCTTGTTTCTCTTCATATACCATTAGGAAACAAATATGAAATAAGTCAAAATTAAAACCAATATGGCCTTATATAGGAGCCAGTCAAGTACCAAACAACAAAGGACATTTAAAACCGGTAAATCACGTATGTCAATAGATTATAGAATTCTATGAAAAAATAATAAAGCCAATGGCGATTGCAAAAGACCTATTAGATGGGCTAAACTAGAAAATGAAAAACGCATAGCCAAAACCCAACAACCCTCAAAAATTGTACATACAGTAATGTAAAAAAAATGTGTTGCAATATCAGGCTGTATTATCAGAATCTGTAGGCATTTTCTAAAAAGACCTGGATTTTTGGGGGGGCAAAACACAATACTGTAATTAAGGATACATGTGAACAGGTTGTTGATCTAATGAGAAATTTGATTGCCATTAAGTCAAGAAGGATATTTTTCCTTTATTGTGGTATAAATGACTATTGGTTCAAATATGGTATTTCATTGATTTAGTTTTGCCTACTTTTGGATCAACAGCATAAAACACGTTTAAAGATTGAACTTGATGGAGTTGAGTGTTTTGTTAACCTAAATTACTATGTAATTATGTTACTGTTTAGTAGGTATGTGAGGGAAGGTTCCCCTCCCCAATATTAAAGTCTACATTTTACCCTAAAGAGCTGTTTTCACTATACCTTGATCCCCTCTTCCAGTCCTAAACAATACCGCTCAAAAAGCCAGCCACCCAGTAGAGATAACTCCCATCCAGAAATAAGGGATATATCCTGAACTCTAGATCGGCCTCATTAAACTCTCAGTCGGATCAGAACTCACCAGTAGCTGGACCAACCTTTAAATGGGTGGTGCCTGTACACCCTATTGACTGAGTGCTATTTCTACCCAGCGTAGCAGATAATACGAGGTACTCATGACATATACTGTTTGAGGGTTTACAGCCAACCGGTAACATCAACACTCTTCTAAAGGCAGGAAGTGGATGCTGAGCTCTAGACTGGCTGCAAGGAACTATCAGCCAGGTTGGTACTCACATGCGGTTGATTTAACCTTCAACCAGGTGGTCACCTTGGAGATTATATGTGCACTATTTGGACTGAGGATAGCAGGCAATGCAAGCTATCCAGGAATTTATAATGTTTGGGGGTTACATGCTGGAAGAGGGGTGTTTTGGGGTTACTGTTTAACGACGCATTGATGTCTGGTACTCAACAGGAGGAGAATTGTATTAGCTGCAACCTGCTTATCAACCCAAACAGAGTGGTGCCAGGGTGGAAATATGCTATTGTTTTGCTGATCACTGTGTGGTATAAATGTGAGTGTTTTGTTCAGTAAAATCTACTTGTTTTCACCCTTCATCCAGTCTTGGCTGATGTTTGAAACAGAAAAAGGTATATAGGTCGCGCTAAGGGGACAAGAAGGTAAAATAAATAGAATAAATAAAAGTAATAAAAAAGTCCCAAATATAAATAAACCTGTGTGGTTCTAGGAGAGTATACAGTCCAAATGGGTATCTGAGTCTTCTTATGTTGAGGATGTCTTGAAATGCTTGTCAATACGTAGATACATAAAAAAAAAGAAGAAGAAGAGGAACTCCAATAGTGTAGAATGTCGATATAGTTTCCAGGTATAGGTCTGTAAGTAGGTAAATGACTCACCTTGGCGTGAGCAAAGAAACCTTGCTCAAGTGTTCTTAGCGTTCAGTGGCGTCAATCCCCCACTGGTAGGATATAGGTGATGGGGTCCTGGACAATTCCTCGGTATATAAAAAATGAGAGACGTATATAGTGCTCACTGATGTTTGTAAAAACAAATAAAATAAGTAAAATACTCACATGTACATGAGCAGGAAATACTGCTCAGTATGATGGCGCAGGTGGTACAATCCCCACCTTAGGATTCTTGGAAGTTGACGTACTTCAATCCAAATTGATGACCAGGTAATTCAAATTGAAAATAACAATAAAAAAATAAAAGGAATTAAAAGTATATAGGCAAAAAATAAGGGCCAATATTCCTTTATTAAAATATAAATTATCAATATATATAACAGACTTTGTAATAGCCAAAACGCGTTTCACCACACAGGGCTTTATCAAATGGCATTTAAAAGAGAGAAAAACCTGGTACACAAGCTACTTTTATAAGCTAAAAAATCAATTAGGCATTTGAATTTTGGCGCCAAATGACGTCACACTTACAGTATGCATAGTTTAAAAACAGTTTAAAAGTAAGAAATTGAAATGTGAAAGCATTATATAATGCAATATTAAGATAATTATCAGTTTCAAATAATAAAACGAGCATTTTTTATAATGTTATACACTAGGAGAAATGATGTCAGTGAACAAAATATATTCGCAATTAGTATGTATACAAAAGTTAAAATTGATGATATAGGAACGTATATAAAAGTGATATGAAAATGTCTGTGGGCTTGAAATAGAAAAACGAGCATTATTAAAAAAAGTAATATATAATGAAACACGTGATCGCGGCTAGACGCGATCACGTGATCGGAACTGGGTATTGTGGGAAATGTATGCCAGAGAGTCGGGAGATCGGCGCAAAAGTATATCGCCTGTCTCTCGACTAGATAGTGCAGCAGAGGCATATAGGAGCTAGATGATTAGCCCTATATGTAAATAAAGACCTAATTGGTGAAGGGAGAGGGGGAGAAAAGAAAAAGGGGAAGAAACAAAAGAGGGGTTTATAGCAGGAAATATCCTGCATAAATCTAAGGAAAAAAGAAAAAGATAATAATGAAAAGAATATATATAAATAAAGAATATATATAAAAGTGAATAAGGGTAAGTATAGAAAAAAATGAAAAAGAAATAATAATAAAAGTTAAAAAAAAAAAAAAAAAAAAAAAAAAAAAAAAAAAAAAAAAAAAAAAAAAAAAAAAAAAAAAAAAAAAAAAAAAAAAAAAAAAAAGTAATGAGTAAAAATAAAAGATAAGAATAAATATAAATAATAATAATAAAAATAAATATAAAAATAAAATGAAAATAAAAATGAAAATAGAAATAAATAATAATAGAGAGTATAGTATAATAAAAAAAAAAAAAAATTATTATAAAAAGTTGAAAAGGTCAAATTCAACATTTAAGCCTTGAGGTGATAGGGTTTTTAATTGAAAAACCCAATTCATCTCTCTTTTCCCCAAAATATTTTTCATATCCCCTCCTCTCCATGGCATGGAAACTTTTTCTATCCCAGTAACTTTAAGAGCACTTGGGTCTTTATTGTGCAATAAAAAGTGCTTGGACACTGAATGGTTATCATATCCTTTTTTGATATTACAGCAATGTTCTGCCAGTCTGATCTTTAAACACCTTGTTGTCATACCAACATATTGAAAACCACATGGACATTCTAATAAATAGATAACATTCTTGGTATTGCATCCTATGAAGTCCTTAATCGGGTACATAGTTTTGGTGATGGTGGAGGAGAAATGAGTCGTTTTAGTATTGGTATTGGGATTTGTGGATCTGCATACGATGCATTTGTTACATTTAAAAAAAACTTTTGGTTTTGACAGAAAGGTCTCCTTTGATGAAGTAATTTTAGTATAATTTTTCGTTAGAATTTTCTTAAAATTTGGGGCCCCTCTAAAAATCACATTTGGTTTGTCAGGGATATAGTCTTTTAAAAGGTCGTCCTGTTTAAGAATGTGCCAATGTTTATTAATGATTTTTTTTATATCTTTATTTTTTTTATTAAAGTCTAAGATAATAGGCAATTTTGGGGGGTCTTCCTTTTTAGCTTTGTATGCTAAAAGGTCCTTTCTTTCTTTTGTACTGACTTCTTTTAATGCTGCATTCAATTTTTCTGGTTCATAGTTTTTATCTAAAAATTTGCTATTCAATGAGGTAGATTGGATTTTAAAATCATTTGATAGAGAACAATTACGATGAAGGCGAAGAAATTGACTTTTCGGAATCCCATCTAACCAGGGTTTATAATGACAGCTTGTATGGTCTATAATAGTATTAGTACATACTTCTTTAAAAAAAGTCTTGGTTTGAATATTTCCTTCATGAATAAAAATGTTGAGATCCAAAAAATCAATGGATACCTTACTATAATTTGAGGTTAAAATTATACTTTTATCATTGTTGTTTAAAAATTCTAAAAACAGTTTAAGAGAGGTCTCTGAACCTTGCCAAATAAAAAATAAATCGTCTATATAGCGAAAGTATGCGATCAGGTTTGCCCGCCAGCTATGATCACCCCAAATGGCTGAAGACTCCCAATCAGCCATAAAGAGGTTAGCATAGCTAGGGGCAAACCTGGTTCCCATGGCTGTACCTTTTTTTTGGATATAAAAAGAATCATAAAACCAAAAATAATTGTTGGTTAAAATCATGTGAATACCCTCTAAAATAAAATTTATTTGTGAGACTGGAATCGAAGTTTGGTTTTTTAAAATTTTTTCAACTGACTCACATCCTAAGGTGTGGGGAATAATAGTATATAAAGATTGGACGTCGCACGTAACTAAAATATAATCTTGACACCATATAAAATCTTTTAAAAAGGATAAAAGGGTCATCGAGTCTTTGAGATAAGATCTCATTAATTTTACTGAAGGCTGTAATAAAATATCTATATATTCTGAGAGATTGGATAAAACAGAGTTAATCCCTGATACAATTGGTCTCCCAGGGGGTTTGGTCATATTTTTATGAATTTTGGGGAGAAAATAAATGACCGGTATCTTGGGATAGGGAATGTTTAAATAATTAAATTCTTGTTTGCTTAGGATGTTTAGATCAAGTCCCTTAGTTAGAAAATCTTTTAAAGTAGTTTTAATTTTTGAAGTTGGGTCGTATGGTAACTTGTCATATACTTCACGATCATTGAGTTGACGATTGGCTTCTTCAATGTATGATAGTTTAGACAAGATAACCAGACCTCCACCTTTATCCGCAGGTTTAATGACGATATCTTCGTCATTTTGAAGTTCTTTAATTGCTTTGCGTTCATTTTGTGTTAAATTCTGATGATCATATTTATTGTGCTTTATTTTCTCAAAGTCTTTTAAGACTAATTTTTCAAAGACCTCTATTGGACCCGATTTAAAATGTGAGGGATAAAACTTAGAGGGGTTTTTTAAATCTGTATGGATTGTAGGATCAACTGTTTGGATATTAATAGATTGATTTTGAGGTGCTAGATTGGTTGTAGAGGTATTTTGAGTAAAAAATCTTTTGATAGTGGCTTTCCTCACAAATTTGTTTATATCTAAAAAAGCTTGGAAGGGATTAAAAGAGTTTGTAGGAGCATACTTTAGACCTTTGCTTAAAACTTGGATCTGTGTAGATGTTAAAACTTTTTGCGAAAGGTTAAAAATTCCTAGTTTTTTTTCATCACAGTTTTGTATTATTGTTGTCTCTCTTTTCTTTCTCTTTTGTAATCTTCCGCCACTTCTCCTTCCTCTATACTTAAGCTTCGTTTTCTTGTTCTGGGGAGGTACGGAGTTTGTGTATGAGGTAGGTTTTGTGTACGGATGTCTAAAAAATTCTCTTCAATTTCGGAATCAATAGACAGTAACTGATATCTGTTATTATGAGTGTAGTTGGGTGGTGATTTCGGGGGGTCGGGATATTTATGCCCAAACCTGGATCTTTGTGGTCTAGGGGTTAGAGGTTGTGAATGGTTGGGCTTTCTTGTGGTAGTGTAGTGAGGGAAATTTTGGTAATCTGGTGAGTTGTGATGATTATTCATATTATGGATAGGTTTTCTATAAGTATGTGATGATCTTTGTTTATTATATAGTGAATTATTTCTTTCATATTCATTTGGGTGATTGCCGGTAGAACTGTATTTCTTTTGAGGATAATAATTGACTTGACGGTGACGGTGCATAACCTCTAACCCCTAGACCACAAAGATCCAGGTTTGGGCATAAATATCCCGACCCCCCGAAATCACCACCCAACTACACTCATAATAACAGATATCAGTTACTGTCTATTGATTCCGAAATTGAAGAGAATTTTTTAGACATCCGTACACAAAACCTACCTCATACACAAACTCCGTACCTCCCCAGAACAAGAAAACGAAGCTTAAGTATAGAGGAAGGAGAAGTGGCGGAAGATTACAAAAGAGAAAGAAAAGAGAGACAACAATAATACAAAACTGTGATGAAAAAAAACTAGGAATTTTTAACCTTTCGCAAAAAGTTTTAACATCTACACAGATCCAAGTTTTAAGCAAAGGTCTAAAGTATGCTCCTACAAACTCTTTTAATCCCTTCCAAGCTTTTTTAGATATAAACAAATTTGTGAGGAAAGCCACTATCAAAAGATTTTTTACTCAAAATACCTCTACAACCAATCTAGCACCTCAAAATCAATCTATTAATATCCAAACAGTTGATCCTACAATCCATACAGATTTAAAAAACCCCTCTAAGTTTTATCCCTCACATTTTAAATCGGGTCCAATAGAGGTCTTTGAAAAATTAGTCTTAAAAGACTTTGAGAAAATAAAGCACAATAAATATGATCATCAGAATTTAACACAAAATGAACGCAAAGCAATTAAAGAACTTCAAAATGACGAAGATATCGTCATTAAACCTGCGGATAAAGGTGGAGGTCTGGTTATCTTGTCTAAACTATCATACATTGAAGAAGCCAATCGTCAACTCAATGATCGTGAAGTATATGACAAGTTACCATACGACCCAACTTCAAAAATTAAAACTACTTTAAAAGATTTTCTAACTAAGGGACTTGATCTAAACATCCTAAGCAAACAAGAATTTAATTATTTAAACATTCCCTATCCCAAGATACCGGTCATTTATTTTCTCCCCAAAATTCATAAAAATATGACCAAACCCCCTGGGAGACCAATTGTATCAGGGATTAACTCTGTTTTATCCAATCTCTCAGAATATATAGATATTTTATTACAGCCTTCAGTAAAATTAATGAGATCTTATCTCAAAGACTCGATGACCCTTTTATCCTTTTTAAAAGATTTTATATGGTGTCAAGATTATATTTTAGTTACGTGCGACGTCCAATCTTTATATACTATTATTCCCCACACCTTAGGATGTGAGTCAGTTGAAAAAATTTTAAAAAACCAAACTTCGATTCCAGTCTCACAAATAAATTTTATTTTAGAGGGTATTCACATGATTTTAACCAACAATTATTTTTGGTTTTATGATTCTTTTTATATCCAAAAAAAAGGTACAGCCATGGGAACCAGGTTTGCCCCTAGCTATGCTAACCTCTTTATGGCTGATTGGGAGTCTTCAGCCATTTGGGGTGATCATAGCTGGCGGGCAAACCTGATCGCATACTTTCGCTATATAGACGATTTATTTTTTATTTGGCAAGGTTCAGAGACCTCTCTTAAACTGTTTTTAGAATTTTTAAACAACAATGATAAAAGTATAATTTTAACCTCAAATTATAGTAAGGTATCCATTGATTTTTTGGATCTCAACATTTTTATTCATGAAGGAAATATTCAAACCAAGACTTTTTTTAAAGAAGTATGTACTAATACTATTATAGACCATACAAGCTGTCATTATAAACCCTGGTTAGATGGGATTCCGAAAAGTCAATTTCTTCGCCTTCATCGTAATTGTTCTCTATCAAATGATTTTAAAATCCAATCTACCTCATTGAATAGCAAATTTTTAGATAAAAACTATGAACCAGAAAAATTGAATGCAGCATTAAAAGAAGTCAGTACAAAAGAAAGAAAGGACCTTTTAGCATACAAAGCTAAAAAGGAAGACCCCCCAAAATTGCCTATTATCTTAGACTTTAATAAAAAAAAATAAAGATATAAAAAAAATCATTAATAAACATTGGCACATTCTTAAACAGGACGACCTTTTAAAAGACTATATCCCTGACAAACCAAATGTGATTTTTAGAGGGGCCCCAAATTTTAAGAAAATTCTAACGAAAAATTATACTAAAATTACTTCATCAAAGGAGACCTTTCTGTCAAAACCAAAAGGTTTTTTTAAATGTAACAAATGCATCGTATGCAGATCCACAAATCCCAATACCAATACTAAAACGACTCATTTCTCCTCCACCATCACCAAAACTATGTACCCGATTAAGGACTTCATAGGATGCAATACCAAGAATGTTATCTATTTATTAGAATGTCCATGTGGTTTTCAATATGTTGGTATGACAACAAGGTGTTTAAAGATCAGACTGGCAGAACATTGCCGTAATATCAAAAAAGGATATGATAACCATTCAGTGTCCAAGCACTTTTTATTGCACAATAAAGACCCAAGTGCTCTTAAAGTTACTGGGATAGAAAAAGTTTCCATGCCATGGAGAGGAGGGGATATGAAAAATATTTTGGGGAAAAGAGAGATGAATTGGGTTTTTCAATTAAAAACCCTATCACCTCAAGGCTTAAATGTTGAATTTGACCTTTTCAACTTTTTATAATAATTTTTTTTTTTTTTTATTATACTATACTCTCTATTATTATTTATTTCTATTTTCATTTTTATTTTCATTTTATTTTTATTTTTATTATTATTATTTATATTTATTCTTATCTTTATTTTTATTCATTACTTTTTTTTTTTTATTTGTGTAGTTTTATTTTTATTTTATTTTCTATTTCTATTTTTATTTTATTCTTATTTTTATTTTTATTTTCAACTTTTATTATTATTTCTTTTTCATTTTTTTCTATACTTACCCTTATTCACTTTTATATACTTTATTTATATATATATTTTTTTTATTATCTTTTTCTTTTTTCCTTAGATTTATGCAGGATATTTCCTGCTATAAACCCCTCTTTTGTTTCTTCCCCTTTTTCTTTTCTCCCCCTCTCCCTTCACCAATTAGGTCTTTATTTACATGTAGGGCTAATCATCTAGCTCCTATATGCCTCTGCTGCACTATCTAGTCGAGAGACAGGCGATATACTTTTGCGCCGATCTCCCGACTCTCTGGCATACATTTCCCACAATACCCAGTTCCGATCACGTGATCGCGTCTAGCCGCGATCACGTGTTTCATTATATATTACTTTTTTTAATAATGCTCGTTTTTCTATTTCAAGCCCACAGACATTTTCATATCACTTTTATATACGTTCCTATATCATCAATTTTAACTTTTGTATACATACTAATTGCGAATATATTTTGTTCACTGACATCATTTCTCCTAGTGTATAACATTATAAAAAATGCTCGTTTTATTATTTGAAACTGATAATTATCTTAATATTGCATTATATAATGCTTTCACATTTCAATTTCTTACTTTTAAACTGTTTTTAAACTATGCATACTGTAAGTGTGACGTCATTTTGGCGCCAAAATTCAAATGCCTAATTGATTTTTTAGCTTATAAAAGTAGCTTGTGTACCAGGTTTTTCTCTCTTTTAAATGCCATTTGATAAAGCCCTGTGTGGTGAAACGCGTTTTGGCTATTACAAAGTCTGTTATATATATTGATAATTTATATTTTAATAAAGGAATATTGGCCCTTATTTTTTGCCTATATACTTTTAATTCCTTTTATTTTTTTATTGTTATTTTCAATTTGAATTACCTGGTCATCAATTTGGATTGAAGTACGTCAACTTCCAAGAATCCTAAGGTGGGGATTGTACCACCTGCGCCATCATACTGAGCAGTATTTCCTGCTCATGTACATGTGAGTATTTTACTTATTTTATTTGTTTTTACAAACATCAGTGAGCACTATATACGTCTCTCATTTTTTATATACCGAGGAATTGTCCAGGACCCCATCACCTATATCCTACCAGTGGGGGATTGACGCCACTGAACGCTAAGAACACTTGAGCAAGGTTTCTTTGCTCACGCCAAGGTGAGTCATTTACCTACTTACAGACCTATACCTGGAAACTATATCGACATTCTACACTATTGGAGTTCCTCTTCTTCTTCTTTTTTTTTATGTATCTACGTATTGACAAGCATTTCAAGACATCCTCAACATAAGAAGACTCAGATACCCATTTGGACTGTATACTCTCCTAGAACCACACAGGTTTATTTATATTTGGGACTTTTTTATTACTTTTATTTATTCTATTTATTTTACCTTCTTGTCCCCTTAGCGCGACCTATATACCTTTTTCTGTTTGTTCCATTCCATGTGAGGTTATTTGAGGGACCTCATTCCTATAGGTTGCTGCTTTTACTTTTTGTTTTTAGTTTCTCTTAGATTGTTTAGCGCTGAACCATTACCTTTTTGTTGGCTGATGTTTGAGCTGCTATAATCACTGAAGCTATGTTGCGGGAAAAGAAGGGTGATTGACAGAGGAACTCAGTCCGAGTACTGAGTATTTTGGTTAGTGAAGACTAATCTTGTCACATAAACTTCTGCCCAGTACGGGTTCATGGATGAGACGTTTATCCCTCATCTGCTGTCCGAGTCATCACTTAGAATTATTGGAACTGCTCTATAAACAGTTAGTAGCCATACCACACCTGCCATCAGTGTACAAAAAACCCCAATACATGGTTTAGTGAACTTACCTGTTGTAATTGGTAGAGCTTGCAAACTGCCCATGCAGAGTCTGTATCTCGGCTTTAACGAGGAAGGCGAGTGAGTCTCTCCTGCTACACTCACAATAGGTAAAACTAATGTAAGGCTACCTTAAACTTAGTGAGTGTTCCAGATTCTTGATTGACAGCCCTGTATAGCATCAACAATTTTTACAAAATGGAGTAATGCTAAGTGGTTATGGTGATTCAGTTGGCCCTTTGATATATAACCCAATCCTGCTAATACATTAACCGGTGTTAATTTAAATGTATCTTTTTTTTGTAGAGAACATTGACTTGACCAGTTTATTTTCACCCTATTGACTAGAAATATTTTCTCTTGGCTACTAAATCAGTTGTATATTTCCCATTCAAAAGATGGATGTTAAAACCTATCTATGTAAAATGGAATAGTATTTTATGATTTCCATAACTGGGATACACTAGCAAATCAACAACACGTAGAAACTGTTAAATACAAATTGTTACAAATGCAAATTGTAGACAATGTCAAATACCAAGTACGTAGGCCACACGTAGATATTTTATATTTCTGGATAAGCCTTTCAAATGATTTGTCTACAGAAGTGAACTTTAAAGTCAATGGGAATTTTTGTAGATAAATAGTTATAAAAGTTTATCCAAAAATATTAAATCATTTGAAAAGCTTATCCAAAAATATTAAATCACGGCTCTAAGCTTTTCAAATGATTGAATACATTAGACAAACTTTCCAATAGTCACTATTAAAGTCAATGGGAATTTTTGTAGATAAATCAGAAAGTTTTTCCAACAGAATTGAATTATTTAGACAGCTTATTAAATTGAGGCAAAGGCTTTGATTTAATTTGTTTGAATCACAACCAAAGATTATTCTATTCTGGCAGATTTTTTTTTTCAAATGATTTAGATAAATTGTAGAAAATTTATTTGAAAAGTTTTTCTAACAGAATGGAATAATGTATGATTCTTCGTCAAACAAATTAAATCGGGGCCTCAATGCTTGCAATAAAGCAAAATGTCTCGATGTACTATGTGTGCATGAAATTTCTCATTATGCACTCACAAACATGTTTAATGGTATGCTGTTATTGTCATGTCATTTCAAGCTTGTAATAACTAAATTGCCAGTAATTGAACAGGGGATTTGGGTCGACATTACCTGAATATAAAAGAGCAAATACCAGTGAGGAAACCAAGAAAACTAATCCGATAATATTCACAATTTTCTATCTCCAGCAGTCCTCTTATCTTAAGCAGTGCGAACCACACACATTTCATTTGGCCAAAGGAAACATTATCGCAAGTCGTCAAACATAGTGTACGCCAACCCATGTGAGTTTATTTTAATATTGCTAAACACTTACTGCATAATAACTGATGACATTATAATGGTTTCATATTTTTTTATCTATATATATATAAATAAAAAATTTTTTTTTTTATTTTTTTATAATTCTTTATTTTTTAAGTGCATGTGAAATATCGTTTGCAGGGTATAACATGACATTAATAGGCAATGCAAGAAAGCAGTTTGCGTATACAAAACATGTGGATAAAGATGCACCATTTTTGTGGTTCAGGCAATAGGTAAAAGGGTCTGACCTGAGTCAGACCTTGCATAAAAACAACAATATTAAACGTTTGGTTTGCATGTCCGGCAGGGTGCTTGTTGTGATGATATAGTGTGCTAGCATGCGCAAAATCAGGCATAAATACTGTTTTTGCTGAGGCTATTGTTATTATTGACGGAGTTACGTGTCTGTCTAGGGAGTGCTTTTCGGGTACCCTTGTGCATGTTAGGGACGGCACCCTTCGACCTGTGCTTATCTTGATGCCGAGCCTGCAATGTAGCCAGGTGGAAGTGAACTGTACCTGAGGTTGTCTGAGCTGAATCCGATCGGGTGTAGGCAGTTTGGTCGCTGCTAAGTGTGGTCATGTAGCTTGATGTGGGTTTAAGTATATGGGTGTGCGTGGTAGTGTGTGTCTCCGTCTTTTAATCAGCCTCGCCTGTCGGGCCTAGGTTATAGATGATAGTGTTGTTGCTTCAAGGGGAGCTTGGGCCGGTTGTGGCTGTTAGTGGCCCTAGCCAAGGGGGCTGGGGGGTTGTGGTGGGTGTAGAGCCCTACCCCTGCATCCCTATCTCATGAAGCATTGCCCCTCCATTCAAAGCCTCATAGGGAGGGTCAGTATATCCCTAGCTCTGCACATGGGGGGTATGTAGGTTGCGGTAGCCTTGTCTAGCCAGCTGGAGAACAGAAACCAAAGAAAACTGTTTAAACTTAGGTAAAACTGTGTGTTATGAGTACAGTCCCTTGTTGCCTGCTGCTCGTTGGGGTCCGAGCTTAGTCATGCTCGTGGAGTGGTCCAGTGGTATGTAACTCCTGCGGTTCTCAGTTGGCTCGTGGTTGGGTAGAGCATTTTGCGCCATTGCAGGGTGGACCTCGACAGGTCTTGGTAGAAGGACAGGTCAGCACCCTCAAATGTGTATGGTGTTTGGTTTCGTATAGCTGAGAGGAGTGCTTTTTTGTCTTGAGCCAGGGCGCAGCGAACTGATATCACTCACGGCACTTGCTGGGACCCTAGGTGATTTTGGTAGGCGGAACATGCCATCAAAAGCGAGTTTTTTTAGCGTGTGTTGGCGGTAATAGGGAGGCTGTTAGTCGTCTCAGGTAGTGGGGCATTTTGTCCATGGTGACGGACTCAGGTACCCCTTTTATCTTCAGGTTATTACGCCTGGAACGGTCCTCCAGCGTAGCAAACTTAGTGGAAAATGCTTGCTGGGTTTTGTGGACATTTTGCAGGGAGTCTTGTACAGTTATCATTTCCCGCCTCATATCTATGATGTCCTCTTCTGTGGCTCTCACCCTGTCTGTAACCACCTGTAAGTCAGCCTGAATGACTGCTATGTCAGTTGCTAGCTTCTGGCGAAATTCGGTGAAGAGATTTTTAATATCATGCTTGGTGGCCAGAGCTGATATATCAGGTAAGGCTGCAGCTGTGTGTTCTGGTGTTTGTGGCAGGGTTTGTGCTTGAGGGTAGTCAGGCGTTTGGGTCTGAGGGTCTGCTAGGGCCTGCTGGTTGGCTGGGGCCGCCATTTTGGGCAAGGTTTGGTGCTGTACTAGGGCCCCTGTGTCTTGGGATTCGCTTTAGGTACCTGAGAGAGGTTTCTGTGAGCGTCTTCCTATGATTGAGGGCTTATCTGCAGGTAAGTGGGTGTCTGTGCTCCAGTTGTGCTGGAGGGAGATGTGCCTCAGGAAATCCTCCAGGCGTGTAGCGTGATGGTAGGCCGCAGGCTTCTTCCGTCGCCGGTTCTGTCCAGAACCAGCAAAGAACGTCATGTGCCAATACTGGGAGACACCGGGATGTAGATGATGGTGTGGGAAATGGTGGATGGGCAGTTTATCCGAGGATATCCGTCGGATTGAGCAGACCACCGTCGGAGCTCCCGAAAATGGTGTCCGCTCCGTTCCGCGGTTAAGCCCCACTCCCCTATTATTATTTGTTTAATAAAGTTAATAGTACAGGGAGTGCAGAATTATTAGGCAAGTTGTATTTTTGAGGATTAATTTTATTATTGAACAACAACCATGTTCTCAATGAACCCAAAAAACTCATAAATATCAAAGCTGAATATTTTTGGAAGTAGTTTTTAGTTTGTTTTTAGTTATAGCTATGTTAGGGGGATATCTGTGTGTGCAGGTGACTATTACTGTGCATAATTATTAGGCAACTTAACAAAAAACAAATATATACCCATTTCAATTATTTATTATTACCAGTGAAACCAATATAACATCTCAACATTCACAAATATACATTTCTGACATTCAAAAACAAAACAAAAACAAATCAGTGACCAATATAGCCACCTTTCTTTGCAAGGACACTCAAAAGCCTGCCATCCATGGATTCTGTCAGTGTTTTGATCTGTTCACCATCAACATTGCGTGCAGCAGCAACCACAGCCTCCCAGACACTGTTCAGAGATGTGTACTGTTTTCCCTCCTTGTAAATCTCACATTTGATGATGGACCACAGGTTCTCAATGGGGTTCAGATCAGGTGAACAAGGAGGCCATGTCATTAGATTTTCTTCTTTTATACCCTTTCTTGCCAGCCACGCTGTGGAGTACTTGGACGCGTGTGATGGAGCATTGTCCTGCATGAAAATCATGTTTTTCTTGAAGGATGCAGACTTCTTCCTGTACCACTGCTTGAAGAAGGTGTCTTCCAGGAACTGGCAGTAGGACTGGGAGTTGAGCTTGACTCCATCCTCAACCCGAAAAGGCCCCACAAGCTCATCTTTGATGATACCAGCCCAAACCAGTACTCCACCTCCACCTTGCTGGCGTCTGAGTCGGACTGGAGCTCTCTGCCCTTTACCAATCCAGCCACGGGCCCATCCATCTGGCCCATCAAGACTCACTCTCATTTCATCAGTCCATAAAACCTTAGAAAAATCAGTCTTGAGATATTTCTTGGCCCAGTCTTGACGTTTCAGCTTGTGTGTCTTGTTCAGTGGTGGTCGCCTTTCAGCCTTTCTTACCTTGGCCATGTCTCTGAGTATTGCACACCTTGTGCTTTTGGGCACTCCAGTGATGTTGCAGCTCTGAAATATGGCCAAACTGGTGGCAAGTGGCATCGTGGCAGCTGCACGCTTGACTTTTCTCAGTTCATGGGCAGTTATTTTGCGCCTTGGTTTTTCCACACGCTTCTTGCGACCCTGTTGACTATTTTGAATGAAACGCTTGATTGTTCGATGATCACGCTTCAGAAGCTTTGCAATTTTAAGAGTGCTGCATCCCTCTGCAAGATATCTCACTATTTTTGACTTTTCTGAGCCTGTCAAGTCCTTCTTTTGACCCATTTTGCCAAAGGAAAGGAAGTTGCCTAATAATTATGCACACCTGATATAGGGTGTTGATGTCATTAGACCACACCCCTTCTCATTACAGAGATGCACATCACCTAATATGCTTAATTGGTAGTAGGCTTTCGAGCCTATACAGCTTGGAGTAAGACAACATGCATAAAGAGGATGATGTGGTCAAAATACTCATTTGCCTAATAATTCTGCACTCCCTGTATGTGTAACTATTATTCTTTTATTTTATCTTTTTCCATGGTGATTGCACTATGTACTCCGATTGGGTGTTAAAAAACACTGCGGCGTCAATCTCTCCCACAGGAAGAATAGCCAAGAATCAGTGTTTCCTTACATTTTGGTCTGACCCCAATTTACAGTACTTCTCCTGGGTCTATAAAGTATATAGTTTTATTTAAAAAAAAAAACAAAAAAACACTTTATGATATATTTCTTTTTGAGAATTTATTTATCCCCTTTGAATGAACTCAGAAAGGCTGCCAAAGTTTACAGCAAATGTACGAATTCTCTAAATCCACATGGAATAATTACCTTCCGTTCTTTAACAATAATTCTTGTCATTGTGCTATTCCAACGTGAGGCTAGAGGTCAAAGTACAATTACTTTGGATGGTAGGCGACTTCTTTAAAAAGCTTACTTATTTATCAAACACATTACTCTTTAATAAATATGCCAAAAAAAGTTTATTATAAATTAAATAACTTGAGTATTAATCTAGTGCACCAGTGATTTTCCTTTCTGTTACCTTATTAACTAAGACATGGGTGTCCAACCTTTTGCTTCCCTGGGTCATATTGAGCACAGAGGAATTGTCTTGGGCCGCACATAACATTTATAATTTATTTATATAATAAAACTTCAAAAGCCCTTTTCTTAATTTAGTTTAATATATGACTCCCTAATTTGTTATCCTTATGTGGGATTGCCATATTTAAGGATACCAAATTAGGGAGCTATCTACTAAACACATATACATGTATATGCATATGCACACATAACCAGATGTACACACACACACACAATCACAAACCTATACAGACAATCACAGACCCACACACATACAATCTCACACCTATACACACAATCGCATACATACACACACAATCACAGATCCACACACATAATCACTGACTTACACAAACACAGTCACAGACATACACACAGACCTCCCCACACACACACACAATCAATGACAAAATATACACAAAAAATATATTCAGACACATTTAGTACTTAAGAGGTCCACCCAGCCTCCTATCTTGTTCTGGGATGGCTGGAATGGATCCTCTGTCCCTGGTGGCTAGTGGTTGCTGCTGGCCTGGAATGTCTGTGCTCTTCCTACGAATACCCCCACTAGTGATGCCGATGCTGGGATGGCAAGCTTTCCAGGAGGAATACAGTATGTAAAGGGCTCCCTGCCTCGCTTGCTGCCCGGACTGCTACCGGACCGCACTGCTAGCCTTCTGGGCTGCGGATTGGACACCCCTAAACTAAGAAGCACATTTATTAAATGTTTGAATTATACATACAGCATTCTGGAGTATGTCTGCTCCTTGTAAAATAGAATTGAGATAATTCTTAAAAATTTGCATACCAGGGGCATTGCTGGACTGCGCTTGTTGGTGGGCGTGTGAAGTGAGTGCTCATCTTGTCTGTGGCAAATTACAGTGTGGGATTCACAGCTAAGCTGCCCATTCAGACAGCAAACAGGTACGTCACCTGCAACAGACACCAGTATTTATTTTTATTTATTTATTTATTATTTATTTATAAAATATTTTACCAGGAAGGATACATTCGTTTTCAAGTATGTCCTGGGTCCACAAAACAGTGCATTGATACAAAAAGGTACAATAAAATACAAAAACAGTATTAATACACCATATATACAAAATTAAACATAGAACATGTAGGAAATATCTAATCAACCATGACAGGTGCATTCTGTTTTGAGACACGTAGAGAGGGATCTCTTAAAGGAGAGGGATCTCATATACCTTTTTTTTAAAAAGCCCCACACAGAACCTACTACTATCAGGGGATGCTGAGAAATCTTTAACAATCTGTATTGATCCCTGCTGTTCGCCACCTTGGAAGCAATGGTCTTCGGCACTAACTGGATTAAATGGTATAGGGCAATATATTCCACCCCAAGTGCAAAAATTAGGATTAATGGTCAACTGTTGAATCCCGTACATATAAGGATTCGACAGTTGATTTCCCGTACATATAAGGATTCGACTGCTTGATTTTTTTTAGCCAGATTATCAATTGTATCTGTAATGTGAAAATTTTTAACTGGTAAGAATTGATCTATGATAATAACAAATAAAAAATAATAAAAAATAAATAACGTTAGGGCACCCTAATCCCAGAAAACAGAAATGAATCAATCTCACAGTAATTACCTCTGTCAAAAAGGAACAATACACCAGAGTAAATCAATTCATTCCTCTAGTTATTACCCACTCCAAAAAGGCATTCAAATTCAAACAATGGCAGATAAAGAGCACAAAAAATATTTATGAAATAAAGTGCTAGAATTACACGGGGGGAGAGAGAGGCTGACAGAGACACATATCCCATGCCAAGCAAGCTGGACACATTTTGTGCTTGAATGGGGACCTTATTTACAGCTACCACAAGTAAAAAAGGCTTTTAATTTTTTTTACAAATTTTTATTATAAGAAGTGTCCTTGGATCATCACATAAACTTTGAGTCAGAATATCTGGCACAATAACTTCAGATCCGTTCAAAGTATAATTCTGGGGATTAGATGCAAATTCTCTGTTAAATTAAACCATTAACTACTATTACTATAAAACACAATAATTAATGTAATCCCTTTTCAAATGTGAAACATACTGATAGAAAAAGCTAATGTCTTGGCTAATCCTTTTGGTTTTGCCAACATCATAGTTTAACTCTTTATGTGAATATTTTGTCTATCTAGTATGGATTTATTTGAACAACTATGTTATGTAAATAATGAAGCTACTTGTTGTCATGTGTGGTTTGATATGTTAAAGGGATACTTTAAGCACCAAAACAACTTTAGCTTAATGTAGCAGTTTTAGTTTATAGATCATACAAATAGATAAGATATTCAATACAAACTGTAGCGGAGCTGCAATAATAAAATCCCAAATCTCCGCTGTTTAGCAGATATATCTCAATCCCCAGTAACCGGACGACACACAGTTCTGGGAGTCAACTGGTTTATTCAGGGCCACACACGGCTTTTATGCAAAAGCCCCTACGTGGGGTTTCCCATACAAACTTACAGGGTAATCCCTCCCATGATCCTCTGTGCCTGAGAGATATTTACCTGGAAAAAAAATATATATAATTAAATTATTTCTCCGGTACAGAAAAATCTAAAATGTTTATGACACCCCAAAAGACACATAAAACAACTATCTACCCCTGAAATCTTATATCCCCGGAAAGCCTGGATCTGAGCGCACAACATTTTCGAAAAGCACTCAGATCCCACGAACACAGCCGAAATGCCACCAGGGTAAAGATTTCACCGCACACAAGGCTCCTGCCCAAAATAGTTCCATAGAATCGGGGGTAGTGGTCAGTCTCTTTTGGGTGCATGAAAATGAACAAAATGCCGAATGGATGCTTTCACCTGTATGCTGGTCGTGTGCCCCTCATTCGTGGGAATGATTCCACTGAACAGTGTTCTTTTCAGATGTATAGGAATGAATGCAGGCGAGTTTATGATTTTAGTTCCATGCACTTGACGACCAAACACCGCTGCCTGCATTCGCTGGAAACAAGATGACCACCACCACATGTTCGTACATACGAACGACGGCCACCCAGCCAACCGTTTAGAGCACTGAGGTGGGAATCATTATGGAAGTGTTAACAGGGATGATGGAGGTTAACAAGTATACGGGTGGTCTGGATCTTTCGTGGTTTTGTTCGGTTGTCGAACAAAACAAGGGTAAAAAGTAGGTGAACGTGGTTTTACTGAACAAACCAGGGAATCCTAGTAACATAGGTTAATTTCGCCACACAAACACACTGAGAAATAAGGGTAGCAAAAAAATTTAGACTTTTTTTTTCCCAAGATGTGTGAGTGTCAGCCAGGCGATGTGTGGCTAGGACTGCATAAACTTAGCAATTTAACTCCTAAATTGCAGAGAATTGATTAGCCAAACTGCAAGGGCATGATCTATACACCAAAACTACTTTATTAAGCTACAGTTGTGTGGTGCCTATAGTGTCGCTTTAATATAATTAATTAGTTGGGTAACAGAGATCAGTATATTTAATACTTTTTCAGAGACTGGAGTTGAAATATCTAACCCCTCACACACTTAGAACTTGACAGTGTTTTAAGAGTTAAACTTTTCTATGGTCACAATCTCCACTGTAGGTCAATGGGAGAACTGTATTCAGATAATGGCATCTCTTGTAATAGAATGCAACCCAAGTGTGTGAATGCACTCCTCTACCCCCATTAGCTATTAATTACATTTACCAAGACACCAATATGACAGTAGCATTTGTCTTTATATTCTACCTGTGTTTAGTTTCAATATGTTACCTGGTTTGATAAGGCATGGCATTACTGTTCAATACCAGAAAACTATCTGAACAATGGTGCAGTAATAGAAATGATAAAGAGTAATTTCCTTCTCTTTTGAGTCAGCGTTATTCTGCCATTATTAATCCATGATGTAATAATTATTAATTGGATTTTCTTTTCCAGAATGGGGAAGAAAATTAAAAAAGAAGCTGAGCCTCCTCCAAAAGATGTGGTAAGTATGAGTCATATGCTTTATATAACAAAGGGTTTTTTTGCTAAACAGAGTTTGTTGGTTAGGCGAAGGATGTGATGTAAAATAATTAATCAAAATAATCAATTTGCAAAGAGAGAAGCAAGTTGAATCTTTTGAAGTTTGTTATTTTCCCAGCCTGGTTACTTTTCTCCTAAAATGGATTTGCAAATAGAAAATACTAATGAGTGGCAGTTCACAGAATCAGGCAGACAGGTTCTACTTCATGTGTTCAATTAGATTTTATCATAGCTGTATCATGTATTGAATATGGATATCTCTAAGAATTCCTACATGTGTGTTGGCAAAATACAGTGGGACCTCGGTTTACAAACGCCTCGGTTAACATAATTTTCGGTTTACAAATGAAAATCCATTGAAAATAATTCCTCGGTTTAGAAATTTGTTTCGCAATACAAAGCAAGTTTCCCCAGGATGCATTGCACCTGGGAGGTTTATAGCACCGCCCCCTGCATGCTGGAGTCTGTGGGTAGCACGTGGCGTCGAGTGTGGAGGTGTTGGAGCGGCTTTTGCATCGAGTTTTGGGACTTTTTGGTGCATTTCTCAAGCTGTGGAAAGGTAGGGAGCTGAGCTTCGTCGTTTGCATGTCTTTTATTGTGTGTTCTGCATTGTGGGTTGGTTTCCATGCCACATCATTTTGACTTTTTTCTGACCTCCAGAACGGATTAATTGGTTTTCAATGCATTCCTATGGGACAACGCGTTTCGGTTTACACATTTTTCGCAATAAGAAATGTCCCGGAGAACGCATTAAATTCGTAAACCGAGGTCCCACTGTACATGCATAACATTGTCTTAAAGCGGCTCTGTCACCGATGCGGCTTGCCCAGATTGATGTGTGGTCTGTCCTTTCCAGTTCCTGGTGGTTCATCTGCCAGGAGCCCAGATCAGTGCTGTACCCCTGCACATGCATGAGAGTAAAACACTGTGCCAGAGCCTCTAAATACAATGCCTTTTCCCTATAGCCATCAGTTTTGTCAGGCTTAGGGAATATATAAGACTAAGTATTCCCTACTTTGTCTTAGTATATATTTTAACTGCCTTGGGATTTCAGTGAAATTCCATCACAGTCAATGTGAATATTTATAAAGGAGTTTATATTTATGAAATACTAATTTTGCCAGGGAGGGTGTTAACCGAGCCGCTTTAGTAAATATCATCTAAAGAAGTGGAAGTTTGAGTGCAGAGTGCAGCATGGTACTGCAGTGTTCACCTCTTTGTTTGCAGGTGAAGTATATTCTGTGTTCTCAAAATGCAATACAGAAACAATAGAACTTAGCTGTACAGTGAGCGAGATGGAATCTTGCCAGTATACCTGGACTTTACCTCCTGCCAATAAACACAGCTGTGCCTGATTATGTCCATTTCTGTTACTCTAATGTGACTGTTCAGTGGTCCAGAATACAAACCGGATTAGGTCATATTGTGAAAATGTTATGAAATGTTACTCTTTTTGTATTTTTCTGTTTCATATACCAAGTTTATTTATATTGGCAACATGTGTAGGACAAAGATGATGTTAATTTAAAGTTTTGCTATGTTCCAGTAAATCTCATTTTTTTTTTTTATAATTCTTTATTTTTCTTTGTGCATGGAGTAACAGATCATTTGTAAATGCCACAGCAGCATATTTAAAAGATATGAACACAGTAGCTGTACATTTATGGCATAAGAGTATCAGCACAATTTTTAAATGTTGAGTTATGAACAAGCTAAGCGTAATGCAAGATTAACCCACGTTTGTTAGTAGCAGGAGTATTTGCACATTCGTAGAGTATTAACCAGCTTAATTAGATGATTATACTATCAGAATAGATATATGTAAAACCTTTGAGAATAAGTAATGCTTTACAGTTATAGGTTAACTACGTTAGTACCAGTGAGATGTGGTAACATGCTTTCATGTTTCAGGGTTAGGATACGTTGAGGCTCTGACACGTAAAGATTTAGAAAGCATGAGAACATATGTTAAAGTAGGCCGCTGATCACTAGCTATGCATATTGGGTAAATCTGTAAACAGGTAGGTCTGAGCAAATGAATATCATAAGTTATAGTTACAAATAACACCAGGATATTCATGCTTATATATCATATGGTCCTGTTAGGGAGTAGTATTCAGAGTAGTGAGATAGATGGGAAAACATGACTGGTATAATTTTTACTTTAGCACGACTGTATAATAGGTACATGTTAAATTGCCTAGTGAGGTGGCTAAGTATACTTGTCTGGCTAGGCATAAATTTTGTAGTGGCATGAGTGTGCTATTTGTCGATTATCTCAGGGTAGCAAGGCTTGAAACTATTGCGGGATATAGTCCTCCATGACTGCATGAGCGTGGTGGTGTGGCAGCAGTCCAGGCCGCAGTGCGGTAGGGTGAGTCAGTGAGAGTCAGCCGACTCCTGTAGTCGGCTCTGGCAGGGCACATACTGGAAAGTCCCATGGATCCTCAGAGCCTTGCGTCAGAAGATGTGGAGGGTCTCCACCATTGTTTCCCAGACCCACGTGAGTGCTTTGGATGGCGGGTACACCGACACTACTGTGGCGGCTCGGTGGTTTTCCTTCTCCTGCCACCGCTCTGCGGGTAAGTGTCTCTGAATTTCTGTTGAACGTGGGGTCAAAGTCCTTCTGAGAGCTAGTTGCGGCTTTGCAGCGCCGCTGGTGGATGATGTGCTGATAGGCCCTCTTTGCACCGTCTGCTGTGGACCGGGTATTGGCCCGTCGGGTGTGCCTCCTTTTTGCTTTAAGCAGCGGCGGGCTGTGGAGTGTTGCTCTCCGATGCTGACGACGCTCGGGTTGACGACGTCGGGTATGCGACGTGCGGCCTTGAGGTCTGGGTTTAGCTCCCCTCACCTCCTGCCGCCGTGCCCCGGTCATTGGCTTGGCTGTGTGCTTCGGTGCCGGGCTCTGTGCAGGTAATCTGGTGGGCGGTCGAGAGGTCTTTGTGGTTGCTCGGGTCTGTGTTATGTCCCACCATCTCATCCAGAAGTGGTCGAAGGCCGCCGCTATGTTGTCCTTGTAGGGGAGCTTGTTTGTCTGCTGCTCGGGTTGAGGCTGAGCGAGTGGAGGCCCTAGAGCCTGGTCGGCAGTCGCCATCTTGGCCTCCGAGTGTGGGTCGCCTGTGGTCACGGAGGCTGGTAGGGTCCCGTGGCCCTGTAGAGATTGGGCCGGGATGACCCCCGCCGGCCCATGGGGGGGGGATACGGGCTCTCGATCGCAGAGATAGCCGGTCTTGGCAGCAGGAGGGCGGCCGTCCCCCCTGTGCTCGCCATGTGAGTAGGCCCCGGACACCTGGCCCGTGGTTGTAGCTTGTAGTGTCCCTTGTGGGGTAACATTTTGTTCAGCCTGATGTTCCCTTGCAGTTGCTGGCCTTCCTGGCCCGATCAATCGCTTTTAAAGTCGTGGAATTAGGGTTTTAGTACAGCTTAGTGCAGGAGCTCTTTTGATACACGTCCACACGGCTCTGCGGTCAGGCCCCGCCCCCCAGTAAATCTCATTTAAACCATTTTTAGGTAAACAAACGGAAAATGATATTGTACTGCAAAATGCAAACAAAGAAACAAAAGGCAATGCACATTATCTAGGCCAGGGGTAGGCATCCTTTTAGTAATACTGTTCCAAAACAAGATCTTGAAGTCTTTTGGGGTACCTGTCTTATTTTTTTTAATTGAGGTGTGCGTTCCTGAATTGTGCTAGTGTTATTTATGGGTGCTGCAGTTGCTTTATAACATTATGTTTGTGTGTTTGTGGGCTGTTATATTGCATATGTTCATGAGTAGTTTGTGTTATTGTGTATGATACTTATGAATGTGGGCTGTGGAGGCTGCTTGTTGAATTGTGTGTCTAGATGATCTGTCTTATTGTGTGTTTGGTGGTGTGTGTATGTATGTGTGGGGCTGCTTGTGGTGTTGTGTGCTTTACTCCTGTGTGGATTTCCATTCACAAGTGCTGGGAGAAAGTGAGCTTAGATCACTTTCTCTTAGTGTGCAACGTGAAATGCGGAACATAAGGACTCTCCCCCACCAACTCCAATTACCACTCAGGTTGTACTAGCAGATATCTGAAGTCCCACTGGGATTCCTGAAAGGCACCTCGAGAGCCATGCTTGGCACACTTGCCATAGGTTGCTGACCACTGATCTAGACCCTGCAATAAGGTAAAATTATACATTTGTATATTTATTTTGCTTTGATAACACCCACCTTAGTATTTCACATTGCTTAAATGCAATCCTAAAATAAATCCCCAAAGACAAAATCCAAGCAAAATAACCACACAGCTTTTTCTATGCCTTGTTGAGTCTGCCTTGTAATTTTTTTTTAAACAAAACAGTTGTAACAATGAGATAATTGAACATTGAAATGTATAGTAGGTACAAAGAAAAAGGGTCAAATACTAGGGTTTAGCAGGGGGGGGGTTGACAGCTGTTGTAGAAGTGTAAAGTCAACCTTCCTTATTTTGACACATGAAAACTCCTGCGTTGTAGTATGTAGCATTTAAATGCTGCAGATAGGAAATCAAGTGATCGATTAGTCAGGATTCCTGAAACATATAAATTATGCTTAATACTGGGCAATACTTTTCATATACTGCCCACTCTGCATTCTAAAAGTGTAAAACGTTCCTGAGAAAAGCATAGAGAAGCATTGGGATGGTGCGTCGTGAGCAGGGCCGTCTTTAACGCGGGGCAAAAGGGACAGTCATTTCTAGGGGGCCCAAAGCAACTGCCCTTTGAGCCCGCCGGCTGCCATGGTGAGTGCGGGCCGTGTGGTACTACCACCGCGGGCCGCACAATGAGGGGTCCCATTGGGTGGCCCATGCTCTTAGGGCCACCAGCGCTGCAGCACTTTAACAGTGCGACCGGGCTCCCTGGGGGGGTCCCATTGGGTGGCCCATGCTCTTAGGGCCACCAGCGCTGCAGCACTTTAACAGTGCGACCGGGCTCCCTGTGATGAGGTCAGCGCTAGGAGGAAGTGCAGTCACTTCCTCCTAGCTAACACAGAAGAGTGCCGCGCGGGAGAGAGGAGGAGTGTGGACTGGGAGAGAGCCCAACTCCCAACAGCCTCAGACAGCCACTGGACCCCATGTAGGAAACAGCAGGGTTACTGAAATTGCATATTTTCCATGTATGTGTATCTGTCTGTCTGTATGTGTGTTTCTGTGTGTATATATGTCTATATATGTAAATGCATGTGTCTGTTTATCTTTGTGTGTCTGTATGTGTATATGCATGTGTGTCTGTGTATCTGTCTGTATGTGTATATGCATGTGTCTGTGTATCTGTCTATATGGGTATCTGTCTGTATGTGTGTCAAGTGTGTGCCCCTCTGTATCTGTGTGTGTCAATGTTTGCATCTATATAAGTGTCATCCAGTGTATCTGAATGTTTGTCATTAAGTGTGTCTGTGTACCTGCATGTGTGTCAGTGTGTCTGTATGTGTATCTCTGTGTCTGTATGTGTATCTCTTGGTATGTGTGTGCCCCTGTGTATCTGTATGTGTCTGTGTATCTGTGCATCTGTATGTGTTACTGTGTGTCTGTGTAACTGCATTTGTGTCCGTGTATGTATCTGCATGTGTGTTATTGTGTGTATCTGCATATATGTCAGGGTGTGTTTGTTTCTCTGTGTGTGTTAGTGTGTGTCTGCATGTTTGTCGGTGAGTGAGTGTATCTGTATGTGTGACAGTGTGTATCTGTGTATGCACCTGTGTGTCTGTGTATCTGTCTTTGTATGTCTGTGTATATGGATGTATGTATCTCTGTACCTTCTTTTCTCTTTCTTTTCTATTTTCTTTTCTCTTTCTTTTCTCTTACCTGTGTATGTCTGAGCCTGTGTATGTGTATATCTGCATCTGTGTCAGTGTTTGCATCTGTATGTGTGTCAGTGTGTGTATTTTCTCTAGGTTAAAAATAAGTGTGGCTAAGTCTATGATCTATGAGTGTGTGTGTGTGTGTTTTTTTTTTGTGTTTTCTTTATGTGTGTCTTTGGGTGGAAGACGTGTTTGCATGCTAGAAGGTGGGAGGGAGGAGACCAGGGGGTCCAAGCTAATGCTTGCCCAGGGGTCCAATCAACATTAAAGATGGCCCTGATCGTGGGCATGCGCCTTTTGTTCCAATTGCTTCTCTACAAGCATGGGATTGAAAAAAAGTCTTCAGACCTGATGACTTCACAGAATGCATAGTTTCTGCAGATAACATTCTGTACTGGAGCTAAACTAAATTTTTCTTACTTTGTTATGACAAATGGAGGTATCAGTAATCCAAACAATAAAAAAGGAACATTCTAACAATAAAAATAAATATTTAATTTTACCAGTAGAGTGTTCCTTTAAAATGTTTCTTTTTAGTATGCCCTCCATGTTTTTTCCCAGGGAACTTCAATGGGGGTTTTTCAAACACGTTACTCAGTCGCTTATGATTTGTTTCAGTTCGACCCATTATCCATCGAAAGCAAAAAGGCGGCAACAGCTGTGTTGATGCTTCAGTCTCCAGAAGAAGAGATTTTAATCAAATCCTGTGAAGCTTTATACAAATTTGCACAAAAAGGTGCGTAATCCAGTGATGTCATTAAACAATGTTAACCTTTAATGCTTTGAGTGTTGTATGGAGGAAGGAAATATAATTTTTTTAAAAAGCAAACAACTAATCAGACCACCAATAAGCAACGCAGGGAGGCAAAGATGGTGGGGAGGGCTGAAATAAAAAAGGGAGGAAGAGGATATTGAAGCTTCCTCTTGCGGAAGTACTTCCAGAGCTTCGTTCAAGGGTAGAAACTGATAACATCTGTCGTCAGCGTACAGTGTGTGCTGACAACAGATGGAATTTTTGCACAGAATTGACATTAGACAGCTGGAACAAAGTTTTGTGGTGCAACTATTCCCTTTTTTTTTTACACTTACTAAAATACTAATTACTTTAATATACCTCACAGTACAGGGCTCAGTACAGCACAATTACATAGCTCACTCCTGGCGTGCGCCACAATCCACACATATAGCACACTTCAGCTGCATGTTGCACTCAAATAAAATACGTTCTAGAGTGCTATTCAATATAGACACACCGCTTTATGGCGAATTCCTTAATACAAACACACTGCTCCCTCTTAGAGCAATCCTTAATACAGACACCCAGCTCCCTCCTAGAGCAATGCTTAATACAGACACACAGCTGCCTCCTAGAGCAATGCTTAATACAGACACACAGCTCCCTCCTAGAGCAATGCTTAATACAGACACCCAGCTCCCTCCTAGAACAATGCTTACTACAGACACACAACTCCCTCTTAGAGTAATGCTTAAAAGACACACAGATCCATCCTAGAGCGGTGCTTAATACAAACACACAGCTCTCTCCTAGAGCAATGCTTAATACAGACACACAGCTGCCTCCTAGAGCAATGCTTAATACAGACACCCAGCTCCCTCCTAGAGCAATGCTTAATACAGACACACAGCTGCCTCCTAGAGCAATGCTTAATACAGACACACAGCTCCCTCCTAGAGCAATGCTTAAATAGACACACATCTAACCTCCCAGAGCAATGCTTGATACAGACACACAGCTCCCTCCTAGAGCAATGCTTTATACAGACACCCAACTCCCTCCCAGAGCCATGCTTAATACAGACACACAACTCCATCCTAGAGCAATGCCTAATACAGACACACAGCTCCCTCCTAGCGCAATGCTTAATAGAGACACACAACTCCATCCTAGAGCAATGCTTAATACAGACACACAGCTCCCTCCCAGAGCGATGCTTAATACAGACACCCAGCTCCCTCCCAGAGCAATGCTTAATACAGACACACAACTCCCTCCTAGAGCGATGCTTAATACAGATACACAACTCCATTCTAGAGCAATGCTTGATACAGACACCCAGCTCCCTCCTAAAGCAATGCTTATTACAGACACCCAGCTCCCTCCTAGAGCAATGTTTAATACAGACACACAGCTCCCTCCTAGAGCAATGCTTGATACAGACACCCAGCTCCCTCCTAGAGCCATGCTTAATACAGACACACAGCTCCCTCCTAGAGCAATGCTTGATACAGACACCCAGCTCCCTCCCAGAGCAATGCTTAATACAGACACCCAGCTCCCTCCTAGAGCCATGCTTAATACAGACACACAGCTCCCTCCTAGAGCAATGCTTAATACAGACACACAGCTCCCTCCTAAAGCAATGCTTAATACAGACACGCAGCTCCTTCCTAGAGTAATGCTTGATACAGACACACAGCTCCCTCCTAGAGCAATGCTTAATACAGACACCCAGCTCCATCCTAGAGCAATGCTTAATACAGACACCCAGCTCCCTCCTAGAGCAATGCTTTTCGCTTTACGTTTGAAATGATCCACTGAGGCAACTTCCGAGCTACACCTCACGAGACCCTGATGGGAGATGGGACCCCCATGTAGGCACCCCCCCACACTAGACATCCCAAACCGAGCATACCCCTCTAATGGACGACACAGTGGCAGACCTACGATACCTATCTAAACGACAGAACGACAGAAGTACATAACCCACGCTATGCCAAAGAGAAGTGGGCAACTAGCTCGGTCAGGCACACGAGCTATAGACAGCACACACAAACATCATCACTTGACAACGGACCACACGATCAGTTTCACTGACTAAATATAAAAATACGCGCTCTGAACATAACCACTGCATTATGTACCTGCAAATGACAATTTATTTAAATGTTCCCTCAAAATGTAAAAGATTCGCTTTTTGTTACATGCAGCACGCAAAAAATAAAGAATAAAAAAAAAAAAAAAAGAAGTTTGAAATGATCAATAGTAGTTTCCCACTCAGACATTCTAAGAAGTTTATTAATTCTCCCTTCCCACACTGGGTTTTGACAGCTTGCCATAATAATAATCTGCCAGCACTGCTGAGATGAGTGGGATCACATTTTTATCCACACACTTTGGACGACCTTGGTCTGAGATAGGCCATTATAATTGGTGTTTGAGAAGTGTAGCTATTGATTTAGCCATTTGCTATGTGGTTTGTTGTGTTTTGTTTTTTTCTACTGAGCTTTTGATTCTCACACATTACACGGATTTCCAGGACAATGTTCTACAATAGCAGTGGAAACCAATGGAATTTACCTATTGATTTATCTGCTTATTTCTCTGCTTTTAGAACAATGCCCCAGAATTTCTCTTTGACACCATTAGGGCTAGGTATATTTTTGATTGTCACACCTTTCAGTACCATGGACAGGGAGTACAGTGTGCAATGCCAAGAGAGATGAATATTGTAATGTAAGTGATTTTTCAAAAGAGTTACCTGAAGTTTGAGTTTATTGTTCTAGTGACATTGACAGCATTTTTAAGCACTTAAAATTAGTGCAACCCCTGGCAGCCTTCTGGCATCATGATATTTCTCCATCTTTGACAGCAGTAACATCCAAATAAGGATATAAACAGCAAATGGACAAATTAATAGCTATAGCTAAGTCTTCTCTCCCCCATTACATAAAATATGGACTCCTCATGAAGACATGAGATAGTAGTATGTGAAATATTCATGTTTTTTCTTCTGTTTTTAAAACTGATGTGGGAGGCATGGCTACTCCGCAGTGAGTTATTATCCTTTGTCAAGAAATCTATTCACAGTTTCAGCATGTTTACCCCTATACTACTTTGCCTAGCATGTCTTCTGGCTTTACAACTCACTTATATATGGTTACACTTAGCCTTTATCTTGTTTATTAGCTAGGCAGATCTGACCCTTGCTTGTTATTATTAATATATATTAAAAAAAAAAAAACTGTGCCTGACCTAAAATGCCAGCCACTGTAAAGATCTGTGTGAATAAATCACCAAGTTATTTTGTTTATTTTACTTTGCTCCATTCGGTAGCTGTAACGACCGAACACTGACCACCCCCCTGGCTCATTAACTTCAAAGAGAACAGTCGTTTAAGCACTGTCCCTGTGTGGCCGCCATTCGTAAAGTCGAACGCCATGTGTATGAGAAAACGGTGGCCATCTTGATCGCATGAAAGGAGGCAGCGGGACTTGGTCGTCGAATGTCTGGAATTAAAATCGAACACTCGACTTCACGAACACCGGTCCAAAGTGTACGAATACCTGCTTCCTTTTCCTGAACAGCTAGGAGAGCACTGTTCTATAGTTTTGTTCCCACAAACTAGGGGAACAATCGCTACTAAGAGCCAGGGGGAGAAGTTCGTGCATTTATTCAGTTTTTCAGACTTCACGAAATAGACCAGCCAAACCACTAAAACTTATGAAACTGTTTTGGGCAGGAGCCTCGTGTGCTGCCAGTCACGTACGACTTCCATAGAATTCGAAAAAAAACCTGAACTGATCTGGGTGTTTTTTGGATATGTTGGTCACCCAGATCAGGGCTATCAGGGGATAAGACATTCGTGGGAATATTGTGTGTTTTAGGGTACATTCCAAGTTTTGGGGAAATTGTAATTTTTCTGCCTGGAGATAATTAAGTTATTACTTTATCTGACCCAATTATCTCCAGGCAGAGAGGAGGGGATTGTATGTTTGTACTGGGAGTGGCACAGCCCCTGCATTATTATTGGCTGTATGCTTTGTGTTTCTGTCCCCCACAAGGTCCACGTGGGAGGTCCGCTTGCATGGGGACTTGCATAAAAGCCAGTGTGGCACCCATTAAAATTTAGTTCTGTTACACCCTTCATCTAGTTTCGGCTGATGTTTGGGTACCTGTCTGCTTTACTGGGAGAATCTACTTGGGAAGCTGTTATTTTGTATGGAGATTCGTACACTTCAATGCCCGAGCTGCGAGCTATAATCACGCATGCTCTGGCAGTTCGGGAGGAAACAGACAAACGGGTATAGGTTATATCAGTGTTCGTTACAATCTGTATGTATATTAACCTCGCTCTTGCTCTTGTGGCATTGTAAGGCTGTTTGTTATCCAGTGCACTACCAAAAATAAAGATTGACAAAAAAATAAATAAAAGATGCCAAGATATGTCATAAAACACCCCTAAAATTTCAGCAAAACTTTTCTCAGATGCCCAACATAACTTTAGTAATAAATATTTATGAACTATTTATGAATTATATATTAGTGTTTTTTTAACACTATTGAACTTCAGAAACATTTAGTGTTTCACAGGGCTATCGTAATGATTAAGGAGCTTGGACTAATTTACCAATAACTATATTGATGTGCAAAATAACGGGGCGCAAGAGTATACTGAGAATGGGCAGCAGCTGAAATATCCTGCCCTTCGGTGGGTCCCTGCTCAGATCTCAAGCTGGTTTTAGCTCATCTTGTGCCATTACAGAGAGAACATCTCTGAAGCATATCAGACTGGTCCCACCGATATGGGCAGTCCAGATCCAAAATGCCAGCAAGTTCCCTCTGCATGAGAGACACAGCAACCCCAGACGATCGTTTCAGCCTTGTGAGGCATCATCAGTGAGGCATAGCTAATATCTCTCTAGGCACAGTGAGCAAGGGGTCCACGTCTGGATTACCCTTTAAACTTATGGAGAGCAAAACAGGGCTCACCTCTCTTGCTACCTATTTTTCTCTCCTTAACTATATTGATGTATTTAAATACACCTTGACATATATGAGTTGATCATTTATAACTGCCGTCAAAATATATTTCCTTACGTTTTCTCATGCTATGTTACAAGAATTAAACATTCCCATTATATCACTTTTTATAAAAAGGCTTACTGAACTGTTTAGATATGTATATAAACTTGTTCATAAATGTCAGCTGTTAGGTTTCCTAAACTAGACTAGTAATTCTGTTTTATTACTGCACTTAAGGAGATGAAAATAAAGTGACGCTTCTTGGACTTGGCGCAATGGAATCTATTGCAAAACTTATCTCACATGAAGACAAAGTAGTCCGCAGAAATGCCACAATGGTGTGTGGTGTCATGGCTGCCAACAGTAAGTAACCTATTTTACAATTATTTGTTGCATTAACTATACAATTTAAGACATTTTAAAAAGTTGTCTAGTCCACTACATTATGAGTCAGCCGGGTATAGGCTTCTCCCTACAGAACAGTAAGATAAAGAATCCAGGTGTCACGATCTCTTACCTTATTCCATCACGCCCAGGTCGTGCATGATCCAGGGCAGACTCCTCTTCCAACGAGTTCAGCATGTGCCACGCTGGACGCTGGAGTCACACCCCTTTTTATGATGCGGTCCTGCGTCATCAATACCGGCCCAGAACGTTTTGGGGGCGTGGTCTTAAAGCAAAAGACACTCCCTTACAAAAGGGGCCTATTTTGCCTTGTTCCTTGTGTTCCCCTTAGGGCTCTTTGATTCTCCTTGCGTATTTACTATTGTTTCTGTGTACTGACCCGGCTTGGCTTTTGGCGTTTCTGTTTTCTGGTTCCATGACTCGGCTTGTATTTTGACCTCCTGATTGCTGGTATCCTGACCTGGCTATTTCTTGTATCGTTCTCCTGATCTCTGGTATTCTGATTTTTGGCTATCCTCTGACTACTCTTTTCTTCCTACATTAAGTCCGCCCATTCTAAGGTTCGGTAATACGTGCTTGGGTTTTCTGTGGGTTTACATACTGCGTGTTGGGTTATCACGCGACCGTGATACAAGGTATGTTAGACCTTGGTCATCACAATTATGATGGTAAATGTGTTGGCATTACGTTTTCACTTGCAAATCTACTGAATGGAACCAGGCAGCGTTCCAAATGTAGGTTCTGCAGTGATGGGAGAATTACGGGAAAATATACTTCATCAGGGAGGTCCTGTACTTATTACTGAGTGCATGGGGAATACACAAGGTATCAGCATTGAAATTAGTGGATTGCTGTATCAGAAATCCCAGTACATGTGTTTTAAAGAAGATCTACTAAGAAGATCTTAAAAAATATTTTTGGGCTAATTTGTGGTGTCTTGTTTAGAAATATAAGTAAAACATGAAAACACCATACGTATTAGCTTTTCAAAATAGTTCCTTTCTGAATCTAACTTTTTGTCCTTTTGGTTTTCGCTAGATGATGTCAGAAAATTGCTTCGAAAGTTGGATATCATACCTTCACTAATTGCTCGTCTCGCACCAGAAGGTAGCTTTAATCTGCAAAAAATTTTGTTAACAAATCCAACCATCTGTTCAAGAATTTTGGATAAAATGAGTAACTGCATACAGATATTATATGAACTGATAAATATCCCTAGCACTCCTCAATGTGCTTTCAAAACAGAATTTTCAAAGCCTGTGATTACCTCTTTAAGCTCACTTAATTATTTTAAAAATGACAAACCACAAAAAAAAATGACATACTCTTTCCAGTGAAATATCAGAGGCACAGAATAGGTGATTAGTTTTTATTAACAGACAACATGAACCTTCAACTATGGGACAACTAATAAATTATACAAGTGGAGTATTTTTTATCTGTTTTTAATGGTTTTATGTCTGTCCTTCCATCTGTCTATCTATTTCTCAGGACTTAAGAAACATGCAAATCTTTATTTGGCATGCCAAAAAAAATGATGTAGCTGCTTAAATACATGTTCACAGTTTGTGTCCCCTATATCTATAGTTATACATTCTTAAGATCTATTATTTAAGGAAGTGTCAGGTGTCCTATACTGTATGTTGTTTTTTTTTTCTTATGCAGAAGAGATAGTGATTCATGAATTTGCCACACTTTGCCTTTCTTATATGGCTAACGAATATACCAGTAAAGATCAAATATTTGAACTGAATTGCTTAGAATCCATCATCCGACTTTTCAGCAGCAATGATCCTGATGTTAAGAAAAACGCTGTTGAGTGCATCTATCTCCTTGTACAGGTAACGTATTGAAGATGTTTAATTTCTGTTATTGAATTTACTCATTTTAATTAGCACTTTTATGACTCGCATGAAATCTGTGAGCTCAATTACGCTGAATACATACGAAATACAGAACTGATCAGCTAGGAGTGTAATATGCCTTTTGAAATATGTCTCAAGGAAAAGTATGGAAATGGCACAATGCAGTATTTCTCTCACATTAAAAAGTAATGAAATCAAAAGCAACAGGGAAAATGCAAATGTTAATGAACATCAAATATACTTGTGTATTTTTAAAATTTGTTTTAATATAATAAATAAGCTAATGCTTAAACATGTGCAGACACATACATGTCCCTAAAAGGAATAGTTTAATGCTTCAATTTAAGTTCACAACAATTTGTGTTTCGAACAGTATATTTATAGATATATATATTTTTTATATATATATATATATATATATATATATATTCTTTATTTTTGCTGTGCATAAGATTTACATGTATTCTTGCACAGCCACGACATCTTTAACAAGTACCACGATAACAATCATAATATACACTAACATGGCATACTGAGTAACTGCACATTTTTATAGAAGTAATCTCAGGCAAAATGTCAACAGGTTATAGGAACAAGCTACACCTTTTAGCCTATCACCATATCTGGATAGTCAATAAACTGATCTGCACACCAGTCAGGCCATAAGACTTGCATCTCCCACAAAAATCTCAAATTTGCAGTGATGTTATTACTGCAAGGGATTCTGGGTGGGCATATGAAATTAGGTCAACAAAGAATACATTTTTTGCCTCATTACATTTTAAACATGGATCCCTTAGAGTTTGTGTTTGCTGTATACAACAGCTTTAAACACAACTCAGGAAGAGATACAAAGCCAGTGAACCTCTCATGGACATCTGTTTCGTTGTTAATGCAAATCATCAGCATGGGGTTGGTTACTGTCTTGCTATTGAGGCTTGGCGTTACTTGCGAAGCACAAACTACCACTTGCAGTAGTAACATCACTGCAAATTTCAGATTTCTTATGGCTTGACTGGTGTGCAGATCTGTGTTTCACAATATATTGACTATCCACTGACCTCAGGTCAAAATCACAATTTTCCCCCACTATAACGTTCTTGGTTTGTATTCCGCAAGTATCGGAGACATATCAAGACAAAAAAAATTCAGTTTTGAGTGCAAAGTGCTAAATGTCGACAAATTTTATGAACCTAGTTCTGTTTTATTTTCTGAAAAGTATTTTTATTATGCATTTCAATCTTTATTGCATCACTGCTCTTTTGTTTATATGACCACTTTAATAACAAAAAACAGCTGAACTGAAAATGCAGATTTCTCTAGTTTCTCTATTTTCGCCTAGAATTAGAAATTTTCGTCAGATTCCTGACAAAAAACAGCTGAACTGAAAATGCAGATTTCTCTAGTTTCTCTATTTTCGCCTAGAATTAGAAATTTTTGTCAGATTCCTGACAATTCGTTGAATAATCCCGAGACAGTTATGAGAAAAACAGATGGCATATGATAAATTTAGTTATGCTGGTATTCGCTAAAAATAAAAAGGAATTTATGGAGAATTAACTCATTGCAAATTTTAGGATGAGTGGCGATTCTGAAACATGCTGTAATGTAGAGGATAACCCCAATAGTTTCTTAGGTGAAAGCTGTGAATTAAGGAATTATTTGTGAAAAAAACATTTAATCAAACACTACTTTTTGTACCAAACTTCCTTATTCCTTTATGCTTTTTTGCAATTTTTTATTTTGCCGCATTTAAGCAGAAGTCAATAAACGCAAAATCTTAACCCCTTAAGGACACAACTTCAGAAATAAAAGGGAATTATGACGGAATATTTCCGTCATGTGTCCTTAAGGGATTAATGCACCAAATATATGTAAACATATGTATTTTTATAATATGAAAAAAAAGAGGGTCAAAATTAACAAAAGTAAAAATCATATGAGAAGAAGCAGTAGAAATGTTAAAGAATAAGGGAAGGAAAGAGAGAACATAAGCCATTCCATACGTTTACCTATTTTCATATAAATCATTAGTAATTTAGGATATTTTATAATATAATAATACACAGACCAAGTAGAATTGAAAGATGTCTATTTGCATGCTGTTGGTTGTCGTCAATATAAATTGTGAAGAGATCAGTCAGTATATTTTCGTGCTGCCTGCTGAACGTGTAATGTTATACTAACGCTTTGATTCTCAGGACTTCCAGAATCGCTCAGCAGTTTGTGACTTGAATGCTATTCCGCCATTGCTGGAGCTTCTAAAGTCGGAGTACCCCATTATCCAGCTATTAGCCCTGAAAACCCTCGGCACTTTGAGCTGTGAAGAAGAAGCTAGGATAATTATGCAAGAAAAACAAGCATTGGATCACCTGCTAAAAATCTTAGAAGCAAAGGTATTAATATGTGAATGATATTTTATGATATTTCACTTCATTAGCACTCATATAAAGGTGTGCATGTACCTTACACAGGGTTCAAGTCATCCATTCTGCTAAGGCAGAACTTAAAGAAAGGTTAAAGGAAGATAATGTAGTAAAGAAGTAATCTAATACAACGTGCTTAAAATGCACAAACTGCATTTACACGCAAATAAATATAGGGAGAACAGTTATTAGAAAATCCTATTGACTGTGTTCACTTTTCTTTATCCATCTGTAAATCATAAAATATCATGGATATTATAACACTTTATAAAAATGTTTTCTTTGTATAAAAATATCCTGTCAAGGTTAAAAGCGCTAGAGATCCAACTAAAGTATCACAGTAAATCCTTATCACCCAGCGTGTTTCTTGTTGTTGTAGAAGGATATGCAATCATTCATCAAACTACTGTCTTATAAAAGCTAACGTTTGTAGAATTTGTAAAAGCCCCACCTGTTCATTAGTCAACGTGTCTGCATGTGATCACCATCAAAAACATGTCCAGTTATGTTTGCTCTTCCAATAGAACGTATTTGCTACTATGTACAGCAGGATCATTTCCTCGTGTGTTTCATAGTGGTACACATCTAGCTCTATTATTGTGGTTGCCAATGAATAAACAGAATTGAGTTCTTCCTTATATAGTGCCACTATGTATCTTCTATCTACTGGTTAAGTCTTTTTGCTTTAGAGGCAAGAGATATGTCCTTGAAAGTTTCTATGGATAGTGTAGAACCTAATCTCAAGAGAGGCACTGGTAGACTAATTGCAGTGCTGTACCCCCACTCTCCCCTCCTCCCCACCCTCCCGATTTTCCCTGAGAGTTAGCGTGTTATTCCACCATGATTTTTAATATTATTAAGGAATATACTCATTTGGTTGTAGTCTCATTATATGTGTTTTGTGCAGGTTCATAGCCATTTATATTATCAGTGAAAAGACTTGCTGAGCATCATGGGAAATATGATCCACAAAAACTTGGAGTTTTGTGATTAGAACTCAGTGAAGGGCACTCAGAATTGCTTATGTGGAGCATAGTATTGGTTAGTGATTGTAATGAATTGTAATCTGAATTGCAAATAAAGGCTAAAACAGGCAAACTATAGCTGAGTTTGAATCTATTTCAAATCAATAATTGTTTTGATTTACTGTTTGGAGTTTAACCCAAATAGTTTCATTTTTAGAGAGGTTTGCCATATTTCTATGTAATAGTCATCGACACATTTTTCCTAACCATTTCAAGTCCTTAATCTCCTGCCACCTTCCATATGTCTGTGATCACATCTCTCGCTGTTTATGTTTGGACTTTGTGCCCACACCTTTAGAACTACTTTTAGTTTTGTTAATCTAGAGAGGATCAACTAATTAATATTCACTAAACAGTGCATTGTAGTCGGCTGCAAAGGGAATTGCTATTTTTTTTTAGCTTTTTGTCATTTTGACCTAATATTTGTAACTCTTTTGTCTATTCACCACAATACACTGTTTAGTGACTGAATGCAAATTTGTATTTTGCAAACTTCTTACATTACTCATTCACAGAATAAGGAATTGACCAGCTTCTCTGTTATGCTAGTTTAGATGCTTTTATATCATGAATAGTAGGCCATAAGATCTCATCTTATTCTTTATTCTGTTATTCTCTGAGCTGTTTGGATTCATAATGATGAATGTCAAAATATGAACTATAAGGACATTGTATTCATATCAAAACAGTGCTGTTATTATAATAATTATTAGAAATGAGCTGTATGAAAATAAAGTGCTCTTAGAACATATATGATTATTATGTTATTAGGAGCTTAACGACTTACACGTGGAAGCACTTCTGGTTATTGCCAATTGTCTTGACGATGTTGAGACCGTACAAGCTCTTCAGCAATCAGGAGGACTTAAGAGAATACTGACCTTTGCTGAAACATCTCCAATGCCTGATATACAGAAGAATGCTGCTAAAGCTATGGCTAAGGCAGCTCGCAATGGTATGTGACATTCAGCTTAAAAATGCCTGTAGAACCATTCCAAATTATACATGTGGGTAGTCTCAAATCAGCTCCCATTTCATCTGCCAATGGTTAATGTCAGCCTTAAAATATTGTGGCATCTTCCAGTGGGATTATTTACTAAATTGAGAATTCAAGCTGAACTATGGCAATATGAAGAGTATGAAAAACCATGCATAATATTTTCTGTTAAACACGTGGCTGTGCTAGTAAAAAATACATTATGATAGTCACCGGTTACCAATTATTTTAAATAAAATTACCAATGCAAATTATTACCAAGCTTCCATTTTCCTTAGTGATGACATATATATATATATATTTAACTGCATATCTTTGGCTTTAAGTTGTGCTTAAAATATGCATATGTAAAGTGGAGCTATATGGTAGGAATTCGGCGTGAATCTGTAACAACACAAGAATGCAGAAGGTGGCATATTTAAAGAAGAAGAAACTCGGAATAAGATTGTAACCAACTGAGGAAGTCCCTTTGCCGGGGCAAAACGTGTTTTGGACATTACTGGACTAATCAGTTTACCAGGGAATTCACCATCTGACTGAGAGTTCTATACAGAGGGGACCGGAAAGAACAAGGAGTTGACCATCCTTAAGTGCCATCTGCGTTTACCATCCAAGCCATATGTACCTAAATGGCTCCTGACTTGTGAGTGAGATTCCTATCTTCACTATACCACATATCATTGGTTCTGGCAATGCTGCACTGTTGTTTTGCATTCTTGTGTTACAGATTCACGCCGAATTCCTACCATATAGCTCCACCTTATGTATGCATATTTGATGTATTTTGTAAAGGTGGTTTAGGGGATTACACGCAAGGTGTTTTTGAGCTCACCAATTATTTCTCCTTATTGTGTATTTGTTTTATGATTAAGTTGTGCTTATACAGGGGAAATGATAATACAAAGGACTGAACCTCAACCTTGACATGTATACATCACAGCAGTATACGGTATTATACAGATCACAGCGTTGATAGGAGTAAGTCCAATTGAAAATACTCACCCCACCCATATAATCGGAGTCAACAACAAGCTAAGCTGTGTGTATAAGGAGTCAAAACAAGCGAAGCTGAGTGTGTCAGTGAGAGTGTGTGTCATTCTTTCAGTATGGGTTCAGTTCTACAGCCGTTAGAATGTTAGCTAATTCACTCTTTATTGTTCTCCAGAACGGAAAAATTATTTAGTATGTATCATGTTTCAAATCCTGTACTAGAGTCTGTGACTGATGCTGTGCAGCATGGGCCCCCTAATCTCATTGCAGCATCTGGATCTACTTATCCTGGCCTTACCAAGATTAGTGGGAGTTACACTGTTAGACAGGTGTTATTTACAGCTTTACCTTATTCCCTCTCACCTTAATGATGTGCTCATAAAGAGGCTGGAGTGACCAAAGTCCTATGATTCTCCCTCCCAGCCTCCTTTCCTACCATAAGGGAGAGGAGCGGAATTGGGGACAGCAGCCTGAAAGAGCACCTACTGCTCAGGAGTGCAATCTCTGACCTAAGATTTATGGAATCCTAACCCTAACGTATTTATTTGAAAGGAGCGATTATCTGGGTACATCTACTAGGTTTGTAAATTGAATTTTCCTTAAAGGTTTATCAGTTGCTGTTATTTCTTCCTTTGTCATTCTTTCTATTTAATTGCCTAATATAGTATCATCTATTGAAACATAAAGAGTAACTTGCTTAGGATAACTGCACATAGTGCTGATGTATACTCACAGGGTTATTTACTGGTTCATTTTTGATAATTCAAAGTGAGTTTCAAGTGTTAGACTCTAAACAGTTGAACAGTTTGGGTTTTTTTGGCCTACAATTCCCTTGCACTGCTTTTATTCTGCTGCATGAGAATAAGAATGGCTGTTCCTTGCATTTTTCTTCTATACCTGCTGCATTGCAGAACACTGAATTCTATTTATTTAACTAAACCTGGATTAGCGATTGTTTACGGTAAAATTCTTGGTTTAGGATTTTTGGTAATGCCTTTCTGCTGAGTTCTGCTTTCAACTACAGTTTCTCCTCAAGTCAGCAGGATCCACAAACCCAAGACTTAAATTCAAGGTTAAATGGATCAAAGTTGCCATTTTATTCACAGTTACCTTTTGTTGGTTATTTTAAGGGATATTAAATATATATGGAATTTTGCAGTCACACCGAACTTCAGAATTTTTACTTACTCTTGTTTTTTCGCTTGTTTAATATTGTAATCAGAATATATATATTTTGGGTGTGTGAACATGCACATTCTTCATGGCTGATTAAAATGAATGCTTTAATAAACAACTCTTTCAGGACCACAAGTGGTGTGGACGGACTTCATATGTTTGGTTTTTTTCTTTGGGCTTAAAACTGGGATATTTAACAAACATAGTTTTCAATTTTAATATTTTTGGATAAGCTTATGAATAATTTAATAATTTTAGATAAACTTTCAAAATGACATAAACACTTTTTAAATATAAGAAATATATATACACATATAAATCAAATTATCAAAAAATATCCAAATATTACAATGTTTTGCAAAAAATGTAATAATTTTTAAAAGTTTTTCTAAAAATATATAATCATGTGAAACGCTTATCCAAAAATATTAAATCAAGGCCACAAAGCTTTATGATTGCAATGCGTACCTCACTGGTTCTGACCGTTTATAGTATTCACTAGACGTTAAGTGAGTAATAATTTGTATTTTCTTGTTATTTTTGGGCTTGGTTTTTAAATGTACCCACTCCCTGTTAATGAGTTTTCCTTCCTGTAGTGCTGCTCAGGGGGTGTTGGGGAGCACAGCTTGGAGCTGGATGGCCCACAGCATGTCTATCAAGCTAATTGCCAAGAACTATTGATCTCAAGGCAAATGTCACTTCTCAAACTGTAACTGTACTTTCTCTGCAGAACTATAATATGCTTCTTTAATTAATGCAGAAAATTACCAGATTTTACTAATAACATGACGTAAAGTCATGATTTTATAAAGGAAACGGAGGCGAGTATTAGGCTTCTCTCTTTCTTTTATTTCCTCAGCAGCAAAGAAAAAGCTAAGGTGTTTATTTGTATAGGAAAAAGAAAACATACATAACTACCCTCACAGGGTTAACATTACATCACCAACTTCCCACCAATAGGAACAGTCCTTCTCTCATATCCTCTCCTGTATCCTCCTCCTCTTCCTCTTTCTTGGTGTTGCCGAAGCTACAATGTCCTCAACAGCGACAAACTATAACTTCATTGTAAGAAACGAAACAGAACAAACTTCCGGAGCACATCGTCTTTAACTGCGTGATCCGGCCTCTTCAACGATGCGAATCTGGAGGACCAATCAGGCTGAAAAGGACAAGAAAAAACAATGGTAAAATGTGTCCTTGCCAACTATTTTCGTTTCATCACTCATTACAAAAAACCGAGCTAGTCATGTAATCTTGTACGTATCAACCTACAATCGTCACTCGTCCGTCATATTAATTGAAATACCCAACTGAGCCAATGATCACTCCCACCAATACCTTATCTATTACGTACCTGGGCCGGGATACCCATTTCCAAGCGTTTCTAATCCGGGTGGGCTAATACTCGCCTCCGTGTCCTTTATAAAATCATGACTTTACGTCATCTTATTAGTAAAATCTGGTAATTTTATTAAAGGACACGGAGGCTCATATTAGGCTAGTTTAAAGCTGCGAGATAACTACGCTGGACACGTGCTCTGTGGGTCGAAAGTAATATTCCTTAAACGTCGACTCACGCGACCAATCCGCTGTTCTCAAAAGATCCTCCAATCTACAGCCCGAACTGAAAACTTTGGACGCCATAGCGCCCCTGGTAGAGTGTGCCCCATAGACAGCAGTATCTATGTGCGCCATTGTCATTACCCATTTCACCCACCGGGCGAGAGTCACCGTGGATACCGGATGATGAGGTTGATGATGAGAGCCAAAAATAATTCTGGGTGCATCGGATTCCTGAATCCAAAGGTTCGTTTCTCGTATTCCCGTAGGCAGTCTACTGGACAAAGTTTGATGTTATGTGGAAACGAGGGATAAGAAACTGAAGTAATTGCTGACTTAGTACGCCTGGAGATGTTGAAGGAGACTCCCGTGGGGGTAAAGGAGCGTGCCGTAACATCCAGTGCTCTAACATCTGACACCCTCTTGCAGGAAATCAGGCACAAAAGCATGGTCAGTTTCGCTGACAATTGTTTAAGCGAGAATGCATCATTGTGTGGCCAAGATTCCAACAATTGTAGGACTGAAGTGACGTCCCATAATGCCGTGTACTTGGGTTGCGGGGACCGTGCAAACCGAATTCCCCGTAGGAGACGGCATACCGGCAGCTGTTGTCCCATCGGGGTTCCATCTATCCCTCTATGTCCTGCGGAAATCGCCGATCTATAAACATTAATGGTTCGGTATGCGAAGCCTTGGGTGTACAGGTCAGTGAGGAAACGTAACAAAGGAGCTATAGGCGCACATACGGGATCCACTCGTTGCTCCAGGCACCAACGACTCCATCCGTTCCAGGCATGGAGGTAGGACCTTCTAGTTCCGGCGCCCAAGCTCCTGCCAGTAACTCGATAGTTTCTCGTGGAACATCTGGCACAACCCAGGGTCCCCGGAAAGGAGCCACGCCACAAGCTTGAGCTGCCCTTGAGCCAGTAAGGGATGTGGATTGCCCTCCGGGTCCGATAAAAGGAATAAGGCATCCGGGAGTAATCGCAGGAAGTCCACCGACATCTCCATGAGTGTTGGAAACCACGGTTGAGCTGTCCAAAACGGGGCTACGAGGACCAGTGTTGCTTGGGTCCGTCTGAGATGCACCAGTGTCCGGGCTATGAGGGCGAACGGTGGAAAGGCGTATAATCGGCCGTCCGGCCAGTGTTGGAGGAAAGCATCCGTCGCCAGTGCGTCCGGATCCGGTCTCCAGCTGAAGAATGTTGGTAATTGGGAGTTCAACCGAGATGCGAACAAATCGATCTGCATTGGGCCCCAGAGCGTCTGAAGTCGTAAGAACACATTGCGGTTCAGCCGCCAATCGCTGGCGTCGTACAGATGTCTCGAATGCCAATCCGCCACGACATTGGATAAACCCGGAATGTATTCCGCCTGTATTGAAATATTGCGATCCAGGCAGTATTGCCAGAACTCCTTGGCCAGGTCTGTCAAAATCTCTGATTTCGTGCCACCCAGGTGGTTGATGTACCGGACCGCTGAAATGTTGTCCATGCGCAGGATTATGGAGCAATTTGTCGCGCCCCCGAGAAGGCTCTTCAGTGCAAACGACCCCGCTATCAGCTCCAAGCCGTTGATGTGTAGGCTTTTTTCTGCACACGACCATATTCCTCCGGTGGAGATAGGCCCGCAACGTGCTCGCATTGGACTCGAGGATGAAATCCGGGGCCGTCCCAAAGATTGCTCTGCCGTTCCATGCTTCCATATGACGCAGCCACCACGTGAGTTCCTGCTTGGCTGCGCAATCGAGCGGCACTGAGTCTGAGTACGAGTGCCCTGAGCGCAGCTGTGTGGCTTTCAGTCGTTGTAGGGCCCTGTAATGGAGTGGACCCGGGAAAATTGCCTGAATGGAGGCCGATAGGAGTCCGATAATCCTGGCCAACTGCCGTAGTGTCAACACTGGTCGTGTGAGCGACCTGCGGATCTCCTTTTTTATACTTTTGACCTTGTCCGTTGGTAGGCTGAGTGTCCCCGTGACTGCATTGATATGGAAACCCAAGAACTCTATGGTTTGAGACGGTGTCAGTACCGATTTCTCCCAATTGACGAGAAATCCTAAGTTTTGGAGCAACGTCAGTGCCCATGTCAGGTGTTCCCGCAGTTGGGAGATCCCTTGCGCCATGATCAGCATATCGTCCAGATAGATGATCATCCGGACACCCCTGCTTCGGAGCAAGGCGACCACCGGCTTCATTAATTTTGTGAAGCACCAAGGGGCCAATGAAAGACCAAAGGGGAGACATCGAAACCTCCACGTCACTCTGTCCCATTGGAATTGGAGCAGCCGATGGCACTCCTCCGCCATCGGGACCGTGAGGTAGGCATCCTGTAGGTCCAGTTTGACCATCCAATCCCCTAGTCTGAGTAGGTCCCGAAGGCAATGGATACCCTCCATCTTGAAATGGTGGTACCGTACAAAGGCGTTTAGTGGGCGCAGGTTGATGACTGGGCGTACTCCGCCACCTTTCTTGGGTACCAAAAACAGGTTGCTCGTGAACCCAGGAAAAGGTGACGAGGCCTGATATATGGCGCCTTTTTCTTGTAAGGCGGCAATCTCCTTGTCCACTAATCCTCTGTCTTGTGTTGAAAAAGCTATTGGGTGTGGCCTGCCTGCTTGGACAGGGGTTTGTACAAACTCTATGTGATACCCCGTGACAGTATTGAGGACCCATGCGTCCGTCGTCAGGCGTTGCCAGTTCCCCAGAAAGTGTGACAGTCTGCCCCCCACAGTCGGTATACCCGGGGAGGGGAAACTTAGCACACTCACCATAAGGACGTCGGCCGTAAGAATTGCCCCTGGGTCCTCGCGGCTGCCATGGCCTGGCTCTGACTGGAAAGAAGGGAGAAGGTGCTCTAGTCTCCGGTGGCTGGGTTCGAACCGTGGCGGGACCTCTGTATCCCCGGTAGGAACTGCGGGAGGAGCGGCCGGGCAGACGGCCCCGGTGTCTGCCGGCCCCGCCAAAAACTCTGGGGGAGAACACTCGTTTTAAGTTCGTCTGTGCCTTGTCAAGGGCCGTAAAGGTACTCACGTACGTGCCCAATTCCTTAACGAAACTGTCTGCGAACAGGAGGCCCTTGGCTTGCGGTCCCGGTTCGGAGAGGGCCATGTTAACCAGTTTGGGCTCGATTTTCATCAGAATAGTCTTGCGCCTCTCAGTGGCTATCGCAGCATTTGCGTTGCCGATGAGGCATATGGATCTCTGGGCCCAGCCCCTAATGGCCAGAATATCAAGGGGTGTACCTTCATTTAAAGCCTCCTCAACCAGTTCAAATATTTTGGCACTAGGGCCTAGTGTATCCAGCACCTTATCCTGGCACTGCCGCAGGGAATAATCAAGACCCTTTTTGGCTTTCCAGCCCGATTTCCCCAGGAACTGCGCTATTTTGGGGTCTATGTCTGGTGTGATGCAGGCCATGTCGGGCACTGTCGGGCGCGGGCACTCCGCCCGCAGTTTTTGTCTGGCGGTCTTATCTAAGGGTTTACGGATTCTGGCCGCAATGTATCGTGCCACATGGTCGGTTGGGTACCACTCCGCCGACCTAGGGTTCTGCAGAGTATCAGGGTCGAACAGAGGTTCACCCTGCGGATCCAATATGGCGGAATCATCCGCAGTATCATGCAAAGGGTTAGGCGGGTTGCGTGCTGGACTACGGTCGGGGGAGGACACCTCCCAATCATTGGAGTCAACTTCATCGGACTCGCTCAAAACCTCCTCCGTATCCGAACCAGAGTCAGAAGCGTCAGTTTGGGCTTTTGCCCACTTCCATGTCCTCGCTGCTTTTGCCCGGCGGGTGGCTCGTTTTCGTGGGGGCCCCACGACCTCAGGTGTGACAGGACGTACCCTGTCCGTCAGTTCAGTTTTGGAGGTGTACTTTCCCATGTAGTGGGTTTTTCTCACAGCCTTACGGCCCTCTTTCTGTACCAGACCTTCGTCTGTGACCCTGCCCAGGGCTCCCTTCGGGTTGGCTGCCTTAATAGCAGTGGAAATAGAGTGGGATATGTTGTCAGACATATCCCCCATTGCGGTATAGATAGCCTGCAAGGAACGCGGGCAAACCAGAAATATACCGAGGGAGAATCCCTCAAAGACAAAGCTAGCTAGAAGAAAAATGCAGCAAAATCAAGTATCAGCACAACAAACAGTGAAGAACATAAACACATAAACTAAACAGTCACAAAAAGGAGTCAGAGAAAAAACAGTGATACTTAGCTGAGGCAGCAGCAAAGAAAGAGGAAGAGGAAGAGGATACAGGAGAGGATATGGGAGAAGGACTGTTCCTATTGGTGGGAAGTTGGTGATGTAATGTTAACCCTGTGAGGGTAGTTATGTATGTTTTCTTTTTCCTATACAAATAAACACCTTAGCTTTTTCTTTGCTGCTGAGGAAATAAAAGAAAGAGAGAAGCCTAATATGAGCCTCCGTGTCCTTTAATAAAATTGTGAATATCTTGATATTTTGCTAACTGAGTGAACCTAAAAAGTTTGTATTAGCACTTTCAAGAAATCTGAATTTCCTGTCTGGAATAGTTTGCGATAGTAACAATGAATAAACATATCAGTTGGAAATGTTGATCCAACTTGAAAAAAATTCTTCTATCTCACTTATTCATGCTGCTCAGCTCTTCTGGCCATAAATTTGTATTTTGCAGTGCTTGCCGGGAAATACTTGTGATCTCTGCATGGGAGTCATTTAGTCTCTTAAAATGAGTGTTGTTTCTTATCCTAATTTTTACAGCACCAACATATAACGCAGCACATTACAGCTTTTAATGGTGATGCATAACAGCAAGTCATGCGTACTGTAGTCATGCCTGAGGCAGATATCACACACTTCGTTCTAGCCATACACAAATGAATGTGATTGGAAATGTGATTGGCTGCAAGCGGACAGCTGACACTCTCAGCCAATTGCAGGATTGCTTCCTCATTAGCCCAAGCAGCACAGAGGGGGGATGGACTGCTGAGGATTCTCTTTTTGGCATTAAAACATTAAAATTGTTTAATGCTGAATGGAAGGATGGCGTCAGGGGATTCCAGACACTAAAACACTTCAGTGAGATGAAGCAATCACTGTGCCCATAGTGTCCTTTGAAGTTATAATTTTGGTTTGTTCCATAAACCACACAGCTAAAAGTTTATTTCAAGATAGCTTCATAAACAATAATATGCTTCATATGAAGGTAAGAGAGTAGCACCCCACAGCATTTTCCAGTAGTATATGTAACTAAAAGCAAGGAGAAATATATGGTGTAGTACATGCATGTCAAACTCAAAGGCTAACATGGGCCAAAAAAACAAGGTTTAAGTTTATGTGGGCTGCAAAAAGCAAAACCTGAGTTTTCATAGAAATGTAGGTTTATTTAGAAAAGTACAGTATAAAAAAAGTTGCCTAAGCGTCATTGAACATCCTCACGCTCGTAAGACTTCAACGTAAACAAAAGAGCGAATTTATTTTAAGGAGACTGAATTTTTCAGTCCAACTACATTGACTACATTGAATTTTTCAGTCCAACTACAGTGCAGCCAATGAGCATCTCCATGGGGAGCGTTCAGCGCCTCCATGCAGACACAATCTAATACACTGCCCATCCCCCCCCATTCTAATACACTGCCCACAAATCCAATACATTGTCCCAAAACCAATACACTGTCCCCACTTCCCTCCACTCTTATACACTGCCCCCTCCCCCCAATCTAATACTCCCCTCCCTCCCCCCAATTTAATATATGGCCTCCCCCAATTTAACATGCTGCCCCCCCTTTCACCACTCTAATACACTGCCCTCACCTTCCTCCAAATTAATACACTGCCCTCCCTCCAATTTAACAATCTGACCCCCTCCCACCACTCTAATACACTGCCTCAGCCTCCCACCACTCTAATACAGTGCCTCCCCCTCCCACCACTCTAATACAATGGCCCCCTCCTTCCCCCAATTTAATAATTTAATACACTGGCCCCCCTTCCTCCCCCAAATAAATACATTGCCTCTCCAGTTTAATACACTGACCCCCTTCCCTCCCCCAAATTAATACACTTCACCCTCCCTCATTAAAATTAATACACTGCCTCCCCTCCCCAATTTAATACACTACACAGCAAGGTCCCCCAAGTCCCTCTTCTCCTACCTTAAGATGAGCCGCCCGTCCTCCAGTTCCAGCTCTGCTCAAGCAGGCCAGATGCTCTTCTGGCACTGCGAGCAGGAGACAGACACTGTGCCCTCTTGTGGCTGTGGTAGCACGCGATCGGCAGTGGGAGGGAAGACAAGAATCAGAGAGGAAATATCTTTCCTGTCTTGCGGCTGGTTGCAGCCACAGCACAAAGCGGCCCCAGGGCAAGTGGCCGCAAATGCGGCCTGTGGGCCGCAAGTTTGACATGCTTAGTTTATTATTTCTCGCACAGGGTAAGAATAAAAAGGAGATACACTTATAAATGGACGGAGCTGTCAAGAGCTCCACTTGTATGTGTTTGTGAGCGTGACAATCCCCGCTTATGGATTCTATTGTATCTTGGTCCCAGTTAGTGATCTAGGGTAAATAGAATAAAAACACACATACTATAGTGCAGTATGTCTGAATAAGTAAAATAGGATATAAATGCACTCACATATTATGGAAATAAAATAGATAAAATATAATAGGATACATATTCTTCAGTATACTACATTGTTGTAACATACATTTGGTGACTTTCAAATAGAATAATTTTACAAAACAAGCTAATTATATTTCCTTTAAACACTATATCCAGTGAATAAGAGCATTCTAGTTACCTATTGCCTATGGCTGTTTGTGTTAAATTCCATTGGTTGTGATTCCTGCCATTAGATTAAAATCTTGGATGGTTACGTAAACAGTCATTGTGCTATTTCTTTTACCCATTCATTTTAACCTGCTTTGTTTCCCTTTTAGCACCAAAAACATTGCTGTACACGATGTCACGGTTTGTTTTTTTGCTAGTTGTAGTTCAGACAATATTTCTACAGCAAAAATCTGGCAACTAAAATTCAGTACCACTGTTGTAGCAATAAAGCACTGGTTATATGGGCGAGCCTGGCAAAGTTATAGAACGTTAGGAAAGTTAAAGTACTATAACCACTAAACATCAAATCATTAACATTAACAAGCCTACATAATATGTTTTATTTCCCCTATATTTAACACACATATATGTGTGAGGTATAAAAATGTGTGTATGTATATACATAACTCTGTTCCTGTACATCCAGTTGTCTGGTTACAGTTATATGTCTGTTAGTCCACCCATTGTTCAGCCCTACGGAATCTGATGGCGCTATATAAATAATATAATAATAATAATAATATATTTTTTACAGTTTTTATTTTTCAAGTCACTAGTGCGTAGCATAACAAACAAGCTTACTTAGACATTTCTCAAGAGTATAAATGACAATAAAAAGGTAGAGATGTATCATAAAATGAATCCTTCAATGCTTTGTATAGTAAATGAGAATACCAACACTCTTGGCTTGGGAAGAGAACAGAAATTAGGTATGTAAGTAGCGAGGCATAGATAGACATGTGTTTAACATATTAGGAAGGCCACTGGATCCGAGCTCACTATCGTGACACTGCTCCCTACTATCTAAAACTGAGAACAATATACTGAAACAGAAGTAAAATAAACAAATGCAATGAAAACAATGCCTAATTAAGCATGTAAGGACTCAAGAAGGCTAGATAATTAGGGTAGCATCCACTAATCGTGGCTAGACCCCACAAAAGTAGCTGTTAGGCTGCCCGATTAGTAGGGCTGTTTTCAGCCAATTCCCAAAATTGGAAAGCACATGTGTGCAGAGGTTGTTGAAGGTAGTGCCACCACAGGTACGAGTCAGGGCGTCCCTCCAACCAAAGGCCTGTATCCTGGCCCGCATCTACGAACCACGAAATCGGGGGCTCATAGAGTCAAAGTCCTTCCCTGAAGGGGAGTAACAGAAGACCCTGATAGTGTGTAACCACTGGCTGTGGTCAGCCTTCTGTCCATGTGGACAATGTGGTGGGTTCTCACCCCTGATTGCCTCGGCACAGGTAGGCTAGTAGTAGTAGGAATTTGCATTTGAGAAGGCTGTTTGCCAGAAAGAGGCCCACTCACTCCCTGGATCCCACTCCTCCAATCACCTACTTGAGGTTGAAGCAACATGGCTACCTGACGTGCCGCCAAAGAGGCCCAGAAACAATCAATCTCCTCCTATCACCTCGTGATATTCCTTCTTGGGTTGCATAGGATTGTGACCATGAGGAAGAAGTGTAGTTGCCATCTTGGTAGAACAAGCTCCAGTTAGAGATTGAGCAGGTAGCGTTGTAGAGATTAATGCTGATGTGCATCGTAAGCCAGTGGGGAATGGGATAACCCACCCCAGTCCAGAGGGGGGAGGGGTTACAGGATATCTCCGTGAGGATGCAGTTTTGTGCAAAACGGGAGACCGGCCACCTTACCCGTCTGACAGGTATACTGGGCCTCTCTGGAACCTCACGGAGATGCAAAGAAGGCACTCCTAGGGCAGCGTGGCTGGCTTTCCCCAAAAATGGAATTAACTGTAGAAATACACACCTCTTTATCCTATAACTTTGTGTAGTTATCTTAGCTGTCCTTAACTCCTGGCAGTCAGCATAGAGAAAGCACATATAGAAGAGAAGACTTTAAACCATCAGGGTTATTTATCAAAGTGTTTTTTTTTAATTTTAAAGGGGGAGGAGTCAACAATGTTGTGTGCCTGCTGGTACCACTGGTTTCTATGGTCATAGCCCCACTTTTATTATTTTAGACTCCTTTTTAAAACAACACTTTGTGTCTATTCCTCCTGTTTGTTTGCAATGTTTGCCTTGGATGGTTTGCCTGGACTGAACTGGCGTGTTATGTAATCTGCCAAATCTTTTCATTTCAAAGCAAGTAGAGCATCACATGAAAAAAAAAGCATGTTAAAAGTAGATTTTATTAGTGTTTTATTCAATGGTGTAATTTCCAGATATGTAACTGCCCTTCTTAAATGAGCTGAATCACTTCCTGCTGTGGTGAGATTCTACTGTAGAAGCCTCACATCCTGTGTATTTTGTAACTGCAGTATTATCATGATGTTTATTATTAATAATGTGTTATTTTTGCATATACTTATGAATGCATCACCAATATAAAAACCAGAATGGATCATCAAAGGTTATATGTCACTTTATAAATAGGAGTAAAATTCCATTTTGGAATAAACACCAGAATATTTATTGAGACACAAAGGAAAAATGCATCACAATAAAAGCTGGTATACATCAGACCAGTCGTTCATAGACAGAATATCGCATTGTGTATACAAAATAATAATGCCTCGTTTTACATTGTTTAAGATGTCATGTAAGTTATCTCGAGAGCAAGTGCTATGTAAAAATAAACAACTTGTTGCATTATTAGGTGAGTATGAGATAGTTATGATAAGATGCACAAAGATAATTGCACCGTGTTAAAGCATGTCATAAGGTAAATTAAGTAAGGAAGGGTGCAACAGACAAAATGAACAGTGCATAATTATAAAAAAATAAATATGGAACTGTTATCTTTTGATAGCTGTTGTTTGTCTTTGCTCCCTAGATGAGATTAGGAGATTCTTCCATGAACAAGAAGCTGAAACATCTCTGGTCAAGATGCTGGGCAATGAGAACGACAGTGTCAAGGCTGCAGCTCTACTCGCTATTTCTGTTATGTGCGAAAACATGGCGAGCAAAGAGATCTTAAATAGAAACGGTTAGCGGCATGCATTACTAGTATCGCTAATACTGAACTTACATATTCTACAATATAAGTAATGAACAATATGGCTGTCCCCGATTTTATCCTCTAAACTGGTTGGAAAAAAATAGAGCATTTGCATATATATGCACACAGAAACACACATCTGGCATGTGTGTATATGTAAATATAAAAGTGCGTGTGTGTATATGCATAGATAGATTACAATAAAGGTAGAAAACTAGAACATACATTTGAGGCATTGAAAACATTACTAGAGTCAGGTGCATCATTAAGACAATGAAAGTGCAGTCCAGCATGGGTCTGAGAAAATCCAGTATTATCTAAGCAGGTCTCTCTTTATTCAAGTCCAGATAGGGTTTGGGAATGAAATACATACTGAATGTTGAAGCAATGGAGTTGCCAACATGGTGTGCCCTAAATTGTGCAGTTCTGGGCAATTTGAACTATTGCAGTAAAACTCACAAGGTTGTCTCTTGAATTTTTATTTCTTTGATCAATCCCTTATTAATCCAAGTTTGTGCCCAAAATTGCTGATCTTCCATATTGTTAGCAATTTTAGCCTACAGAGTTCGATGTTTAGTCTACGGTAAGTTCCAGGTTTTCTCCGAAATGGACAATTCGGTATGTTAACTAACACAAGTAACTTGAGAACTGACTTTCAAACCTGAGGCTCTTTTTGACAAAATCTCCACATCAGGTCTGTTTTTGTTTTATTTTTTTTCAAGTCACTTGTCATGTTACCACAACTCAACCCCAATATTTCAATCCAGGTTTGAGGTTATCTTGTTGCCTAAAATTGTAATTTTCAAAGTCAACACAAAGGGCAAGATCAGGCTGTGTAATTATTTGTGCAGTGTGCAATGAATTGTTCAGTACTTTATTTTTCTAAGCTAAAGGAACACTATAGTGTAAGGAATATTAAATTGAATATTAAAAAAGGGGGGAGAAAAAGTTTAAACCTACTATTTTTCCAGCGCTGAGACTGACTCGGTGCAGCCGCCAGCCCCTCCTCCTGCAACATCATCTGGCAGGTGTTGCTTATTCGTCGAATCCAATACTTCTCATAAAGGAGCATTGGGAATGAGAAGAGCATGCTTTCTATGAGAAGCATTTAGAGGAGGTGACATGTGAGTAACAAGCCTCGTCAGCACCTCTAGTGGCTGTCAGCAGAACAGCTAGAGTTGTGTTTGGCTCTGCAGTAAAAACATTTTTTGTATCTACAATGGTGCACATTGCAGAGCTAAAATGACAGAGGCACTGCACCCAGAACACGTCATTGAGATTAAGTGGTCTGGGTGCCTACATGTACTTTTAAGTTGCTCATGTAAATGTATGCCCAGCAACTTGAGCGTTAAATTCCCAAACCTTTTAAAGTTAAATATAAGTTATAGCTCAGGGTTTAAACTTGAATGGGTCCGTCTGCACCTGGAGCATATCTGAGAACCATAAAATTAATTTCTCATGATTTACTGCTTTTGGGATAGACAACATGGGTGCATTGATGTGGGTGTTTGACCTTGTGTGCAGGGCCGGCGCGTCCATAAGGCGGCACAGGCGGCCGCCTTAGGGCGCACCGGCCCGGGGGCGCAAATGTCCGGGTGACCGGCAGGAGGGAAGCGCACAGCTCCCCTCTCCTGCCGGTCAAAGCACAGTTTATGGTACACATGTTGGGAAAGTCCTCCCAAGACTAGTGGGCAGGACCAGCTCCTCCAACTCCCAACTACCTCAGGCAGCACTTTGGATCCCAGGTAAGCCCCCCTCCTGAACCTGTTGGTCAGTGTGTCTGTGTGTATCCATGTCTGTCAGTGTGTGTGTGTATCCATGTCTGTCAGTGTTGTGTATCTCTGTCAGTGTATGTGTATATGTGTATGTGTGTATCTGTATGTTTGTCAGTGTGTTTGTATATAATATATCTACACACTGTACTATGTCTGTCACAGTCTACGAATGTGTATCAATCACACCAACCAACATTATATATAAACACACACCTACGTTCAAAAACCAACACTACACATAAATGCATGCTTGCATTCAAATGCAAACACTACATACAAACACACCGCTACAATCATACAAACATACTCCATACAAACACATGCTTACAGTCAAACACACAAATACTGCTCCATGCTAAATACAATACTGCAAGCATGGGGAATCGGTAGAGCCCCAGCTTTCAAAGCATTGTTGAAGTTGCACGACAGATGGGGATCTATCTTTTAGCCATCCTGTGTACATACACAGACCATCATACAGAGACATACAGTATGTATGTCTCTGTATGACTGTGTGTATGTATTCAAAAGGAATAAACGCAGTCAACACTCCAATAGTACGGATGGTATATTTATTGATAGGTGAACCACCCCAAAGAAAGTGCGTTGTTTCAGCTCAGCAGAGCCTTATTGCATGAGCTGAAACATCACACTTTCTATGGGGTGTTTCACCTACCAATAAATATACCATCCTTACTATTGGAGTGTTGCCTGCGTTTATTCCTATTGAAGACTTTACTGGTGGATCCAGCGATGTCCGCCTGACACGGAGCATCCACCACTGTTGATGGCCGGAGCATTTACACGGTATCTGTGTATGTATGTCTCTGTATGCCTATCTCTATGTTTCTTTATGTCTGTCTGTATTTCTGTGAGGGCCTGTGTCTGTATGAATGTATGTCTGTGTTTGTATGACAATGTACCTGTATGTGTAGATTGTATGACTGTGTTTGTTTGTGTGCCTTTTATGACTGTGTGTCTGTATATCTTTGTGACTGTGTGCCTGAAAAATTATGTCTGTGTGCTTGTATGGTTGTGTGTCTGTATGTTTGTGTATTTGTGCATGTATGTATTTTTGCCTGTATCTATGTCTATGTGGAAGAAAAAGAGAGATAGATAGGGGCTGGCGGGGAAGTAAGAAATACATAAGAGGTGTTGTAGGAGACACACTAAAGGGGGGTGTAAGGCACAAAGGGGCCAAAGGGATAAGACATTCAAGAGAGTGGATATGCAACACTAATGGGGGTAAGAAATTCAAAAGGGGGCTACGAGACACAGAGGTGAAGATGCATTGTATTTTTTTTTTTTTGGGGGGGGGGGGCGTCAAAATGCATCTTCGCCTGTGTAGTCAAAAATCCTAGCACCGGCCCTGCTTGTGTGCATGCTCTCGATTGTTTTAATAAAGACAAACATGGGCAAATTTGGGAAATCTAAGTGTAGGTTCAGCCTCATAGTTTTTAGTTTCGTTGTGTCCTAAATTTGGTACTCAGACACCACCCAATGTATCTTTAAATCTGTTTCCAATAGGGATATCTCAGATAGTTGCTTTGTTGAAACGAGAAAATGACGGAGTTAAGGAGGCAGCAGCGTTTGCCTTGGCCAATCTCACCACTGCATATCCAAACAATGCCAGGTAAGGGAGCACCTATATAAGGAGAAATTATGGCAAATTATTTAACCCTTTCAGAGCTGGATACCAAAACCCTTTCTCAAAACTTATTCTAAAGTGTTAAAAGATATCTCACTGTTATCTGTTTATACCTTGCTTTAAGCAGAATCTGAGATAGTATGATGCATTTTTCTGTTTCATATGTGTCTGCTTTCATATTGTCAAATAATTAAAATCAAGCTCCTTGTCTGACTGAATGAGTAATCCCTGTCATCCTCATCTGCCTCTTTAACTTTTTTTAATTGAAAAAATGGCATAACAATTATTTGACACATGGAATGAATAGGTGGAACATAATTCAAAAACAAATCTGCAATTGCATATGTTGATTACTGTTCATGTCTACATTTTTGAATTATGTAAATGTTTTTCATTTATTCATTCATCCTTTGCAGAGAGATTTTATGGTATACTTTTCTTTCAAAATTTCTGACAGCAATGGTGGGTGGCTTTTACTACCCCTGTGCTCCATGCAAAGGGTCTGAACAGAGACCCTGATGATGCATTTGTTGTTCTTCCAGTGCTGGTTTGGCAAGAGAAAGGTAAGATGGGCTAAATTACCCAAACTGGAAGAATAGATGATTTGGAGAATTTTTCCAATTCGGGAATTTTGACCTACAATTTTACATTTCCTGACAATTCACAATTTAGTGATTAACCCTGCCTGGAAAAACAAACAAACAGTTAAAGCGACCTTTATCACAAATTATTGCTGTTATCATACTTTCAGCCAATGCAATTAGGTCTTCTTACCATCTCATCAAGAGCTAGATTCTTATCTCATTTACAAGTTTGATGGAATTCTTTCATGAGAAATATATCTTGTCATTTTATCTTCCTTTGTATGGTAGTTTCATGTGTTTTAGTGCAACTGACACCATTTTTTTATTTTTCAGAGTTTATTGGTGTAGCATTACTTAATTTATTGACTTAATCTGGTTTCTCATGAAACTGCTGCTGTAACTAGCTCTTAATAAAGTGGCACTATCGTGATTCTTTTTTTCTTTCAGTTTTCCCTCCCTTATGCATATTTTATTTTATCTTAATGATTATAATCCCCACTTGCCTTTATTTATATTTATTATCTTTTCATCATTGCACCGGATATCGATATCTGGATGCTGCCATTTTTTTCTACTTTGCCCATGATGTCTGCAGTTTTCCCGTCTGTGGGATTCTTTTGACTGATGGATTGTGGGTAAATTAGCTTACAATTTTAAATGGAACCTTGCTGAAGCTCCAGTCATTGTCAAAGATTGCTAGAGATCCCACTTTATCGACTACACGCTATCTGTGGCATCCTGACCCTTTCTTACATATGCCTTTTGTCTCAGTGAAAGTTAACATTAGGCCTTGCTGTATTTGTTCATCATTCTGTTGTTTCACCCCTACCTTCTGAATAGGTTAATTTTGGACCACAATTTGTGAATAAACATTAACTGAGGATATTAGTTCTCTATAGATTTTAGATGGTTTTAGAAACATAGAATGTGACGGCAGGGCCCATCTAGTCTGCCCAATTTTGTAAATACTTTCCCCTGGCCTTATCTTATAGTTAGGATAGCCTTATGCCTATCCCACGCATGCTTAAACTCCTTTACTGTGTTAACCTCTACCACTTCAGCTGGAAGCCTATTCCATGCATCCACTACCCTCACAGTAAAGTAATACTTCCTGATATTATTTTTAAACCTTTGTTCCTCTAATTTAAGACTATGTCCTCTTGTTGTGGTAATTTTTCTTATTTTAATTATAGTCTCCTCCTTTACGGTGTTGATTCCTCCTTTATTGTGTTTTGTAACACATAGATCTGAATATGATCAGCATTCACAACAATATCAGTTAATCAGTCTTGTCAGTCACTGTTTGGTTGTGTTCATCGAAAATGTAAAAGGTAATAGTTTGTCTTGGTTTATCTATTGGTGTACTGTGCTGCACTATTGTGATTGTAATGGTTGGGTACATGACTCTATGCTAGTCATGCATTTAACCTTTCCCTCTCCCTTTAAACGAATACTCAAAGAAGCATAATCACTACAAAATATTACCCGGGGTCCACTACAACCTCAGTGAGAGCTAGAAGCTCTCTGTCTGAGCCAAGCCTGATGGTACAAGGCTTAGTTCATTGGCTGAGAGTGATCAGATGACTCTTAACTCAGATTGTGTAGGTCGTGGTGGAGAGGTGCTAAAGAACTTTCTAAAACAGATGAACTCTTTACAATGGAGGAGGGGGCGTCAATGCACTCCTGTGATCATGACTACTGCACCATGTTGTAAAGGTTACGGAGTTTGGTGGGTTCCACTAATAATTATTTCACTGTATACTTTGCCACACGCTTCCAAAAAAATGAGGTTTAATTAAAAAGAAATACTGGATTAGAGTGTTTTAAGCTGCATAACTGTGGTATGTGGAAAGTTAGGGCAGCTAGAGAATTATGTAAAGCTGTATATGAAGGACTTATGAAGCCTCATATTTTATAAATAGTCTGTTTTAAATACTACTTATTAATATAGATTAAGTGGATCTAATGGCAAAAATTACAACCACAGCTGGTTTAATAAAATGCATTTCTTTAAAGTTGTCTTTCATTTTTTTGTTAGAACTTTACTGCCATCTATTGGTCATAATGCGATATTTCATTTATTGAAAGCAGCAATCAAACTTGTAAGTCTAGAATTGTAATTTGTACTCATACTGTTAACCCATTTCTATTTGGAAATAAATGATTTGTATTCTAGATCTCATTAACTGTCCGTTAGTTTAATCACACAAAGATGCAATCCCCAAATCAACTTCACACGTGCAGTTTACAAACATATATATTACTGCTTTAAAAATGAACAAAGGGAAACTATGCTTTAAACAAACTAAAAAATTACACCCTCATATGTTACATTGCTTTTCTTTAAAAGGGAAATTCATGGTTGGAGGTCTTCAACATCTTCTAATTACTGTATATATGGTTTTATCGGTGATCGGTTTTGCTGAAACTTCTTAATTATCACCTAAAGATTGTTTTCCTTCTTTTAATTAGAGCTGTAGCAGAAGCAGATGGTGTTAATGCCTTGATTAATCTTCTGTCGGATAAAAAAGAAGACCCTGTAACAAACGCATGTACAGTACTAATTAATATGGCTACCCAGGAACCTCTACGATCCATTATTCAAACCCATGGTGTAATGCATGCTCTTGTCGAACCTTTGCGCTCTGCTAACAATATGGTGCTCAGCAAAGCTACCCTCACTGTTGCAGCATTTGCATGTGATGGAGACTCAAGAACAGAGGTAAGGAAATGTCAATGACCACAAGCTAGCTTACACATTAAACATTGTTTGTGCTCATACCTTCTCTGCAACTCTTCCCTGCTGACTTCTTCTGTTCCTTTGCTACTATCATCTTCTATGTTCCCTAATTTTGTGGTTCAAGGTGATATTTACTTTCATAGTTATACTTTTATATATTTTATATATTGTATACCTATAGTAACTTTTTCCACAGGGAGTCACTGTATTGTTCTCAGATCTATTTTATCTGAAAAATGTTAAAGGGATACCCCAGACCCCTAAACAACTTTACTTTGCTGAAAAACTTTGTGTGAAGAGTGTGTCCTCTCTTTTTCATTTTGCAAAAAGTGCAGATTTCAATAGAAATTTACACTTTTATAAATAATCTGGTTACACCCCTTGGCTTTCAAGCAGACAACAGGTCCTGTTACTTCCTGGTTTTGTTAGCTTAATGAGGCAGCAATTTTTCAGAGGACCTGACCTGCAAAGACTTCTCAGTGAGCTGCATTGGGAAGTCTGTGATTGGACAGACACAGAAATTCTGGGTGGGGTTAGAAGGGGAGAGCTTGGAAAAGCTGCAGACAAGAGAGCTGCAGCTTTTGCAAGTGGATTTTAAATCTACCCCCACTGGAAAAATAAATAATTATATGCATGCTAGCATTTGGGGTATGTCTACTAAACATTGATTTTTATTTATTTTGTGTTTGGGCAGTGGAGTGTCCCTTTAATGATTTATTTTTCTCATTAAACCAGTATATTTAATATTTTACCTTCAGTAACTTCCTTGCTAAGTCCAGAAAATAAACACACAAGTTCATAATGTTCAAACTGTCACATATACCCTGCTGCTGCTGTTGTTACAGGAGTTTTTAAAAATAGAATGCTTGTTTTAACTTCTTTATGGTAAAATTATGTCTTCCTGATTCTCCAATGCAGTAGACTGTGAGCACTGTTTTGAAGCAGTCTTTGACAAAAACCACTTCTGCATTAGCAATTTTGTCCATATTTACTTTGAGAGCATCGGCTGCAGTGCTCGGCCAATCAATGCCATGCAAATGTAGATAAACTTGATATTGCTAATGTAGAAGGGAAACTAGCACCATAACCACTACAACAGCATGTAGGGATTATGATACTTAGATAGCCCCTTTACACTTATAGCTCCCGTTTCACAAAAAAGCTCCCTTTGATCACTTTATCACTAGTGGATTTCTATTACACCAAAATAAATAATGTGACTAAACTCTCAGATCTGACAATCTGATAATATGTATTTCATCAAATCACCTTACTAGTGAAACTTTCCATATCTTATCTGTTCTTCCAAGTTCTGGGCAAAACTTAGTGTCTGGGAGGTGGTCTTTGACAGGACATATAAATATCCCAGGGAGGGTAAGAGATCTCCCCCTGAAGTGTTCAAGAAAACCCCCACAATGGTTAGAAGGAAATGCCAAACTATAGTGTGCAAATTCAAAACTTGGTCCCAGGGTTTGAGCAAAGAAAAAGGGGATGATGTAGTTTAGAATACCAGCCAGGGACATTCTATCAGGTAAACATTATCGGTTACATTGACTGAGTGGAGTAAAGTAGGTGGGAGGAGAGAAAAGCAATGTGTTCTTTTAACACTCTAATTTGTGAAAGTAATATTTACTGTGAATATTTTGTTGATCGTTGATAACAGTAATGCATTATATTAACTGTCTTGGCAAAAAGCAAAATTAAACAGAATTTTTCCACGTTGCATTTTCCCTTCCCCCCCCCCATGATTCATTTCTATGTTGTTGTTTTTTCAATTGTGGGTGGTTAGGACATTTCTCCCTTAGTGATATCAAGGGTTATAATAAGCAAATGTGTCCAGTTCTGTCTATAACTATAAACAATACCCACAAGCTACAGGTTTGCATGTAATCTGCATATGTTGTGCTTAGTTCAGAAATGCAGGTGGATTAGAACCTCTTGTGAAACTTCTTTCCTCCAATCATGATGAAGTCAGGAGAAATGCATGCTGGGCTCTTGCTGTATGTGCTAATGACGAACTCACAGCAGTGGAACTGTGCAAATTAGGGTAAGAGACTCTTGCATCTAAATGAATAAACAGCTTGTTATAGTGGAATTTTGTAAACAGAAGAGAACACTTTTCAATATGTTAAGCTAGTAAGTGAAAGTTTTTGAATTACATTTAATCACATTTTGCATTGCTTCACATTTAACTGGGCATATATAAAATTATATTGCCTATTAGATACAAAGTCCCCATATTTGTTGCTTCAGAGGATATCAATAAAATACACAATGTGGCATCTAACATTAATAACTTTATACATATAATTAAAATGATAAGTTATAGGAGTATGGACTTTGCGACATTGTTTTCAATGATTCCATGTATAAGTGACCATTAGAAATACAGAGGTTATTAGCAGAGCACTATTGCTTTAAATGGTTAAAGTACATTTCAGTATAGCCTTGACATTCATTAGTGTTAAATCTTTACATGAACTGGAAAGTGTTAATCACATGCTAGCATAGATTGTTTCATTAACACTTGTAATCAGATGTGTGGATACGATAATTATTAACATACACTACACAGATCGATGATTATTCATCTGTTAATTAAATGCATGTCTCTAAAACGTAAGTAAAAGATGTAGAAACAAATAGTATGGGAATTTCATTGGGTTCGAATATGCGCACCCAGGCTTCAGTGCTGACATTTGTCCAAGTAATAATACCCATGTTTATCCAGTGTTCACTGCATTATGTAATGTCTCCTTGTATAATGGTCATGTGGGGAATGTACCAGCATTACATTATATTAAGGCACTAAAAGTTTGTCAAATCAAACAAATACGAAAACAATAAAAAATATTAATAAAAAAATTAAATAATTTTAAAAAAAAGTTTGTCAACCAAAGTCTGTAGTTAAAAGCAAAGTTATAACTAAACCTCGTTTATAATTTTCTTTGTATTGCAACAAAAATGGGACAAAGCATCATTTACTAAGCTATGCAAAGACAAAGGGCTTTGTTCACTAAGAACAGATTTGTAGTGCATTGAAAACCGAATCGTAAAATGTAAGATAAGGTAGTCGAGTTGTGACTGTAGCTGAGTTGAAGAATTTTTCCAGATCAGGTATTTTTCCTAAATTTTCCAGTTCAGGTTTTCACGTTCCTAGAATTTGTTTATTTAACCAATAATAGCCTGAAGTGATTCTTATAATAGTTTTGTATGGTTTTAGGGCACTGGACATTCTCCAAGATCTGAACCTGTCATCGAGCCGAGGAAATCATTTTAGTGAATTGGCATACGACAAGCTACTAGATAACAATTTGTCTCTGAAGTACAGTCAGAAAGGATGCTTGTCTTACAACAACCTCCTTACCAATGGCTTTTATGACCATGGACGGGTATGTTAAAAACATATACCAATTCACAGGGATATTTTGGTGTCGTGTGAATAATCTTGTACTGGAATAGTGTATGCTATCTCCCTGCAGATCAAACCAGAAGCAAAGCTGCTGTCTCTAGAAGAACTATGCAAACAGCCACTGAATCAAAACCGAGCGATTATTATAGTCAATTCAAGATGTCCTGAGCTGTAAGTAATATTTTTTATTAATGAAAATATCACCTTTATTTACCAGTGTCCTGACGTCTCATGCCTAACCAATGAATGTTACACATTGATCCTTGAAATGTTTTTGATTTTATTTTCAAATATAGTTTATTAAGAAACATTTTTAAAATGCATAAATTAAACCATACATATTTTCAATGAACGAACAACACAATATATGTTTACTTAAACAAAATAACAATATTTCACAATAAATATATCTTATTAAATACTATTATTTGAATTTTGTTCCTTGTATAATGACCCATAACCCTAAACAATTGTATAATAAGCAGTAATTAAAACAAATGTTAAATGCTATATCTATAAAAATAAATAAAAGTTTGCATTTATGTATAAAAATAATAAAAAAAACAACAACAATAAAAGTGGGGTGTGGGGGGAAATCCACCTTAAATAGTTAGTTTTGAGCTTAATTCTGTATAACTTTCATCTTGACTTTGGGTAGTAGAGCCAAGTAAAATAAGTCCCATAACTGCGGCAGATTAACATGAACATTAACTTTCCACATGAGAAAAACTTTTAAAGGATATATTTCTTTTTAACATCCTTTTCCCGTATTTACCATTAGTAAGTTAAGATTGTCTTGCAACTTTTATTCTCCGAATAGAATTGAGAACCTCTTTAATTGGTGGAATAACAGGTGATCTCCAATGTCTGGGGACAACTGTAGTGGCAGCAATGAGAAAATGTCCAATAACGATCTTATCTATTTTTTCAAGTGAACTTGTGATTTTTTTTTTTTTTTAAACAAAATGGTTTTTGTGTTTGCTAAATCATTCTTTTTTTTTTGTTTTATTTATTATGTGTAAGAATACAAGTATTACAACATGTTAGAAACGAATGCATTTATAATACATTTTACAGCAAACAGAGCTTATATATAACCTTGCAACTTATAGTTTAAATTTCCCAAACTACGATTTTTTAAAATTTTAGGTGCATGACTTTTTGTAGAATTATAAAATTTGCTTAACTGTTTACATCTGTGGTATTAGTGCATTTGTGTACAATACATGTAATACCTATTTAGGGCATTCATCTTTATATTTAGTTTCTACTGGAAAAACAAAAAACAGGTTAAATGTAAAAGATTATGGGTTAAATAGCCAAACTGGGGTAAATGGGAAAACAAACTGCAAAATGTAGACACAAATCTTTGATTTGTTTGCAAACAAATCTCTAGCTCTACTATAGTCACAGCTCCTCTTCTCGCCACCCCCTCTGCCACACCCCCATGGCTCTTTAACAAATGTTTCAAAACAAAATATAGCATAGCATCAAATATAGACTATATACCATGTGTGTCAGCTAATCCATACGAATGCTGTTTGGTCCTTGTATTTATTTTGCAACATGTTATAGAAATACACATGATGCTGCTGACAGAATATGTGACAAAGTAGGTAATTCACAGACTTGTTACAGGCTGATTATGTATCCCTATACCAGATTTCATGTCACATTGTCTAAACAATAGGAATAACATAATCATGTCCGTGTTACATTTTATTTTACTTTGCTTTTGATATTCTATTCCATTTATATTTATGAATATATTTTTTTCTAATAATTATAGTATCAAAATGCAATATAATTATAATTTCAGAGCCTCTTCTGTATCACCAACCCCTGATGAAGAGAAGCGAGAATCATCTTCTGATTTATCACAATCATCTCGCAGCCTTAGTGCTTCTAAAGAAAAAGGAAGGTATGATCTGTTACTCAATGTTCTCTTATAAATACTTTTTATTCTGAGTTACATATCATACTAACATTAATAAGAGTTTCACTGACGTTTACCTTGGAGTTTGGAATATTTGTGAATTGAACAAAAAGGGTACATTCTAAATCAGGGGTTTCCAAAAGGTATATCCCCAGATGTTGTAGAACTACAACTCCCATGATGCTTCGCATTCCCTTAGAATGCCTTTAGAATGACAAGACATCATGGAAGCTGTAGTTTTAAAACATCTGGGGATCTACCGATTGGGCACCCCTGTATTATTATTATTTTATTTATATAGCGCCAGCAAATTCCATAGAGCTGTACTCTAAATGTCTCTGTACTTTATTAAAGATAAAGAGAAATGTTTATATTGTTTGTATTCAGCACTCTTTTAGCATTTCACTGTTAAAGTAACTAATAGTCATTTTGTAAAGGTCCTGTCGCCATGAAGAAAGTCATACAGATTATGTGATACTAAAATAATATAGGGCAGTGATTAGCCTGTGGCCCTTCAGCTGTGGTTTATTACATGTCTGCTGATGCTCAGCTATAATTTAACTCGTATAGGGTATTGTTTCTGCATGTGGGGGTTTTACAAGTTGGAAGAAACAGTAAGCCCTGTGTTCACAAAACATTGTGCACATCTAAATGTTTGTACAGGTTTTTTTATTATCCCATCCCTAAAAAAATTATGAATCTACAACCATAATGCAGTCCAGTAATCACTAATGCAGCTTTAGTTCGGTTCTAAAATGAAATACACAGTTTATATCAATGATATTATTTTTTGCGTCTTCACCATACCATAGCCAGAAAGTTTCTTTCCTCCTTACGTTAGCCATGGGCACAGGGAGAAAGGTTTTTAACCTGTTAGTAAGACAGACATGGTAAATGATGCAAAAAGTAAGGCCTTATTCATAAAGTGTGTAGAGATTTAGAAGATTTAGTTGAACCATCCTAGGAGTAGGACTGAATACATCAGTGCCATCAACAATAGTGCCATCAACATCACGTACCGTTTTTCTAGCTCAAACTCTGCATGTATCTGGGTTTGCTCAATATATCTGCTTGCAGTGAATAAGGATTGGATTATTCTGTGTCATTACCAGGGCCACTACTTCATCTCCTGTAGAAGAAAAGCCTGTTTCTGCTGGACGATCTCCTTTACTCAGTAGAGGTGGTTCTAAGGATAAGCCTCCAAGGTATTTATTTTGTATAACACAGAAAGGTGCATTCAAACGCTTTTTTTGGGCTAACATATTTGTTTCTTTTAAAAATATAGCCCACAAAATCTGAAAGTCATTTAATTCTTCAACCCCCATATATACTTCTTCAGAAATTATTCACTGGTTGTGTGATCTACTTTACTTAATGGTACATTTGTCATTTTCATTAGCAAATCTAACGTGCAAATTTTATAAGACGGACACTCCAGTTGTTGTTAGGAATAGTTAGGGTAAGAGTTATTTAATTCTATGTTTTAAGACTAGATTTGAACGCTTTAGCCCTACAAAAGTCTTTATAGGTGGAAATAAAGGCATTATGTCCAGGCTCATCAGTGCCTTGGCCTAATCTATCATATTTAAAGAAAAAGAATGAATAAAGCACATGTGAAAACCTAAGTGGTAAGTAGATATTGTTTCTCTTCGCCTGTAAAAATAGACTGCTCTCAGTCCTCCTAAATTCCAGCACTCCAGACTGTAAGTATCTGAAGCATCTGAATATTAAATTAGTTCAATATGTGTCTCACTGAACACAATTCTATTTATTTAGGTTTTTTGGCATTAAAGATCACTCCAACTTTTAACTCTCCAGCTGTTGTCACACTACAATTCTGATCATCCCCATTCGCCAAGCAGGCTGTTGAATATGGCTGGCAATCACAGTCCTCAAACAAACAGCTGGAGAGCAGTGAGCTGACCACCCTTACACAAAAGCATGTGTATATAGCCCAGGCAGATGTTTTTGCTTTCGCTAATTAATCGAAAACATGCGCGGCTTAAAATTATGTACAGTTTTATAGAGGATTCAGAAATCCTTTGCTGAAAGACATATGTGCCATGGGATGTGTCAGACAATTTTTTTTGTTCATGAGTTAACGAATATCTAAATCGAAGCAGATGTGCTTTGTAGCAAGAAGGCTCAATGTGATGAATTTCAGGGTAACATATTAGCTTTTACGATTCATGGAGTCCAGCTCAATTGAAAAATTTAAGTTTATAAAAAAAAAAAAAAAAAGAAAACCTTTATTTCTTTTCAATATTTTTTATTGTGAAAATAGAAACTTGCTTTTGCCTCTTAGATGACTACAAAATATAAATCTATTACAATATGAAAATATCTAAACCTTACGTTTCATTATTACATTGATGTAAAAAGTATCACCAAATACATTTCTGTATTGTATTGTACAATAATTGGCGTACGTCCTCAGACGCTAAATCATATTGCTGAGGATAATGTTTAATACAAGAAACTCTTTCAAACGCTGAGACTTTTTTTCCCAACCTCGGGTCATGTGGTTAGTTTCCCTTCAGGTCTGTCAGTGCGACATTAATCTATCTGTCCAACTCTGTGAGATTTATAACTTTGAACCTTTGTTATATTCAGTTTTTATTGAAAGAGAAACATCCCTTGTGTGTTTTTATGTCTTCCTATACAAATGGCATTTTTGTATGTCACGTTAAATTGCAGTAGCAAGTTTTTTAATCCAACTGAATGACAGAGGGCAAGTATCATATTTCAGAATCCATAACATATACTATTTAGTATTTATTACTAACATGATGAATGTAAGTGCTGTCTTAAATTGCCATATAGTTCTGCTATTGATCCCTAAACAAAAAAATATTTACAGGTCTACTCAAGATGGCTGCTTCAAGTTTGTTCTTGCTCGTAATATTCACTAAGAGTCAAGTACAGATTACTAACTTTGGTAGTCTTGAAACTACCTAAGAGCAACCTTGATGCTGATTGTTTCTTAAATTGTGCCACCTAACAGCTGACTTGAAGCAGTGCCATCTTAACAGCATTATGGGCCCCCGGGCAAAGCAGTGCACTGGGGCCCTGCCTACACAAAAACTCACGGGAATAAAAATTTAAATTATCAATAAAATTAAGCTTATATTTATTGGTACCTTCAACAAATGCAATCCATACATACACACAGACTGCTGAATACTCGCACACACCGACTGCTGAATACTCGCGCACGCCGACTGCTGAATACTCGCGCACATCGACTGCTGAATACTCGCGCACACCTACTGCTAAATACTCGCGCACACCGACTGCTGAATACTCGCACACACCGACTGCTGAATACTCGCGCACACCGACTGCTGAATACTCGCACACACCGACTACTGAATACTCGCGCACACCGACTGCTGAATACCCACGCACACCGACTGCTGAATACATGCACACACCGACTGCTGAATACTCGCGCACACCGACTGCTAAATACTCGCGCACACCGACTGCTGAATACTCGCACACACCGACTGCTGAATACATGCACACACCGACTGCTGAATACATGCACACACCGACTGCTGAATACATGTATGTGTGTGAGGGGTGCAGTATGTGTGTGAGCGGTGCTGTGTGTGTGTGCATGTGTGTGCATGTGTGAGGGGTGCTGTGTGTGTAAGGGGTGCAGTGTGAGTGGTGTTGTGTGTGTGTGAGGGGTGCTGTTTGTGAAGGATGCTGTGTGTGTGTGAGGGTGCTTTGAATAAGGGGTGTTGTGTGTGTGTTGCAGAATGTGAGGGGTGCAGGGAGCAAATGGGTTTTTGTTGTTTTTTTTTTTTTTATCATTTAAAAAAATATTAATGATAAATAAGGATTAATTTATGTCCCCCCCCCCCTTCTTCTTACCTTTGGTGAAGGAGGGGAACACACAGCCAGTGTGGTCCGGTTGTGAATTCTGTACAGCCTGCAGCTCCTCTGGCTGCTGGCAGTCTCTTGTCCTCCCGTGTGCAGAATGCTGCGTGGAGCATTGTCATGGCAACACTCAACACAGCCTTCACGCGCGAGGAGCACTCTTCCTTCCAGGTCCCTCCTTCTGACTCCGGGTACTCCCGCCGTCTCTCCTTTCTTTCGAAGGGCTTTTGGGCTGGTGAGGGATATCTTTGATCAGCGGGCCCAGTGGAACAAAACAGGGCCGGCTCTCTATTGGCCGGCAGGGGAGATCAAAGGATTGTGGGGCCCCTGGGCAACTGCCCAGCGTGCCCATGAGGAAAGTCGGCCCTGACTTGAAGAAGTCCTCTGTGTCAGAACAGCGTAATGCCTTAACATGCAGAGCTAATGTCAAGCCTGACTAAGGCAGGATAATGAATGGACAGTAGCATGTCACTGCTCCTTATGGATGGCTCTGCTTACCACTATAATAGCAAAGGCATACCAGCTTGAAATAGCAAAGGTTATTAAGAGAAGAAAGCAAAGCTTCCTCCAAGGAAACAAGAAGAAGAGAATAATCAAGGAAAGCAGAGGTCAAGTGTAACAAAAGGAGAATAAGTAAGGACTAGTTGAGGTCAGATACCAGAGAATCAGAAGTGTAACATGCTCTCAGATAACCAACTGGAAACCATGACAGGACAAGAGCTTAAAGTGGCAGTCACGTCGAATTTACCTTTCTCCTATTGTTTCCTCTTCTCTTCCTCTCTCAGAATCTGTTCTTCTTTTCTTCATTTTTTCTTTAAAACACAAGACAAAGTAGGGACTACTTTGTCTTTGTACTACGTCTTTTTCTCTTACACAAGGAGCTTAAGTCAGCTCCATTTTCTTTGTCAAGGAGGATGGTAAGTACTTTCAGTGCAAAAAACTGAGCATCTGAATTGACATTTTCAGAGAGAGAGCCATAAAATAATGTAGGATTGTAACATCCAGACTCAGATATGATTCCAGAATGAAATATCATGAGTTAGGCAAAGTGACAACCCAGCACATTCTCTCTCAGTAACCATATAGTTGGCATCAAGAGTACTTATCATTAAAGAACAATCAAAAAGCAGTCTGAAGGGAGAAGAGCAATATGTCATAAATTAATAAAATTACCAGGTGTCCCTGGGTACCACTTATTTGGGATAGAAGAAAAATAACCTCCCAACTTCCCCTTTTGCTTTGAATTGAAACCTAAGAGGCTCATAAAGCATAGTACTATTGGATAGCAGCAAGAGCCAGAAAAAGAGGTATCACTCAGAGAATATTATTTTAAAATATTTCTGGAACATCAAGCCATACACAAGTTACTCTTTGTCTTAAATTATAATGATAACCATGCAACCATCATTTTAAATACAATTATGGTGAGTGTATATTATCAAAAATAACCTCACAGTGAAGGTGCCTGTAAATTAATCCTGGCATTTTCATAGATTAATCAAGTAAGAAAACAAATATTACTCCTATTGTTTGGTTACTACATAATTAGTTTGTCAAAACAGTTTTGCTGCACAGCAAACATAGCTGTCAGTTCCACTAACTGTCTGACAAAGGCCAATGCTGGATTCTCATCATGTCTTATTGCATCTGCCCAAGACTATGTAAAGATCGTTTTTTTTTCGTGGTTTGTTTTTTTATTAAGTCTTGCAACACCTAGTTTGCATATTAGGGTTTATTTTCTAAACAATATTCATTCTGTACTGTATAGTTTTAAAAATAAGGGAAATTGACAATTATAGTGGCTTTATTTAATCTTAGAGAAGGATTTGGTGATGTACCATATTGTAGTGTAAAAAATATTTTAGCAGGAACTACCATAATTGAGATTTTTTGCTAATTGAAGTTAACTAAAGGTTGTGCTTTTTCATGATTTTTTATTTATTTTTTACTAGTTTTTAAATTTTTAAATATTATTTTTATGCAACGTGAAACTCTGTATTTCAGCCGGGGAAGAGTCAAGGGGAAGAAGGAAGAAGAGAAGCCAAGGGAAGAAGATGAAGTAAAAGTCCCAGAACCTGTTGTCATGAAGCAAGAGTGGTCCCCACCATATGATCAAAAGTTAAGCGACTACATCATGGAAGCTTCAAAAACAATTCTTCCTCTTGCTTCTGTCAAAGAGAGAGTTGTGGCTTTGGCTCAGTACGTAATAATATTTGACATTTCTAAGGCTTGCGAGAAATTGACTATACTGTAAATTGTGTCAAATAGTCTGCAAATCAATAAGGCTACATTTTCTATGTTGGGATAGGGAGATACCATTGGCAAAGCTTAATATAGTTTTACTAAGGAACTTTATTTTACTTTTACCTGCAGAATGGACATTCCTGATATGTGGTTAAAACTAAGTAAAGCAGGGAGAAGAGCTATTCATTCCCTCTCCCACACCTAGAGACAAAAACGTTTAAACCCAAATTATAGAAATAAGTTGACAATAACTGGTTCAATCCTTGAGAGTTTTCTTGGGTACTAATAGTCCTTTTTCTTTTTTTTTTTTTATAATTCTTTATTTTTGTTGTGCAGTAGATAAACAGTTTGGCATTCAAGACATTAATTGGTAACTAAGTAGATGGGTAATTTATATAACAACATAACAATGACGAGGTGTCTGCACTTTTTATGTAGCTAATAGTCTTTTTTTGATAGGAAATATAAGCATTATAACCATTTCATTGCATTGCATAGTCTATAGTGCATCGATTCCCCTAGTTCTCTGGCCATCCATTCAGTGTTAAGCCATTTTTTCGAGCAGTTTTACACTAAAGGCCTCCCACAGCTCACAGGATGTATGGCTAAGGCAGCGATTGCACACTTCCTTCTAGCAATACTGAGTCATCCCAGCAATGGGTGCTGTGGTAGGCTGAAAGTGATTCAGCTGAAACTCTCAACCAATCATAGCTCATTATTGCTGCTTAGGCTAACACTTTTTCATGATTATAGCAAAGCAATATTTTAATCTGAGCACCTTCCTTTCTTGTTTAGGGTTACCTACCCCTGAACTAGTCTTTAGGCAAAGTCTGGAACCTATACCGGCATCTCTGTATTTAGTACTTGACATAGTTGTAGCTAAGGGAATATCAGAATCCAGGCACAGCTGTGTAAAGTGTCATGTTCTAGATTCATCTAGTAAGGTCAGCGGTTATACCAGTATGTTTGTACAGTTGATTTAAAGATTCAACTTTAGTGGGACAGGCAAAATGCAGCCAGAGAGGCAGTCTTTGGTTGAAGAAAGTACTCTGTGCCTCCAATACAAATCTGGCATTGTAGGGCAATGAGGCCGTGTCTAACCATTTTGGAAGAAAACATTCAAGCTATTTTGGTCTAAAATGTGCAATCCCTTAATTCTTAACAAATCCCCAGTTTGGTGTGTAAATACAGGATTCACCAGGGAATAGCACGGTTTAGACTAAAATACCTGAATTGTAAAAATTATCCTAGTCAAATACGTTTTCAGCTTTCAGATTTGATTTTTTGGTATAAAATTTTGAATTGAGTGAATCCCAGGCAATTCTTGGTTTATGTTATAAAACATGTCGATGTGTTGCTTTGCCTTTTACATTTTTGCTGTTTTGTAAAACATTAGAAAGATACACATGGATGCTCTCTTACAACCAGTTTTAAGTTAAATTGTGTACTCATTTCTGAATGACAAAATGGAAAATTGCAGTATTTTTAGTCAAATGAACTATACAATTGGTGCTATCTAAGAACTAAATCTCTTAATTCTGTAGGTTAAGCATCAGCATATTTTAGGATTAACCGGCTCTTCACATTTGATCCTAACAGTGTGCGTCTAAATATCCTTTGACTCTAAACTACATAATCATTATATTTGCTTAATTTCGGCAGTCTTTAAACTAAAATTGATTTCATCTTAAGCTTTTATGTAGGCTTTTAATCTTACATAAAATGCAGTTCAACAGACAAGATGCTCAAATGACTGACTGCATACATTACCATTTTAATTCCTTTAATGATCTGAACATAATTGCAGCAATCACTCAATGGCAGTTTGTAAAATGCTACTTTTGTTTTTCAATGATACGTGTAAAAAAAAATAGAAATGTATAATAAAAATGTGAAATTGATGGATCTGCTTACATTTTATAAAGGTTTGTTGCCGAGAAGATGGGGGGTCTTATTGACAAATATCGGCTGCATGAATTCAACTGGGAACTGCATATGAGTGATCTTAAAATTCAGACGCAGAGCAATGTTATACAAATTGGCAAAATTAAAAAAGGGACCTTCTATCATCGAGCATTGCTCTTTAAGGTATGTACTAGTTATACAGATAGCTATGTAAAAGCTTTTTATATATTTTATTTTATGTTTTTAAATTCTAGACTGGTTGAAACTAGAAACTATTTTTGAAAATAAAGCATAACAACAAATCTACTTTGGTACTATTTAGTAAAGAAATGTAACATTGACCAGGTAACTGCATGTTTGCAATGTATGTGGCTATTTTGGTCTAAATGTAATAGATAAATAGTGGTCTATCTGTTTAGCATACCAGCAAAACAAAAAAATAATTTAATAAGCAGATAAAATAAATAATGCAAACAAACTAAATAGAGAATTTATTTTAACCAAAGCTTTGTGAAGACCCCCTGATTTTTTCCCCTAATGAACACCAAAATTCAATGAATAAAAAAAATCTATATTAGTATTTTATTTTTAAGTTGTACTTTTACATGTACAACCTCAACTGATGTCACGGTGACAGTGAATAATAGTGCACTGTTTTTAGACTTGAGAAAACCAGAAGATATGAGGTTATTCAAGACCGGATTTTTTTCCACATGGACAAAATCCAGTAAAAATTACCAAATTTCCACCACAATAGTAATTCTCGTATTTATTAAAGCCAGTTCTGGTCAGTACTCGCCCTGATGCATTTGGTATCTGTATTAAAATTGTTGCTTTGGCATTAAATCCCTTATAAAGTATACAGTTTGGAATATTCACAAAATTTAGAACTGAATTAATCCAGTAGGACGCACGTTCACAAATTAAAATTTTAATGAGACACTGTAGTCACCAGAACAACTACTGATTAATGGAGGTACTCTGGTGTGTATAGGCTGTCCCTTTTCAGAGAAAAGGCTGTGTTTACATTACTGTCTAGGGACATCTCTAGTGGCAGTCACATAGACTGATGTTCAGCGTTTCCACACTTTGCATGGATGTGCTGGATGCTCCCCATAGAGATGCATTGATCCAATGCATCTCTATGAAGAGATGCTGATTGGAGCAGTGCGGCGTCTTGCAGCATGTGCACATTAGTCCCACAGTGCCTTTCCTTTCCTTTGGGAAAGCACTAGATTGGCTGTGATAATCAATTCTGATGATATCAGCCCAGTAGGTGGAGCAGGGATGGAGCCAGTGCTGGCAGACCCACATGGCGCTGGAGTAAAGGTAAGTTTAATACCTTTTTCAAGGGGGCCAGCCACCAAAGCTGTGTTGTTAACAATATACAAACGTGTATTGCTGACCCTATAGTGTTCCTTTAAGTACTATTTGCCACCTGGCAGCACTAACAAGCAGGCAAATAGTGAAAACCCCTCAGCAATGAGAGGGTTAATTAAGTAATGAAAAGGTTTTCTGAGTTAAATTGAATGTTGATGCATTTTTACAAATCTGGAATAAAAGTTGTTTTATAGTTTTTTTCCCCCCAAAGTCCTAAGAGTGCTATCATTTTGTTTTGTATATCCTTTTTGATTAACCAGCACCATGCACTAGCATTTTGATCCTAGAGGTTTTTAGTTATTATTTACTTATATTATATAAATATATTGTGTGTGTATATGTAAAACATGCAGTATGTATGTAAATACACACATCCATGTACATCGACCAGACTATATCAGGGTAATTTTTTATTTATTTTTTACTTGACTATTAATATTCTTCATTAACAGCCAGGTGGTTTCATATTATTAATATATTTTATTGCAATTTCAATCCTCTCTCACACCTGGAGTGCAATTAACTATATAGAGTGAAGTATATTTATTCAGCTATGTCACACATGCACCTGTAGCATATAATTGGTTAAGATAATGATCACATTCAAATAATGACATAGTTCTAAACTTTTTACTTAAACATAAACTTTTTGAATAATTATTTATTTCTAATTCATATGTAACACAAAATGTGTTTGTTTTGCACCAACAATGCTTTTCCTATTACTGGCAACACAAAATAATAGGGGTTTATCTTTATAGATGTTGGAACTAAGAAGTGATTATGTTCTGGTAGAAATCAATAATAAGTAGATGTAACCATTTAGGAAAAGTTCTCTAGGGCCAATTATTTTATATAAAGGCACACTATAAGCACACAGACCATTTCATCTCATTCAACTGGCATGGGTGAAATGCAGTGCAGTGATTACATTGCAGGATTAACTCCACCTCTAGTGATTGTCTTCCAGACAGCCACAGAGGCGCTTTCTGGTCCTTAACAGAGTTCTACTTCACTAAAGGATGTTAGACGTCCTCATGCAAATCGCGAGAACGTCCAACATCTTCTATGTTACCCATAGAAAAGCAATGATTTAATGCGCGTGGCACTCACCAAACATGCACATTAGGTCCCACATTGATGTTGTGGGAGGAGGAGACCTAGCCAGCGCCGAGAGAGCCTCAGCGCTGGAAAAAAGGTAAGTAAAATCAGATTTTTGATCCATTTTAGGCAGAGGTGGGGGACCTAGAAAGGTAGGGATTGAGATACTATAGCATTGGGAATACGGGTTTCTTTTCCAAACACTATAGTGTTCCTTTATTAGAAATCCTTGGCACATCTGATGGTTAAGACCATTGCAAAGTGCACAATTTCACAAGCAGTTTAACTCAGAATCAATGGTAGTGCATCCTACACTCATTAGCATTATCCAACTTGACGTCATGGAAGTGTCCACTAGATCAAAACAGGTTTTAAATATCCTTTGATTTCACATCTGTGTAGAAGTCATATGTATTTGAGTTCCACATGATTTACACCTAATTCCAAATAATAACAATTTTAGGATCCTAACTCAAACCTTAACGCTCAGTATTTGCTTACTTTCTTAGGTAATCGCAGATCGAATTGGCATTGGTTGTTGTCTTATCCGTGGAGATTACGGCCGGGCTTGGAATGAAGTAAGGTTACTTGATGCACCTCACCAAGAAGGAACTCGAATGAGTTCGCCGACTACATACATTGTTGACCTAATGTTTAATCCAGGCTCTTTACTGAAGGACAACAGTGCAGAAGCTGACCGGTATAAATACATTTAATAAAAATGTCTCAGTAGACTTGAATAAAATCGCACTAATTTAAACATTATTTAAATCATATTTGTGTTATTTCTCCTTTCTATATCATAAACCGTCAAATAAACATCTAAAATATGGCGATGTTGCTTTCATTTCTCTTGCAAAACAATATTTTCTTTTTCCTATAAGGTTAATGAAATGATTGATTAACAATTATTTGGTCATAGATCTTCTACTTACATTTATAGTAAAGCAAAGTATTTTTTTTTTTTTAATTCTTTATTTTTGTCGTGCAAGAATTTACAACAGTGTCTGCGTAGCCACAATAGCCGTAACAGACAACTTCAAATATGACATTCAAAAACATTTTCGTGGCTTATTTAAACTTAGCACATTTTTATCATTTAAGGATCATTTAAGACAACATTAAGCTTTGTACGATTCAACATGTTTGTCGGTAACAGCATTCAAGTGGCTAGGTCACATGTTGGTCTACGCATTTATTATATATATATATATATATAAGTAACCCGATTATCTATGTATATGAGGTTGACAGGCTAGTAGGTAATGTTTATGTAGTATAACACGCTATGGTAGGTATGCCTTTAGAAAAGCTAGTCAAGCTTAAGGTTATAATTGTGTCGTTTGTATGTGGTGCGACCTGTATGTCCTAAAAACCTAGTGGCGTAATTAACCAATTCTCAAGCTAGTGGAGGCAGCGTTCTATCATGTGAAGCAGGTGTGAGTAGTGTGAGATCCTACTAGCCACCAGGTACGATTCGCATAGTGTAGTTAATATATGAGAAAATTGTTGCTGTGCGTGGGTGCCATGGCCATTGTTTTCCTGGCCGCCGAGCACAGCAAGGCATGACAGGGTGAAACATTATGCTTTTGAGTTCACAGCAAAATTAAGGTAAACAATAAGCTAATTAAAGGAATAAAATAATAAAGCAATAAAATAACAATAAAACCGCTAAAGCAATTTAGGTAGGTGCTTCTGGTGTAGCTGCAAGACAGTTCACCTCATGTCCCCATAGTAGGGCCTGTCCCCTCGGGACCTGCCTGTAGCTGTTTTAGCCCAATCCCACTTCTGGTAGGTTGTCGATCCTGGGGTGCAGAAGTCCGCTAGTGTCTCGATGGGGCTTGGTGCAGTGATGTGGCTTGGTGGGTTGAGATGGGTCGCAGCAACCGTGCTTGGCTTTTCCCGGCGTCTGTGCTATATATTAAACGAGTAAAAAATGTTTAAGTGGGGAGTCTCAGATGAGATCTATGAACTTGGCGTTATTATGGTTAGGCAATCTGTTTGGCTTGATGTTCCCGTGTCCCCTTCCGGATCTCAGGTACCCATAACGTGGCGGCCAGCCCTCTGTGCTTTAAATGCGGTGGAGGGCAAGGTGGAGGCCCCAGAGGGCTGGAATGCTTGGACTTTGGCCATGTCCCAGAAGTGAGGGGGTTGTCGTCTCGGGGCTTGGGTGGTGCTAACCGGGTTTGTCGGTAGCCCCAGAGCGGTCAGTACTGAGTCCATTTCTGCTGCGTCCGTTAGGCGGGTTGTTGCGCCCCCATGAGAGATGACCAGGCTCCTAGGGAATGCTGATATGGGATAGAGTGTTGACGGAGCGTGGCTGTTAGTGGCTTGAGCTGGCTTCTCCATATCACTGTGGGCCTGGACAAGTCCTGATAAAAGGATAAGGTAGCATTTTCAAATGGGTAATTTGCCTTGTTTCTCACGGCAGTCATAAGGGTCAGTTGGGCTGCCCATCTTCGTAGCTGCAGGATGACATCCCGTGGGGTGTCTGCTGGTGCTGTGGCGGCTCTCGGGATGCGGTAGGTCCCATCTATCTCAGTTAGGCGTGCTTGTTGTGTTGAGAGCAGGGAGGCGAGCAGTCTCCCGACGTAGTGTGTCAGGTCGCCTGTGGCCACAGTCTTCGGGATACGCCGGATTTTTACATTTCTGCTCCTGTGCTGGTCTTCTAGTGGGTCTAGGCGGCTGGTGAGTTGAGACTGAGCGCGCCACATCTCTGTGTTTTGGGCTTCCAGTTGTGTACACCGGGCGGAGATGTCTTTCGTTTCTCCCTCTGTTGTTTTGACGCGCCCCTCTACTGTTTGTATTTCTTCTCGCAGTGTGGCCACATCTGCGGCAAACATTTTGCGGAGCAAGGCTTTGATATCCCCCTTCGTGGAGGGCAGCTCGCTATCTTCGTCGGAGGACGGGAGGTGTAAGCCCCCTGAGCTCGGGAATTCATCCAGCTCGTCCATTGCTTGGTCCTCGGAGGAGGCCAAGGCCGTATCACTATGTTTTGTTTTTTTTGCGCGGCATGGTTTGGGGCTTGTGCAGGTCGGAGGAGAAGATCCCCGATGTCTCGTGCCCCTGTCGGTCTCGGGGTTCCCTGGTGTTTTGTCTTCTTCCCCATCTCACTGTGACCCGATAGAGGCTGAGGTTGGAGTGTTTCAGGTGGTTAAATCGCTTATTTCAGGCTTAATTCTGCGGAGCTCTGCTGGCACACGTCGGCTCTGTATGGCTGCTGGCTCCCGTAAAGCAAAGTATTTTAATTAATTACGTTTCAATTACAGAGCTCGTAGTTCATAATATAGACATGATTTAAATGAATGTAAAAAAAAATAAAGCTAGATGTATTAGACCAACATTTGATTAAAAAGACAAGCTTTTGAAAGTATTGCTTTTGACTTGTTAGAAGCCAAATTACTTCCTGGTTTGCTACTTCATATACGCTATTTAGTTTGGGACACATTCAACGTTATAGCATGCATTTTACTGCTGTAAGAATACATGCATTTTAAAAGAAAGAAGTAACGGGGGAGCATTGGAGAGAGAGAGAAGAAAAAAATAATTTATCAATGTTTCATGGATCTGATCTGTAATCTGATTGGCTCTTGGTTGTTTTCAGGCAATCAAAAAGGGAAAAAATCACTGTCAGTGACAGAAAATGGACAGACACAAATTACACTAATGGCATCCTCTTATTTCTAAGATTACATGTAGCTACAAAAATCACAAAATTAAAATAGCACATTAAAGAAAAAATACACCACTGTAGGTAGGCGGGTGGCATCCCTCTGTGTATCAAAATCAAATGCATAGTGTGACTAACACTGTCCAGTCTTGGGATCTCCCTATCTCATGGCATGTCTGTCCAAGATAAGTGGGAATTACAGTCCTGTGCAGCAATTGCTATTGTGTGTGTGTGGACACTACCCAGTTATCAATTATGTCATGATTTATCACAGATAAGGGATATGTAACAGAGCTCCTGTACCCCGGCTGAGTACCTCCGTTAGGTTGGCTTCGTTACCAGGGGACTCTGGAGTGCTTCAGACCCAGTCACTGAAATTAGACTGGGGGTCTCTGTACATCTCTTCCCTGGATAGTGCTGCAGTGGTTATAGCTGTTTGCAGTGGTTATACATTACCAGCACAGCTCCCCCACACATCATATGTCCATGGATAGTGCCTCGTTGAGCACCCTCATTGTCCAAATAGCGCCCTGATCGAAGAATCCATGCCTTAGCAGCAGTGTGTTAAAGTTTTACCGGGTCGCAGCTATTCTACGATCCAATGCAGAATAATTCATTAATTATATATAATTATATATATATATTTGGGGACCTGCCTAACAACTCAGGCAGAAATTCCAGAGAATTTATTTTGCAAGTCCTATAGTTGACCCTGCAACATTCCAAAATCCCATAAAACCAGTACCTGGGTGGCACTGCTTTACTCGTGAACACAAATATGAGTGTTTTAGAGTGGTAGAACGTATAATGCTGATGATATCATAAGTAAAAGTGCAATTTCTGTGTGAAAAATGCAAAAAAAAAAATATGAACCCAAACTTTGGCCAGGATTTGTTACTAAGTGGCTACTAAAAAAGACTAGTTATAGAAACATAATGTGACGGCAGATAAGAACCATTCAGCCCATCTAGTCTGCCCATTTTTCTAAATATTTTTATTAGTCCTTGGCCTTACCTTATAGCTAGGATAGCTTTACCACTTCGGACGGAAGGCTAAAAAATCAATAAGATTAGTTTGGCATGACCTCCCTGAACTAAACCCATGTTGTCTCTGATCTTCAAATCCACGTGATTTTAGATGTTCAACAATCAACAAACCTATCCTTTAACATGGTTTCCATTACTTTCCCCACTACTGAAGTAAGGCTTACTGGCCTATGGTTGCCCGACTCCTCCCTACTACCTTTCTTGTGAATGGGCACAACATTTGCTAATTTCCATTCAAATTTTTTGCTAGTACACCACTTAAGCTCTTTTAATAACTTTGGGTGTATTCCATCAGGACCCATTTTTAATACCCTGGGTTGTCTACTTTTGCATATGGTATGCCATGATGCCATCTTCATTCCTGGGCTGCTATAAGGTCTCAAAGGCTGCATAACCAATCTGGCAAAAATTCAATGTGTACAAATTAAAACGGGCAAGATCTTTATTTGATCCTGTAACTTTCCAAATCACCATGAAACCTGTACATTGGAGACGTCATTGTACTCGTGGGACATCACTGCATACATTTATGTGTATTTTATTGCAGTAAAAACTAACTGTATTATGTCATTTACAGTTAAAATGCCATGCAGAACTTGGAAAATAAAATGTCTTAATTTCTCATGCTTTTTTAAAGAGGTAAATTATGGTTGAACAGACATATAGCGAAGATTACAGGTTTTGTTTTGGATCAGAAATTTAACAATTGCTTCTGTCCTTAAGGGATTAACAATTATTATTTCATAAAAGCGTTGACCATTTTGGATTTGTTTTCACTTAAAGGAGCTCTCAGTTTGTCGTTGCCATAAAGGTTGCACAGAATTGACGTGCATAATGCAAAGAGTAAATAAGGGGTGAAACCCACCAAAAATGGTGGATGGCATACACAGACACTTTGCAGCAAAGAATACAATTATTCTCTATGGAGGAAACGTAGGCGCACTGGAGAAAAGGTGAGTGATTTGTTTTTTTGTTTTTTTTACACGTTGGTGGAGCCTAATTGACAAGGGACATCAGGGCTGTAGTGTTTGGAATACAGATTAAAGGAACATTCTAGCGTAAATTAATCAATGTATCTCTATGGGGAAAGCTCAGCATCTCCATGCAGAGTGTGGAGATGCTGAACATCACCTCTAGTGGCAGTCTGAGGAGTGGCCACTAGAGGTGTTCCTATCATGTAATGTAAACACTGTCTTTTCTCTGAAAAGTCAGTGTTTACAGCCAAAAGCATGCAAGGACATAATATAGACACCAGAACAACTACATTAAGCTGTAGTTGTACTTGTGAATGTAGTGTGCCTTTAAATTTGGGATCAGGTATCCTGGACCTGGTATTTTTTTTTTTTTAATAAACAGACAGACTACAGTAAGATTATTTCTCTTAATGAGTGTTTCTTTGCTTTGATATTGTTATCATGTCTGCAGAGTACAATATTGGTTTTATATGACCATTAGACACTGCCCGGCTGTCATTAAGATGCACTGTCGCAATTCTGAATGCTTTATTTCATGCTGAGCCTTTAGAACAGGAGGATTGTGCTGTGCAAGTCTGCTATTCTTTTTAGACATAACATTCTGCTACTCGCAAACCGTTGTTTCTCTGGAACTGATAACACTGAGTTTATGTTTCCCTTGAGACTTTTTAATAGCAGAAAATGGGTATTTTTTATTATCAACTTTTACGGGTTGTGGTATTTTTAATGGTGTGTAAATGCCAGACTTTGCACAAATGTTATTTAAAAGAAAAATGAATACATTGATATGAATATATATATATATATATATATATATATATATATATATATATATATATATATATATATATATATATATATATATATATATATAATGCAATACACTTAACTTTAAAGATTTAGGTGTATATTCATTAAATAGTGTCTTACAAGAATATACGTTTATAAGAGCAATGCCGTCTGTGCTTCTGTCCCCAGTATGTAATAATGTGCATGTTGTGCTAAGCTTTATATGAAGTCTATTAAATATATACTGGTCTATAACCTTATTTTATGGAAATAAAGCTCAAAAGATGAGTTTTAAAAAATCTCAAAATTAGATGAATCAAAGCTACTTCAGGCCAAAATAACAGAGCTAGAAACATAGAATGTGACGGCAGATAAGAACCAATCAGCCCATCTAGTCTGCCCAATTTTCTAAATACTTTGATTAGCCCCTGGCCTTATCTTATAGTTAGGAGAGCTTTATGCCTATCCCAAGCATGCTTAAACTTCCTCACTGTGTTAACCTCTACCACTTCAGCTGGAAGGCTATTCCATGCATCCACTACCCTCTCAGTAAAGTAATACTTCCTGATATTATTTTTAAACCTTTGTCCCTCTAATTTAAGACTATGTCCTCTTGATGTGGTAGTTTTTCTTCTTTTAAATATAATCTCCTCCTTTACTGTGTTGATTCCCTTTATGTATTTAAATGTTTCTTTCATATCCCCCCTGTCTCGTCTTTCTTCCAAGCTATACATGTTAAGATCCTTTAACCTTTCCTACTAAGTTTTATCCTGCAATCCATGAACCAGTTTAGAAACATAGTTAAAACTAGCATAATTTTCCAGGTCAATTATTTTGGCCCAAAATGTGAATTCCCAGTTCAGTAAATAACCCTTTAATGTGTGAGTGAGTTAGGGGTTAACATACACTATATGGATTAGGACACCTGATCATTACACCAACAGGGACTTTATGACATAGCATTCTAAATACATAAACATTAATATGTAGTTGGTCTCCCCTTTGCAGTTTCCACTCCTCTGGGAAGGCTTTCCACAAGATTTGGAGTGTTCCTGTGGGGATTTTGGGCCTTTCCTACCTGTAGAGCATTTGTGAGGTCAGACACTGATGTTGGACAAGACGTCCTGGCTCGCAATCTCCATTCCAGTTCCAGATATGGTTGTGGTCAGGGCTCTGTGTGAGCCAGTCAAGTTCTCCCACACCAAACTCACCCCACCATGTCTTTATGGACCCTGCTTTGTGCACTGGGGCGCTGTCATACTGGAATAGAAAAGGCTTTCCCCCAAACTGTTTCCACTGTTTCTTGGTATGCTGAAGCATTGATACTTGCCTTCACTAAAAGTAAGGGCCAGACCTGAGCCCAACCCACATTAAACCAAACCCATACCATTATACCTCCTCCACCAAACTTTACAATTGGCACAGTGCAAACAGGCAGGTAATGTTCTCATGGCATTCGAAAATCCCAGACTTGC